AGAGACTAGGCTTCGATTTTCTAGGGAGACAGACAAATAATAAGCCAATTTATACGAAAGATATAAGATTTGACAGGCAAGATGTAGTAAGAGTTTATAAGAATAATATAAATAAAAAGCTGAATGTTATATTTAAGTTTAATAATTTATGGGTTAATATAGTTGTAGCTTGTCTCAAGGATCGGTAACGATACCCTTGAACAAAGGGCTAAAAAGATAACTGATGATATAAGAAGTAAACGAATTTAAAATAGAAAAGGAAAAGGTTATAAGATTTTGCAACACAATGCTCCTAAAAGTTAGCTTAATAGAAATAAATTTGGTCGGGTATAAATTTTAGGTTCGAAGTCGAAAAAAAATAGTTCTTGGAAATCCGCACTGTAACAATATTCTTGGGTGTTTCATAACAAAAGTTGTGGCTACGACTACAAAAGCTTCTTTTATATTTAAAATAGCATTTCGATATATTTGGTCGTTAAATAACTGTAGTTTCTCAACAGTAACTTAGACCATACGCACTATTGTCTAATATAATTGTAATATCTGATGTCTAGAAAACAGAAATTTCAATCAAATATAAGATAATCCTTTATTAAATGCTTAATTTGCTCTTGTATATATATTATATGTTCATGTTCGAAGTCGGCGATTTATAAGTAAAAAGGATCTCTCTTAATTATAGTTCAGAAGAGTTATTATAAATACATTTACCTAGTTTCTAATTTTTTACTTCTTTCCCAATAATTTTTAAAACAAGCATGGCTAAACAACAACAAAAGCAGCAAAAATAAAAGAAAAAAAAAACCAATCCGAAGGTTATGAGGTGAGTTCCCGTAGTAGTAATTGAGCTTCTGAAAAAATACAATTGATTGTGAAGATTTTGGGCAGATGTCCTTGTGATAATTTGTATTTGTCGTTAACTCATATTTCAATAAATAATACTTTTAAAATCATGACTTATTATATTTGACATCACTTTCATGTGTAGTTTGTGTTTCATAAATTCGGGCGAGTTCTATCTTAAAAAAAAAAAAAAAAAAAAAAAAAAAAAAGAGAAAAGCACTCGCGCGAGCTTCGACTAAAACACGATCGAATCTTGTTCTGTACATTATTACTAGATCGGTTGATCCAGGGCGACGTTATTTGGAATCAATTCTAACGAGTAAAATTTATTTAACGTAGGGCGAGAAATTGAATGTATATCTATTACATGACGAGAAAGGTTGACTCAACACAACTACTAGGGGAGTTGTACAATATAGAAAGTATCAGTTGCTTTATCGCAGAAGAGCTCTTTTAGTCCATTTTAACCTAAATAAAAATATATGTTTTATATCATTACTTTACCGTACTAATTTATTAATAGCACATATATTTCTTGTTTTTATTCATAAATATTTATCGATTTTCACAAGTACCGAAATTTAACTTAGTTTTTAACCAACGGCTTCGGAAAGTTCGAAAAATAGACATGTTCACAAGAATTAAATCAATAGAAAAATTGGCTGTCCCTAAGAAATCAGAGAACTACATCATTTTTTTAAAAATGATCCCATGTTCGACCTATGGAGTATAGGGCCGGAAATATTTGTTCGATAGACGTCGATATTAATTGAAGTAATAATTTAATATAAATGAACCTATATATCCATCATGACTAATGATATTCCAACTTATAATAAAGTATGAAAGAGTACCATTTCTTTGCTTGTTTATTTTTATCTTATATATTCTTTCAATCTCTAAACTGTCACAAAACGCTTTTTTTTGTGATAATTGAGAAATAAAAAGGGAAATGTAATTGGAAAATAAACAAGCAAAGAAATGAGACTCTATAATATTTTATCATAAGTTGGAGAGTTTGTCATGATAAAAATAGAGGTCCTTTTTATATTCAATCATAATTTCAAAACTTTTCCTGCGCAGATCGAATAAGCTGTTTACCTGCAAACTGGGAAATGGTAGAATTAGATTTAAAAACTTAGTTACATATCAATAACAAATAATAACTAATATATAGAGCTAAGTGACCCATATCCGGCACTTCCAGTGCATTATCATTTATCCATTCAATGACAGGGTCCTTGATTGGATTACTAAAATAAATTTATGAGAAACTAGAAGCTTCAGCAGCTACTCGAACATTCCAGGAACGATTATGAAATCTGATCTCAGTTTGACATATGAGGGAGCTGGTACTGTGTTGAACCAATAGGAATGTATTCGGAATATGGCACTTATAATACATGGGCATATGTATTATAATTGAGTGAAAAAATAAGAAGTAATTATATTCGTGGAATTAGGCGTCAAATACGACAGGCTCTTTTTTCTCACTTCTTAAGGGAGCTTTTCTTCCATTTTTGATTTTAAGTTTAGGTCATAGGACCGCTCGTTCTTAAAAATACAGTGATTTTATAGGCTGTTACTGGTGCAAAAAGTAAGCTATTTCTCACCTGTAGTGTCATTGTATTTTTATTTATTTTTTTGCTTGTATTGTGCCATATTCCTTTAAGCGCAAACTTTTATTGTTTGGGTTGTAATATTTTACCGCCTGAATAAACTATGTTTACCAGTCCATTATTCATTCTTTGTCGGCGATGGTAATCAACGAAGCGAAGGTCTGTAAATCGACCGTTCTCAAATTGTAATAGCACTTCTAGAAGGGTAAAATAATATTAAAAATGTTGTTCATATATTGATAGTCTCGAATTTTGGTCTGTCGGAATATTTGCTTCAATGGTAGTAATTTCTTCTTCTTGCTTGCCTAATTTTTTGTGCCTGGCTTCGACACAATATTCCGCTGTTGTTAGGGATCTTAATTCATACGCAGTATTTCCATTTCCGTCGCTTGCAACAAAGATGATGGCTTGCTTAAAGTAACAGGCGTTGTTAAATTGATAGCAATTTAAAAGTGCACCGCGAAACAGACTGGGGCAAAAGAAAAATACGTGCAAAGTTTTGACTTTGGTTTGTGTTTATGTACATTCTAGTCACAATATTCAATATAATAATTCTACTCTTTCTTTCCAAAAAGAGAAATTGAGAGATGATACACTTTGAGAATAAAATCGGAGCTATTACTTTACGCAAAATGCGCAAATGTTTAATTTTTAAATTAAGAATGTACAATTGTATGTTTCATGCAGGTCGAAAAAGCTTAATTAAAAAAAAAAATAGGGAAAGTTTAATTCCTCATTTTTTATATGCATCAAGATTTGATGCACATTCGATCTATATATCTGGTGTAAGTATATTTTCCAGCCATCTACAAATAGTAGTTTTAACTTTCAGCGCACCTTTTTACTATTTAACACAACATAGCGATGTTTGATGATTAGTAAAGTGCAACGTAAACAATTTAAAACTTTAACCTAACATGAACATTGGACACAATTAGAAGAAATATTAAAACGAATCATTCAATTGCAGCAACAGGCTATTCGCCTTAAAACAAAATGCATGCTCAGAGGGAGACTCCTCGACATGCAATGTTTTGGCAGTGTTTCATCGAAAAATGTATTGACCCCACTCACTTTTGCACTCTATTAGGCCAATCAATATTATCTCCAAATACACCAGATTTTATTGAAACTTCGACTATATTCTTTATAATGAAAGTGATATATACTCACTTATGTATATCTAATATATATCGATTACTTGACAATAACTTTTAGTTCATGAATCAAAAGTATCGAAAGGTAGAAATATACAAAAATATAATTTCTCAGGTAAACTTCATCTCAAGCCAATGACGTTTAACCTATTGTCTGACGTGCCTGATTATTAAACTATAGACCATTAACTGAACAAGTCATCAATGTCTACTTCTAATATTATGATCGATCTTTCCAGATAATATTCTTCTTATAAAAGGAAGGCCCTTTACATTTGATAAAAAGATATCCAGTTTCAGTCTCAAATAATTAAATCGTCTATTTCCTAAAAAATTTTAGGTTTACAAAGACCACCTAAAAAATAAGAAAACAAGTACGTGCCATCCAAAACAATTTAGCGCCACTGAGTCAAGATTAAAGTTTATTTATGTTTTATTAGATTTGGACAAACAACTACCTTAAAGTATTGTTCCATTTGCTCGATTTAAAGTTTTAATTGTTTCTCAAATGCTTTTTCGTCTAACACGTTCTTCATACTTCTTGTCAATGGGCACGTATAAGTTGTATTAAGAGGATAGGTCTGATACATTTGAGAAAGTAAAAATAAAAAACAAGAGTGGGTTGGTCAAAACCTCATTGTTTAGACTACTATTGAGAATTTTAATTCTATGCACGTATTTATAGTTTTGGCTAACATAGTTTGATCATTCCATTATTCTACGTATCTGGCAAATAAAAACTTTATGTGTGCTGTGATTAGTGATTTCCACCAAGTTGATTTTACTTTACTCATGACAATGTTAATCGCGTAACACCTACCGAGGGCAGGATAAGTTTTTTCCAATGAGGACGCATAATAACTATGCTGCACCAAGCGTATGTAAAGAAGGTTTCTCTCTGTGCTGATTGCTTGTGAACAAGTATTGATTTGTTCCAAATAGTTCATATGATTGGGAAAGCAGATAATGAGAAGTTGCAACTAATCATTTCGTTCCAATTGATACTAATTTTCCCCTTGTCCTTTTATGTAAAACAGTTGCTCGGGAGAGAGGCTGTAATCGTCGATCCAGTTCAAATGATTTAGGCTTGTAAAACGGACGCAGGTATAAATGTAACGTATAAAGGGTGGGGACTTGTTTATAGCCGTATTTAAAAGATTTTCAGAGGTTGTCGTAATATCTTCCGTTGATTGAATATGAGCTTCGCATACAAATATGTTACAGTTTGTGTAAGCATTATAGCTTACAACAAGTACGCATCCGTGTTTATCACTGAAAGGTAAAATAGATGTAATCTGCGTAGTGAAAAAAAAGAGGGGTGGTAAACTCTCTTTAGATTAAAAATGAAAAGCGTAAAACAAGATCAAAAGACTATAAGGTTGGATGGATCGTCTTTTATAAAACGTTTATTGTGTGTGTGTATATGTAAAAAATCTATGATATGAGGGCAGAAAAAAAAATTTACAACTTTGCTTCGGCAGCAATTTCGGCATTCATGACATCTCTTAAATCATTAGCAGCTTCTTCAAGACAATGCTTGAAATGATGTGTACCATTGATATATTGTTTACCATGAACCTCAAGATCCTTGACACTGGCCACGTTGAATTGGAGAGCGTTGTTCTTGATCATGTAGGCACAACCAAAACCATCATTTACAACTTGACCCCAACCATAACCATCAAAGTGTTCAGAGGATAATTGAGAGGTGGAAAGATACCAATGAGAAGAGTAAGCATTGATGGGTTGAGTAAAGAGCTCAGGCTTCTCCTCACCAGTGTGAACACAGTTCTTTAATCCAAACAAGTGGCGATCAACGCCATGACCATTTACGGCATCAGCCATGTAGGCACCTTGTGTCTTGAGAGCAGATCTAAGAGCAGATACCTTGGCATCATTAGAAGCATAAGGATCCTCCATGGTCTTGACAAAGGCGATGGATTCAGTGGTGACGGTACGAGCTGTCTCAGTACGACCACGTTGGAACTTACGGGTCTGGGCAGACTCATAAGTAGGGCGAGAAGTACCAAACATTTTGTAATAAGCCAATTGAATGACCATTTGAGCATAACCATCAGGAGAGCACTTAAACTTCTTGATCAAATTCTTACCGTAAGATTGATAAGACAAGACAGTCAAATCATGCTTGGCAATGAGTTTATCAAAATTGGAACCGGCGGATTCAATATCCTTCTTGATTTGATCATTTACTTGGAATCCGAGTTCTTTAGGCTCGGGGAGGTCAGAACGAATTTCAACAGAACCATGATCAACAAGGTCTCTGTTCAATCTAAGTTTGTGTGTGAGAAAAAAAAAGTCTGTATACAGAGATTACATAATTTTTGCTTACCCATCACAAACATATTCATTTAAGCGACAAGTGTTTGTACCATCCATACAAGAATGCTAATCATGGGATATACGAGTTAATACCCGTATCACTAATTGTATTTGAATTATTTACCTCGCCCATGAAACCAGCCTTACCATTCTCAAAGACGATAAACTGAAGAGGCTTATCAAAGAAACGGTTACGACCGTCACCATGCCAGCATGCACGAGAGCCTTCATCACGGGTTACAGGTGTTTGATCATCAAGACAAATTACAAAATCGGATGATTCAACCTTTTCCAACAAGGCGGCATTTTCGGGGTTTGCAGCAACCAAGTTTTCTCGGTACTAAAATAATTTTTTTAGTTTCCCATGACTAAATTAATTACCCCACACTTTTTTTTTTTTTAAATTACCTCTGTCCATTTATCGCGGTTATCAGAGGTGAGGACACCAATAGGAAGGCCCTTAGAAGAACCTGCTTGGTTCATGATCTTCTGGAATTGTTGTTCCAATTCATTGGTGGATAATTGTTTACCATTATGGATGGTATCGACTACATAAAATTTGTTTTTACGAATCACCACCACGTGGTTGTTATTGACAGGGTCGAAGATGGCCTCATAATCAGAGGGCTTTTTGGGCATACGGCAATTGTTGAACATATACTTGTAAGAATCCATACACATGGGTTCTCCCTTGGCCATTTCAATAGAAAGCGTTTTACTAATGCATTATGTCAGTTTTTTCCCCCCTTGCATATTTTTAAGAGTTGCTACTGATATAAAAAACTTACTCGACAACTTGCTTCTTGAATTCAAGAGCGGCAGTAGCAATAGCAGCAGCACGTTGAGCGGGAGATTTACGTAACTTGTCGTCCTTAAACAAAAAGAAGTAACTGACGTAGATGACGACAGGATCACGATAACCCATATAAGCTTGGTCCAACCACCAATCCTCCATCCAATTCACAATCTTGGGATCGTTAGCACGGGCTTGCAAACGTTCCTGCAACTGAACACCGAGGCCACCAGGAGCCTCAAAATCTTTTGCAGCTTGTTCAGTCTTTTTAAATTCAGCATCGTCTAAAAGAGGACGCACAGATTGTAAGTATTTCTGCAAGGTAGCGCTTAAGGCAGGTACGGGCAACTTGGGTAAATTGGCTTGGTATTTCAACATGGGTCCAGGAGCGTTAGGATCAACAGGTGTCTTGGGTCCGGGCTTAGCACTAGTTAAAGTACGACGGGCAACGGCTGCTGATTTCTGTAATGGCATTTGTTTTTTAACATTAGCTTATTAAAAGTCAATCTCGTTTCATAATGTGCTTATACTTACAGCAGCCATGGAGAAGCGAGGTGAAACTCGCGTAGCGTTTCTAAGGAAAGACATGTATGAAATAAAAAGAAATACAACGAAAAAAAAAGGAAGAAAGAAAAAATGGTTATCGATATCCCAACCTTTATATAAAAAAAAGGCAGTGACTCGAACCTTAAAATTTATTACATTTGTGTCAGCACAATTGCAGGTAAAGCAGTGTTACACAACGCAAATAGGTATTTGTTATTACAAATGAGGAGAAATGATCCCCACACTCACACACACACACATTGTTTCTGTATTACGTATATATACAAGTGTTTTTTTATTTTTAAAAAAGAAAAAAAAAATTAAAAGACCAAGTTCATGGCTCTCATGGAATATTCAACACCCAAGAAAGTAGCAGCGTTAGCAGGGAAAGCTCTCAACATGGCGGGACCGAGACCCTTGAAAAGAGCGGCAGGACCATCAGCCTTGAGAGTCTTCTTGAGACAATCACCCAAACCGCTATAAGTACCAGCGGGTGCGGATTGCAAACGAGATTTAAGAACATCAGGAGGAATAGCGATAGTCCACATGGCAACACCAGCCATACCTTTATATAAAAAAAAGATTAGACAAATATTTCCTCTCCCTAAATATAAACAAATAAACTTACCACCAGCAAATAAGACGGCACCGAAACTTAAATCTTCAGGGCGAGTACCAGCGGGAGTAAGTTGCTTCTTGATCAATTCATAAGCAACAAAGTATGCAGCAGAACCGGGAGAATCACGTAATAAAGTAGCACCAGTACCTCTCCAGATGGAACGAACACCACCTTCCTTGTACAACTGACGAACAACATCCAAGGGACCCTTATACTTTTGCTCTCCACCTTGACCTTGGATTTGCATCAAGACCTTGACACGTTCAGAAGGTGCCATGAATAATGTGGTGGGAACAGCAGAGAATGCACCAGCAATCGTAATTTCGGCCAAGGTGAGTTGCTTACTGGTGTTGGTCTTATCGGTTCTTAATCCATACACAAGCTTCTTACCAAGATCATAAGACTATTTATTACGTACGTATATTTAGCTCCCGTGTATTCCATGTATTTAATTACGATCCACTTACCCAGAAACTGACGGCGAAAATAGGTGTAATACTGGCTAAAGGTGTAGCCATACCACGATACAAACCAGTAAGGCCATCTTTCTTTACAATTTGCTTGAAACAATCGGCAGTGTTCTTGTAGACACCTTCACTAGTCTGAAGACGAACCTTGACAAGATCAAAAGGTTGACTGTATATGTTTTTAATATCTTATTACCAATCACTATTTATTATAAAACTTTACCCGACTAAAACCGAAGCCATACCACCGAAACCACCTGAAAGGAAAGACTTGACGGAGGAGGCAGTGCTAGACTTAACGTCAGCGACAACAGGTTCAACTTGAATTTCTTGTGCAGACATCTTTTTTGCGGAAAACTGAATGAAAAGGAATGAAAGTAAAAAAGGTAAAAAAAACGTTTCCCCTTTAAAAATATAATATACTGCTTTTTTTAAACTGCACTCGCAATTTTTTGTTTTGTCACAGATGCGGGGTTGTTCCACACTCGGTATTTTAAATCCCTTTTCCCATATGATTATTCGTTTATTGCCTGTCATCCTAATTAACTGCGCTCTTTAAGCCCCCCTTTTTTTCCCACAACAGCCAGAATTACTTTAAAAAACTAGCCCCGCCTAAACATTTCAACAGAAAACACCCTGTAGCATTCCCATCTCTTGGTCAATCAAACGAAAAATATGTACCTGATTTCCCTAAATTGATGGCGTCCGTGATGCACCTGCATACACATCTCTGCGTATCATTTATGTCACACATGGATTTTTATTCATTACTAAGCGGATACGTCTACACATGTGTGTTGCAACCAATGGGTATCAATGCATAGTTATACACACTGGAAGAAATCGAGAGAATACTGGTAAAAATGGAAATAGTATTTTATTTGTGCTTTATCTTTTTTAATGAAGCGGTAAACAAAAAAATATATCGAAACACGATATTTTTTTTAATAACAGATGAATGATATGAAAATGAATTTTTTTAAAGTTGAGCATTGACTTCAGGAACATAGCCAAGCTTCTTAAAGTGATTGATAACCTTTTCAGCCTTCTCCACAGCATGTTCAGAGGTAATACCAAAGTGAGGATACAAATCTTCAGCTTTACCAGATGAACCAAAGGTATCCATACCGATTTGAGCATGAGAATAGCGATCCCAACCAAACTTACCAAGTGCCTCAATAGCAATTACAGGAACACCCAGAGGGAAAACCTCCTTCTTGTAGTCTGCAGGTTGGTCATCAAAGATCTCGGAACAAGGCATAGAGACAACGCGTGTCTTGATGTTCTTTTCCTTTAATTTCTTTGCAGCATCAACGGCAATACATACTTCAGAACCAGTAGACACAAACACAATCTCGGGCTTATCATCGGTCTGCAGCACATAGGCACCCTTGAGCACGGCTTCAACAGACGAACCTTCCAAATGAGGCAAGTTTTGACGAGAAAGAGCAATCACGGAGGGACGAGTCTTGTTTTGGATGGCAGCTAAATAGGTACCAGAGGTCTCATTACCATCGGCAGGACGGAATGTAAGCATGTTAGGTGTAGCACGCGTCAAGGCCAAAGTCTCAATAGGTTGATGGGTAGGTCCGTCTTCACCAAGTCCGATGGAATCATGGGTCATGACATAGATAACACGAAGATGTGATAAAGCAGAAAGACGAGCAGCTCCCCAACCATAGGTTAAGAAGTTCAAGAATGTACCACCATAAGGAATTGTTGCACCATAGGCAGTTAAACCGTTCATGATGGCAAACATGGCATGTTCACGAATACCATAACGAATATAACGACCAGTGTAATCACCGAGTCCGGTGGAAGGATGTTGGAAATCAACAGCGTTCTTCCAACGAGTCAAGTTAGAACCTGTTAAATCAGCGGAACCACCAATCAATTCGGGAAGAACAGATTCGATAGCAGATAAAACACCTTCAGACAATTTACGAGTGGCAACAGGAGAATCGGATGGGGTGAAACGAGGAAGGACCTTTTCCCAACCGTCGGGTAAAGTGTTTGCGAAACGACGAGCTACTTCAGCTCCTTCCTTGGGATATTTGGACTTGTAATCATCGAAGAGCTTGTTCCACTTGGCTTCATATTCAGCTCCTTCCTTGGCACGAGCATGATATAAATCATAGACCTATTTTTTTTTTTTTTTTTTTTTTTTTTTATAAACAAGGGTTAATAAAAAGCAGCTAAATTAATTGAATCTCATCCTTACATCACTGGACACATCAAAAGTCTTTTCGGGGTTGAAACCAAATCGTTCTTTAAGTTGCTTGATATCGTCATCTAAGTCATTTCCGTATTAATAATCCCATTCAAACAAAAAATAATAATATTTCCCAGCTTACTTGAAAGAGGTGCACCATGAACCTTTTCTTCGCCTTGTAATAAGGAGCCGAAACCTGTTAAGCACAAGGATTAATAAGTGTTGACAAATAATGCATAAAACCTGTGTCACCCTTGTGTACACATTGAGAAACAATATTCTCCCATCTTCCCCCCGCCATGGTTTCTTATACTTACCAATAGTTGTTCTGACCTTGATAAGAGAGGGCTTATCAGTCACCTTTTGAGCTTCAGCGATAGCCTTTTCAATAGAAGCAAAATCACTATCACCGTTGTCAACAACAATAGTGTGCCAGTCATAAGATTCGAAACGCTTGACAACATCTTCAGTGAAAGAGACAGCGGTATCTCCATCGATTGTAATATGGTTATCATCGTAGATAGCAATAAGTTTACCAAGCTTCAAGTGACCAGCAATGGATGCAGCTTCAGAGGCCACACCCTCTTGAAGACAACCGTCACCAAGGATGACATAGGTATGGTTGTTGAAAATCTCGAAATCAGGACGGTTGTAGGTAGCAGCAAGATGGGCTTCACCAATGGCTAAACCAACTGCGTTGGCAATACCTTGACCAAGAGGACCTGTAGTAACCTCAATACCCTCGGTATCGATACGCTCAGGATGACCAGGAGTTCTAAAAATCAGATATTACGTAAATATGACATCAAATAGACGTGTTCGTTATCTTGATAAAACTTACTTTGAACCTAATTGACGGAACTGCTTTAAGTCATCCATGGAGAGATTATAACCCAAAAGATGGAGCATAATGTACTGAAGAGCACACGCGTGACCATTGGAAAGAAGGAAACGATCACGGTTAGGGAAGTAAGGGTTCTTTGGGTTGGCATGAAGGAACTTTGTAAATAAAGTGTGTGCGATAGGAGCCAAACCCATAGGAGCACCAGGATGACCAGAGTTGGCGCCGCGTACGGTATCTGCGGCAAGGACACGAATAGTGTCAACGGCTTTTTGTTCGAGAGCTGAAACCATTTTTTAATTATAATATAGAAAAAAGATGAGAGAAGAAAAAGAAGAGAGTAATCCGAGGAGACTAAGTTTTTATATTTTAGCTGCTAAACATCGGAGCCAAAACGCCAAAAATCTTAACGTCACCATGATCCGTCATTATTTCCGTATTTACCTTACTGTGTTTCATTGGCCAGGAGAAAAACATACAAAATCCCGAAGCTAACAAGAAACTAGATGTATGTAAGCATCGGATGAAAAAAAAAAAAAAAAACTTCTCGTGTTGTGATACACGCGCAGCACAATTAGCTTACAAATGATTTATAAAGAAGACTTGCGCCGCGTTTTTTTTTAAATGAAAAATGAAAATGAGGCTGTGTTATAAAAAACAGGTTGTGTGTATTTATGCATAAATAAAAAGTGTACTACAGAATTTCATTTTTCAAACGCCTTTGTTAAATAGTCTGTTTTAGCAACATAACTAAAGTTTAAAAAGTAATCCTTCATTTGAGAATCTAAATTGGCCCCTTCAACAGGTGTGTCCTTGATAACCTCATTGGTAAATTCATCGTCGAAATTTTCGGCCAAAGTTGGATCCGTCTTACACATTTAAGAAAAGAAAGATTAGATATTGACACAAAATAGGGTTCTTTTTATCTTTCTTACCACGATAGGTGTAATAGGAGGCGTTAAAGTGCGCGACTTCAGCTCTTCCCAATCAATTTTTTTGAAAAATCTGTGCGACTTGAGTTTATCTAAACCATCCTCTCCGCATCCAAGACGAACATTAGGATTCTTACGTAAAAGCTATCAATGTCTAGTGTTAGCTTTTTGGCTATATGTACATGTAAAGCATCCATTCCCTAGCTTACACGAATGAGTAAATCCTTGGCATCTGCAGAGATATAGTATGGAATTTGTAATTTCTTCTTGAGAATGGCATCCAATGTCTTTTTTTTGTTGCCACAACGGAAAGGGGTCTATAGGATGGTTTAATTAGTAAAAATAGGGTTGATAGTAAAGGGATTGAACTTACATAGCCCGTCAGCATTTCATACATCAAGATACCAAAGGTCCAAAAGTCAACACCTTTATCATAATTCAATTCCAACAAAATCTCTTTAAGATATGAGTGAGTATACACAAGAAATGCCCAAGAAATGTTCAAGTCGCTTATGACCCCCTTTTTTTTTTAATTTACCTGGAGCCATATATTCAGCAGTGCCACAGACGGTATTTGTTCTACTTCCTTCTAAGGACACTTTTGACAAACCGAAGTCAGTCAAGAGAACATGTCCTTCACCATCCAATAGACAATTTTCAGGCTTTAAATCACGATAAACAATACCCAAACCATGCAGATGCTCCAAAGCCAATAACAATTCAGCTAAATAGAAGCGTGCCACATCTTCTGCAAACATATGTTCTACCGAATAAAGTTAGCGTTCTGTGTCCCCTCCCCCACCCCTTTTTCTGACTTTTTTGAATCGCCGCCTGTAAATCCTTACCGGTAGCCATGTGAGTAAATAATTCACCACCTGTTGCATATTCCAAGATCAGATACAATCTGTCGTTTGTTTGAAACGCATAGTATAATTGAACAATGAAAGGGTTACCCACTTCTTCTAGAATTTGTCGTTCGGCTTTTGTATGTTCAGCATTCTTAGCATGAACAAAAAGTGAAGCCTTTTTCAATACTTTCATTGCGTAAAGTATACCGCTTTCTGTATGACGACACAGCATTACCTTACCATAACTGACATTTTAAGAAGAATTTTTTTTTGATTGTTAGGAATTGTTTGTATAATAAACATTATGAAAAAGTGCTTACGCTCCACGGCCTAATAGCTTCAAAATTTCAAAATCATCCAATGATACTTTTTGAGGATTGACAGAAGGTTTTGTCACTGCTGAAGATATAAAGTTTTCATCCAAGGGAACTTCATAGAGTTTTTCATCAGCTGGTATTTGCCTCGGTTCGGTTGTGTCGATTTCAGAAGAATATCCACTTTCAGTGACCTCTTCATCTTGAACAGATCTCAAGGCAGATGGAAAATCGTCGAAATGGAAAACGGCACTCATTGGAGAAGGGGGAGGAGTTTTTTTAAGTTTATGTAATAAAAAACAGAGAGTATTATGATGAAAGATTAAGATTTGAACAACGTGCTACCAGACCAGATTGTAAATTTGAGTATAAATTCATATAGAAAATATGTAATGAGGAAAAAAAAAAAAAAAAAACTTTTTTTCATCTATACCCTAAAATGGCGATCCCTACAATTAAACAAACAGTGTGGGACATTTTTTAAACCAATGAAAAAATTGTGTGTGTGTGTACACAAAACATTAAGCGTTGTCAACTTTTCGTCAATTAAAAACAACCCAAGTATGCGGTGAATATAGACATCGACTGCATGAAATTGTCATTCCTTTTCAAACATTCATTATCTAATAGGGATATTTTTATTCAAATGTTAACAAACAAAAAAATAAAATAGAAGGATTGAAAGGAATGTCTTCTTGAGATTGATTCCATATAAAAAGGTTCGAATTTCTAGCCAAAATAATTTTTTTTCTTCATTAGTTCTACAAACATTCTAACAGCTCTTTAATATGGTCAATCTTACTACTTATATGGTCGCCACCACTGCTATGATCATGGGTATCAGTGCCCTCGATCACGCTTCCGTTGAACAAGTCAAAGAGGCTTTGAAGGCTTCCCATATTATTCCTGCTGCCGTTGCTTCAGCTTCAGACTACGCTCCTGCTGCTGTTGCATCCATGATTGTTGAGGCTAATGCTAAAGGTAAGTTTTTTTTTTTGGTCTAGCAGTTTCTGTCAGATAATTAACTTTTTTACTTTTACTTTTCAGAAATCCATCCTGATGTCATGCTTGAGGAAATCAATGCTTTCTTGAGCAACATCATGCACCCCGCTGCTCCTCTCTCTTCCAGCGAGGTCGAAGAGGCTCTCTTTGGTATCTCTAACCCCCTTGATCTTGCCGGTAAGCTTTTAGGCGGTGTTGCCGGTGCTGCTAGCCATGTTGTTGGCGCTGTTACTGCCCCTGTTGGTGCTGCCGTTGATGGTGCCGGTAAGGTTATCAACAGTGCTGCTGATGGTGTCGGTAGTCTTGTTGCTGGTGCTGCTGATCTTGCTGGTAAGGCTGTCACTCCTATCCTTGGTGCCGGTGTTGGTAACGTTATTAGCGGTGCCGGTGCTGCTGCTGGTGCTCTTGCTAATGGTGCCGGTGATATTGTTCAAGGTGCCGGTTCTGCTGTTAGCCATGTTCTTTCTCCCAGTGGTTTGTCTGGTTTATCCGGCGGCATCGGTGGTGCCTTGAGCGGTTTAACTGGTGGTTTATCCGGCGGTTTATCTGGCGGTTTATCTGGCGGTGGAGGAATCAGTGGTTTGGCTGATAGTGCTAAGGGTGCTGCTTCAGGTGCTATCAGTGGTGCTGGTGACTTGGCCAAGGGTTTGACTGGTGGTTTGACTGGTGGTTTGAGTAATGGTTTGATTGACGGTGTCACTGGTGCTGCCAATGGTGTTCTCGATGCCGGTTCCAACTTGGTTGGCGGTCTTGCTGGTGGTGTCAACGGTGTTGTTGATGGTGCTAAGGGTGCTGTCAATGGTGTTGTCGACGGTGCTGGTGATTTGGCCAATGGTTTGACCGGTGGCTTGACTGGTGGTTTAGTCGATGGTGTCAAGGGAGCTGTTCACGGTGCTGGTGATTTAGCTAGCGGTTTGACTGGTGGTTTGACTGGTGGTTTAACTGGTGGTGGATCCGGTGGTGGATCTGGTGGTTTGACCGGTGGTTTGACTGGTGGTCTGACTGGTGACGGTGGTCTTACTGGTGGTCTTACTGGTGGTGGATCCGGTGGTCTTACTGGTGGTCTTACTGGTGGTGGATTTTCCAGCGGTGGTGGATCATCTGATGGTGGTTACAGTTATAGCTACGGACCTGGTAGCAATGATGGTTCATCCGGTGGATACAGCTACAGCTATGGCCCCGGCCTCCAAAAGCGTGCTATCTATGATATGGATGGTGAATACGCCGAGATGGCTGAAGAGCCTTCTCAATCCAATGTCTACTCTGCACAAGACGATATTGTCTCTGCCTCTGAAGTTTCTCTCAGTGCCTCTGCCGCTCCCTCCGCTTCTGCTAATCCTGTCTTAAGAGCTCGTTCTGCTGGTGCATACTCTGCTTGGGCTTCTCACCATGCCTCTGCCTCTGCTTCTGCTGTAAGTTCATATTACAATTTCACATGTCAAATTCTTTTATTAATATTTTAAACTTTTTTTAGGCTCCTTCTCTCGTGAGTTTAACTCTTTCTGTACAATTGTTTGTTGACATCATATTAACCTTCCTTTTTCTTCCATATAGGCTCGTCGTGCTGACTCTCCTCAAATCTCTGAAGCTGCCTTTGGCCGTGAAGAAAGCAACCCTATTGCTGACTACCTTGGTAGCATGATCATCTCCAACATTAAGGATGAAATTAGTGCTTCTCTTGCTCATGGTGGTGCCGCTGGTGCTGCTGGTGACGTTGATCTTAAGGATCTCCTTGATAAGGTTAAGGCCAAGCCTACTGGTGCTGCTGGTGCTGGTGGTCTTGCTGAGGCCCTTAAGGGTCTTGCTGATAAGAAGAAGGCTGGATCTGCCAGTGGTTCTGCCTCTGCCTCTGGTTCTGCTGACCCCGTTGCCTCTGCTACTGGTGCTGTTGGTGACGCTGCCAGTGCTGCTGCTCCTACTGGTGTTGCTTCCGCTGTCAAGGACGTTAAAAAGGCCGCTCCTTCTTTACCCGCTTTCTAAATTTTACATTACGTAAAACAATACCAAAGTTTTTTTCTTACCCCTCCCGATATATTCGACTTTCGTCTATATTCCCATTTTAATTTAAAAAAAAATCTCTCAAAGTTTAATTCCCTTCGACATATAACCAATTTTTGTTTATATCTAATTTAATAAATCTCTTTTAACCTCTTCATTCTTTATTGTCTGTCAAAATGTTTAAAATATTTTAATTTTGTCCAATTGTGTAACAATTTAATATTTACAGTAGGCAACAAAAATGTTTAAACATATGTGTAGATCTCCTTTTGTTCATGTGTTCTTTTTCTTGAGATGTGTTGTCAATCTTCTTCATACCACTGTTTACATGCCATTCATATCTGATTATGCGTTTCATTATTCATTTTATGGCTTTTATCTTGGACCCAACAACATCAGGGGTGTTATTGTTTATTTTAATTTTTTTTCATCATATTTATAACTTTTCACTACAGACATAAAAACTGGCTAAAAAAGAACCGTGAGTGCATAGAAGAATCGCATTAAAATTAGACAATGAAGCTAGGGGTATGAGAATGCCACAAATGAAGTAGATCTGATTGGAAATAATTGGCCTATAAAACTAGGGGACCAAATAAGAATAATTGTAGGGCGGAAATGGGCTCTTTTTTTTGTGTGAGATGTTCTTGTTCATTGTAACAATTACTTTTTAACTATGTTCAGATCTGCTTACGAGTATGTAAATGCGCTTGTTTAAATTCATTAATACGAACAAGGTAATTTGTTTTGTAACAGGCGTTTTTTATTTTTTTAAGAAACCATACAGAAATTACAACAAATACAATAAGGTTATTTAGCAAAGCGTGTTCAATCTTGTGAACAGAGGATGCCAGAATAAATAAATTGCTTTCAGCGGGTAATTGTTTATCCGTCTATAAAGGATTTTTGAACAATTGCATGAATTTGTAGTGCCTAGTTTATTTCTATTGTTTTAAAAACTACACTTTTGGATTTTGCCGATTGCAAGGTCAAAGATGACTGTAAGGTTTTGAAGAAGGAAAATATTTCAGTTCATAAAACTTGGGAGGAGGCACGCAATAAAATACAGTTATTTACCAATGGCAATACAGTTCATATAGTAATGCAATCAAATGACAAAAACTAAACTATTTCAAGGTCAAGCTGTATAATCTTTAGGATGTTTTTTTAGAGAGGATGGTTGATGATGTAGTAATTGGTAAATATGTAGACTTAAACATTATTGGTGGTTTGATAACAGAAATATAGTACTCATGCATTATTCACAGTTATAAAAAATATTGGTTTTATTTTATTTGATGTGGTTTAAAAAACGGGACTTATCGACGTTGACTTCTATTTTTTTTTTTTTTTTTTTTTTTGATTGATATCAACGTAAGTCCAGGTTTTTTGGATAAGTTGACATTAAGATTCAGTGGTGCAAACTGTTCATGGTAATACGAATGAATCAAAATATGGTAACAGCATTGCCTACTATTATCATTGTTTGTAGTGATTCAACTACAAGTTGTTTGGTGTTACCCGCCTTTTTATAAATAAGAAAAGATTGGTCGTTCAATAAATTTAACTATTTTGTTACTTACATGCTAAATTCTATATATACGTTAAATAGTTGAGCACGGTTGGTTAAATACATATTTGTTGATCAAGTGTAAAGGCATGTACAATCCCAACACAGAAATACCCAGAAGGCTGCTCAAAAACCTATCAATGTGGATTATTGACACCATAAAATTGTTAAATATATGTCTCACAAGATTTTGTTTAAAAGATATCCTTATTCTGTCCGAAAATGACATTCATTTGTTCTCATTGTGCTCATTGATGGGCTCCTAAGAGCTCATGACTTTAAAAGCCCGCGAACAATTTTTGAGAAATATGTAACAATCGGACCACGTCATGATTTCGGTTTTTTTTCGTGTGTGCTTCTCCCTCTTGTTTTTTCTTCTCTTTTTATTTTTATTTTTTTTTGAAGTAATACCACCATCTACTTTTATTTTTTAAACGCAAATATATAGTCAGCATGCCTTTAAACCCTACCGATATGGATATTGATACTAACACAACAGTTCCTGCTACTGAGTTTATGGATGAAGATCCCCCTGCTATAACTGAAGAGAGTACTAACGTTGCTACCTTAATTGATGAGCTCAAACACGAAGACGTTACTTTCAGACTCAACTCCATTAAGAAACTTGACGTTATTGCTAATGCTCTCGGCATTGAAAGAACCAGAAATGAGCTCATTCCCTTTCTTCAAGGTACTTTCTCTTCAGCTTTCTCCCTTTTTTTACGTGTTTTTTATCCATATATCTAACATTTTATGTAGAGTCTATTGACGACGAGGATGACGTTTTATTAGCTTTGGCTGAAGAGCTTGGTAAATTAGTCGAGGCTGTTGGTGGTGCTGAATGTGCTCATTACCTTTTACCTCCTTTGGAAAACATTGCTGCAGTCGAGGAGGCTTCTGTTAGAGATAAGGTAACATACCTCATTTCAACTTTATTTCGTCCTTTCTCCTTATTGAAAGAACCCATAGGCTGTTGCATCTCTTTGTCACATTGCAGAGATTTTACCCGAGGATCACTTGGAGAAATATTTCGTTCCTCTTCTCAAGAGATTGAGTGTTGGAGATTGGTTTACCAGTAGAACATCTGCTACTGGTCTTTATGTATCTGTTTACAAGAGAGCTTCTCCCACTCTTCAAGCCGAATTAAAGACGTAGGTTTTTTTTAAAACATTACAGAGTTCATGCTAATGTTTCCTAACCATCTTGATTTAGTTTGTTCACACAATTGGCAGAGGATGATAGTCCCATGGTCAGAAGAGCTGCTGCAAAGGCTTTAGTGGTAACACATTTGCGAAAACAAAGTAAAGATTCGGCTACTGACATCATCTTGTAGAATCTTGTTAGTGAAGTTTCCGCAGAAGATGTACTTGTAACCGTCATTCCATTATTCCAAAAATTAGCCCAAGATGACCAAGATTCTGTTCGTCTTTTAACAGTCGAGGTTTTGGTTGCACTTGCAAACCGTTTGTCAAAGGAGCAAACCAAAGAACTCTTGTTACCTGCTTTCACTTCATTGTCGAACGATAAAGGTTGGAGAGTCAGATACATGGTTGCTTCTAAATATGTCGAGGTTCGTGTTAATATACATGAAAAGATGGATGAAAAAGAAAAGAAGGAACTCAATTTTAATTTATGTAGCTTGCAGATGCATTTGGACAGGAAATTGCCAGAGAAAACTTTACAACTGCATTTGTCAACATGTTGAAGGATTCAGAAGGTGAAGTTAGAACTGCTGCTGCCAGTCAAATTCCTGGCTATGCCAAGCTCGTCGATAAGACCGTCATCCTCCAAGATCTTTTACCTTGTGTAAAGTTACTTGTGACTGACGAGAACCAGCATGCTCGTGCTGCTCTTGCAAAAGACATCAGTGGATTAGCTCCTATCATTGGTCAAGACGCGTAAGTTTTGTACTATGCTTATGCTTAGGAAGTGTATCAGTTTTACTCACAATGAAAATTAGTACTATGGAATACTTGTTACCTTTATTCTTGCAACAATTGACAGATGAGTTCCCCGATGTTCGTTTAAATGTTATTTCCAACTTGGAGACCATCAACAAAGGTAAATCATAACAGAAAAAAAAATGTTTGGCAGTCAGTCTAAACACAATTATTTGAAGCTATTGGAATCGAGCGCGTTTCTCAAGCTTTGCTTCCTGCCATTGTTGAGTTGTCAGAAGATAAGCAATGGCGTATTCGTTTGGCCATTATTGAGTATATCCCTCTTTTGGCTAAACAATTCGGATCCAAGTTTTTCGAAGAGAAACTTTTGGACTTGTGCATGTCTTGGCTTCGTGATCTTGTATTCTCTATCCGTGAAGCTGCCACTGTAAATTTAATGAAGCTCACGGAAGTTTTCGGTGCTGAATGGGCAAAGACTGCTATTATCCCTGAAGTGATGAAAATGACAACAGATGAGAATTACTTGCATAGAATGACCACAATTTTTGCATTGACAGTAAGTGTATATTCCCAAGTCTTACATTTATTTTTAAAAAAAAATTGACGTGTATGTTATTAGACAATGGCGGAAGCTTTAACTCCCATCATGGTTAAAGAATCTATTCTTCCTACAATTACTGAAATGTCCAAAGACCCCATTCCCAATATCCGTTTTAATGTTGCTAAGTCATTGGAGACCTTGATACCATTATTGAAAAAAGATCCCAGCACAACTGAGCTTGTCAATAGCTCTGTTAAACCTACTCTTGAAAAGCTTAGCACAGACCAAGATGTTGATGTTAAATTTTTCGCTACAAGAGCATTGGAAAGCAATGTTTAATTTTTCTTTTTTTCAGTAACACGCATACACACACCCACACACCCACACACCACATCCGTCCTCACAACTTGTCTTATTTTTCTCTAAATGTAAATTGTAGTAGTCTTTCGTAGTAGTAATGAGCTTGATTAAAAATGAAACTTTTTTCTAAATATCAAATAAAGAAAAATGAAATACATAAACTATAGAGGGGGAAAGTGGCGCACACAGGCACATCGGACTATTTCTCTCATGCAATAATCGTCACTTGGCAACTTGTCAAAATCGAATTATTTTTACTACTATTCTATGTAAGGAATGCATTTGACAAGGGCTGCTTATAATAACCCAAAAACCTATTTATCTTCTTTCTCTCTTCTTTTCATTTATTATACCCTCTATTTTTTTAAACACAATCTAATTGCTGTTTAGAATAATACATTCTACTGCTCTCGTCCTACAAAATAAACAAACAACGCACCCCCTTTCTCCCTGAAACCCTTTTTATTTTTTGTTTGTTTGAAAAATGGCAACACAGCCGAATCCTTTGAAAAGGCTATCTGTTATGGCCGGTAAAAAAGGCCTTACAGATCTTCATATACCCACCATTACTGAGGATGCTCAAGACGTAGTTGGTAAGTTACTATGCTTTTTTTTTTTCGGAATATAATTGTTTTGCTAACATCACCAATAGGAATGCAAGGTAAATCAACATGTGATGTTTGTTGTATCACATGCTAACGAATTTTATAGGTCGTATCCGACTTCAAAAAGATGAAAGGATCAACACCAGTCAATGGATGGACAAACAAAGAAACAATTTGTTAGCCTATGAGTATCTTTGTCACATTGGAGAAGCAAAAGAGTAAGAAAGAGTCTTTATTATTTCTCCACATTTTCTTATAAAAATCTTCCGTTAAATCTAGATGGATAGAAGATTGTTTACAGTATGAAATTGATCCCATCATCAAGCTGGAGGAATCCATGCGAAATGGTATTGTTTTGGCCAAACTCTCCGAATGGTTTTCTCCCGGTATTGCGCGCAAAATATTTCAGGTACACCATATACATTTGTTTCGGTTCATCATATAACTGAACTCACTTTTTTAGGACTCCAAGCTTCAATTTCGTCATTCGGACAACATCAATTACTTTTTCGATGCACTGAAAGTTGTTCGACTACCTCAAATCTTCTGGTTTGAACTAACTGATCTTTATGAGAAAAAAAACATTCCGAAAGTGATTTACTGTATCCATGCCCTTAGGTAATTTTTTTCTCTTTCTGTTCATGTACCCTGTAACTTTTCTTAATGAGACTGTGTCATAGTCATTTGTTATCAAGAAGAAACATGGCGCCAAATATTAAAAACTTGTTGGGACAACTTCAATTTACTAGTAAGTAATCATCAATCCAAAAAACCTGTCGGTAGATTTTTTTAAACAAAGAAAAATAAAAACTCTCCTAGATGAGGAATTAAGCAAAACGCAGCTTCACTTGGATCTATCGGGTGTAACAATGCCCAATTTTAGGAACATTGGTAACTCTTTGCGTCGAGAGTTGAATGAATTCGATGCTGAGGATTGTGACGATGATTATAGTTTTAGACAAATGCCTGGTTTTGATAACTACCCGATGTTTAACACTCTATCTCGTACTATCCATACACCGGATTTGATTATTGAAGATGAAGATTCTGATTCGGAGCACTCCCAATTATCTATTACCGAATTTCCAGTCGATGAGGAAGAAGGTAAGGACTGAGTAAAATAATGCCAACAAGAGTGCTTAATTTTGTTTTCGCCTCTTTTTTTTTTATACGTAGGATTCGAGGATTACTGGTCTGATGACATAAACCACGCCAAGCTTATTAAATGTCAAGACTTTGCGCGAGGATGGCTCGCTCGGAAGGAATTTACTATGATCCAGAACGTTCACCAATCGACCCATTTTAACGATCTGATGACACGAATTCAATCCCGTGTCCGTGGAAATAATACCCGCGCAAAAATTGCAAGTTACAAGTCTGAATTGATCGATCACAGTAATTTCATCATCAAGTTGCAAAGTATTTCCCGTGGATTTCTGGTCCGACTCAAATACCAACAAACAATTGATTACTACAAATCACATATCGAGAAGATTGTTAAGGTCCAAAGTTTTGTCAAGAATAAACTACATGGAAACGCCTACAGGAAATTAACCACAGACTCCAATCCTTCTATCAGCACCGTCAAAAGTTTTATTCATCTTTTGGATGACAGTGACCTTGACTTTGATCGTGAATTGGAGTTGGAAGATATGCGCCAGCAAGTGATTGAGAACATACGGGAGAACAACCAATTAGATTCCCATATTAATGTGCTTGATATTCAAATCGCTCTCTTTTTGAAAAATGCTATTTCCATCGACGAAGTTTTGAAACACAGTGGTGCCTTTAAAAAGAAAAAAGAGCAGCAGCGTATCTTGAGCCAATTAGCTGCTAAAAATAACCAAACAAACCCCTTCTCCTTTGCTGGTATCGACAAGGAGAGTAGACAGAGACTTGAATCGTATCAAAAGCTCATCTATGTTCTACAAACCGAACCAAAGTATTTGGCTAGACTGTTATCCATGACAAACAGACAAGATCTAGGTCATTATTCAAGCCACAAATTGATCGAGTCTACCGTTCTGTCCCTTTTCGGCTATGCAACAAATGCGCGTGAAGAGTTTTTGCTGATTAATCTTTGCAAGGTAAACCTACAGAACTGCTTGTTTTTATAATTTCATACTAACATGTCTATTTACAGTATTGTATCGCCGAAGAAATGAAAGATGTACAAAGCACTCAAGAGTTTATGCGTGGAAACTATACGTTTATGAAACTTGTTGTTCAAACGAATCGAGGAGCAAAAGAAAGAGAGTTCTTCCGCACGCTTTTAACTCCTCTTGTCAACGAAGTTGTCCATAATGATTTCTTGGATCTTGAAACGGATCCAGTTAGTATATATCACAAGGCAATTAACGATGAGGAATCTAGAACTGGTATGCCATCCCTCCGTACCCATGCTGTTACTTCTCAAGACGCACTCTCTGACTCAGAAGTAAGAGATACCTTTGTGATTCATTTACGTAACCTCAGGGAGATTACCGAACAATTCTTTGCTGCCGTCACGTCTACTGTAGATACTGTTCCCTATGGTATACGCGTAGTTGCAAGAGAGTTAAGATTGATTTTGGAAGAAAATTTTTCGGATGAGCCTCATGAACGTATCATCCGTATCATTGGTAACTTTATCTATTATCGTTATTTGAACCCTGCTATTGTGTAAGTTTCCGTATGTTATCTATATTTTATCATGATTAATCTGACCTAGATTGAATTAGTGCACCCGAGCAATATGACGTGATTGATGCTGTTATTAATCCTGTACAAAGGAAAAATTTGGCAGAGGTAAATCAAGAGTCGATATTGCCGTCTTCAGATGCTAATTATTCTCCTTTTAGGTCTCTAAAATGTTGCAACATATATCAAGTGGTTCTGTGTTTGAAGATGCACATGATATTTTTTTAGCTCCTTTAAATGAATATGTTGCAGATGCAGGTCATCGCTTTGGAGAGTGGTTTTTGGAACGTAAGTGTACTATAAATATATGTATATAATAACGCCCCCATCTAAACCAAAAGGTTGCAGTGACTGATGTTGAAGACCCAGAAAGCTATTTTGGAATGCATGCTTTAACTGATCAGACCAACACACACAAGCCTGTTGTGTATCTGTCACCCAAAGAGTTATTCCATTTACATTATACATTGGAACATAATTTGGATATGATCGAGCCTGAAGGATCTGGTATTCTTCACGATATCTGCAAGGAAATTGGACCTTCTATTTATCATCCCGATACCGAACTACCTGAAACAATGGTCTGCTTGACATTGACCAACAACTGTGACGATATTCCCATGGACCCTACAGCCCGTCTTCAACAATTATTGGTTGACACCAAACGACTTGTCATTTATGTCATCAAAATTCAAAGTGGAAAGGATTTAGCACATATTTTCCAAGAAGCGGTATCAACGGATCACGAAAGAGTTTGGACTAAATTTAAATCACAAGAGTTTTTAGAAGGAGCAGAGGATCATACCGTTATCACAAAAAGACGCTATCTAAAACTCGGACAGTCGGAAGACCCCTTGGATTTACAAAGGTAAAGCAAAATGAACGATCTATCTAAATCCAGGCACCTGACAGTTTTTCTTAGCATTTCCTTTTTCCAACTCAAGCGCATTGCAAGCAGGCTTGTAGTACATTTGGAGACTTGCAAAGTGATTGCTAATAATAATGCCTATCAAGATGTGATCAACATGATTGCTCGTGATATTACGGGAAAAAATACGCGGCGATTACAACGTGACCGGGAATTAGCACGTATGAAGCTGACATTGAACCATTTAAAGGAAAAGAGGGATTATTTGCTTGAGCAAGGCAATTCGTACGAGGGATATTTGAATAGCTGTATGACATCTATGGCAACCAAGCGGGGGAAGAAACAAAAGTTTATCTTTCCTTTTACACGTCAATATTTCCATATGCGGGGTTTGCAAAAATTAGGGTTAGTACCCAAGTTCGGTTCCTACAAGTATACTGCCAAACAGTTATTTGAACGAAATGTAATTTTGGAGTTGATGGGTATCCCTAAGAGACATTATGATCGTATTCCTATTATTCTATCGATGGACCAAGCAGGAATTATTACGATTGAAGGAAGTTATTCCGGCTGGCCAATGTCTTCAGTTCAAGTAGATCTGCGTTATGAAGAGCTTTTGCAGACCCAGTTTGAAGGTGTTCAGACGGTTACTGTCCTGGATGGCATGGCCAAAGTAAACGTGAATTTGTTAATCTATCTAATCAACAAAAAGTAAGTGAATTACGATGATCTTGTACTATTTATACTCAGTTTTTCTTGTACTAGGTTCTACGCATAATTGTATTTATATCTTTTTTTTTTCCTTTCTTTTTTTCTTTTTTGCTCAACAGGTGATACACAATTTGTAGTGTAAATAAACAAATTTGAGGATCTTCCAAAATTTCTAGATTATTTGCAGTCTTCCTACTTACTATTTCTGTCAAGATGATATTTTAATGTTTTCAGATATGGGTGTTTATACCCTTGTTGCAGAGCGATTAGAAAGAATAAAATCAAAAAAAAATTACAAGAGTAAAAACTGCTGTTTATGAGTAATAAACTACACATCCCAGACAACGGTTACACGATAATGTTATTCTTTTTTTTTTAAAATAGACTTTCGCACCTTTCTTGGTCCTTCCCTTTTTCCTTTCCGCTTTATTTATATGCTTAAATCAGATGATTTTTATACAGTTACTATCGAAAATAGTCAGGAAAAGTTTACTATCCATAAGCAGTACAAAATCATTCGAAAAGTAGGTGCAGGATCATATGGATCTGTTTGTAGTGCCCTCAATGTAAATACCAATGAAGGTAAAAAAAAAGAAAAAAAGAAAGAAAGTTGGGGGGTTTATTCCATATTGACATAAACTTTAGTTGTTGCTATTAAAAAATGTCGTCATATATTTGACAAAAAGTTAATTACGAAACGTTGTTTACGGGAAATGAAATTGCTTCAACATTTAAATGGTCATCCACGCATCATTGATTTACGAGCCATGGACATTGTCGATCCTAGAACATTCAATGAAGTTTACTTAATACAATCTTGTTGTGATACTACCATGGCAGATATTATTCATTCAAAGCTTGAACTAGAAGCAGTACATTATCAATGGTTTATGTACCAACTGTTTTCAGGTTTAAAATTTATCCATAGTGCCAACGTACTTCACCGTGATTTAAAACCAGGTAGAATACATTCAAGATACGTTTCATCATGCTTCTGCTAACATCTCTTCCATAGCAAACATTCTGGTTAATGAAAATTGCGACTTGAGGATTTGTGATTTTGGTATGGCCCGTGGGTTTGTCAGTCCTTCAGATCATGTAGAATCGCAGTATATGACACATTATGTAGTCACTCGTTGGTATAGAGCTCCTGAAATCATGCTGAGTCGGAACACCTACGATAAGTCTAGTAAGTTTTTTATTTTTTCTCTTTAGTTGTCTGTGGTGTATACTAACAATAAAGAAAAAGTTGATCTATGGTCTGTTGGTTGTATCTTGGCAGAACTATTGGGCCGAAAAGTGTTATTTAAAGGTACAGATTATGTTGACCAACTGCACAAGATTGTCGGTATTTTAGGGTTACCTCATGATACTTCATTCTGGGACAATTCCTCTTCTGTCACTGAATATATTAAAAACTTACGTGATGAAAGTGGTTTGCCTCCTCCCACAGAACCGATTGATTTCCGTATTGTATTCCCCCATGCTCCCACCGAAGCTCTCGATTTACTTCAAAACCTGCTTTGTTTGGACCCTTCGAAAAGAATGACAGCAAATGCTGGATTAGAGCATCCGTTTGTGGCTGCTGTTAGAGATCCAGCAGAAGAGGTAGAATGTAGTCAACCCTTTGATTTCGAGAGCTTTGAATTGATTGAAAGTGAACATGTCTTGCGCCAATGTATTGTAGAGGAAGTGATGAGGAGTAAAGGTTTGGAACATGATGCTTTTAGACAACATTCCATGTCCTCGGTAAACTCGCAACCCTCTCGTCGTTACACCGGAAGTTCCATATCTACTCCATCTTCCGCTTTTGTGACTGAAGCTAATTTAAATGCGATTCATGCCGCACAACAAGGAAGAGATGTGTTTCAACAACCTCCAGATCCAAGCCAATTTCAATATATGGTTATGAATCCCGAACAATTTGTTGGAGAACCAGAGGATATGGATGAGGACGATATGAAATTAATGGATAGCGATGATAGTGACATCCATGTAGGTAAAAGACGTACACTTGTTGGGCCCTCAAATGCTGATTATAGAGCCTTGGAGAGACATTTAAGTAAAGATTGGTAAATAAATCAATAAAACAAGTGGTAATGATACCCCCACCCACCCTTTTATTATATAATGATGATGATTATTTATTATTTAATTGTATATATATTTTTTAAAAAAAAAAGCGAAAGTATATGGGAGAAAAGGGTCTAAATATGAATTTACATAATGGTACATTCCGAATCCTTGGAATTATTAGAAGATGTGTTATTGTCATCACGCGTGTGTTTTCGTCTTTGTTGTTGTCGTGCCCCACTATATTTAAGTTCTGTCAAACGTTGCATTGCTCTTCGGTAATTCTGTGCAGCAGCACGCATATACCAACGCTTAGCTTCTTCTAAATTTGGTCTTACGCCTGTACCCGTTTCTGTGTAATAACCTACAGCATACTCAGCTTTTGCATTGCCTTTATCAGCAGCCTTGCGAGCCCATAAGTAAGCTTCGGCATCACTTTGAGGCAACACACCTTCTGCACCAGTCAGATACCAGCCAGAAAGAGCAAACTCAGCTTCCAGATCTCCTTGCTCAGCAGCTTTTGAATACCATGCAATTGAGCGTCTAGGATCTACAGGACAATTTAAAAAGCCATTTTCATATGCCAGACCTAGTTTAAACTGAGATGGGGCGTATCCGTATTGAGCAGCCTGAGTAAACAACTCACGGGCATAGTTGAGATCGGGAATGACAGAAGGGACACCTTCTTTTTCAAAGGCCAAACCTAATTCATGTAAAGCATGCGGATGATCTTCATCAGCCTGTTGAGAGGCACGTTTTAACCAAGAGATACCTTCACGGGGATTTTTAGGTTGACCAAGGAACCCTTTTAATAAAATCATGCCTAATTTGTACATGGCTACACTATTTCCCAAATTAGCAGCCTTTCTATAAAACTGGATTGCGTGGTTCTTGTCTCTTTTGGTGCCCGCTCCCACTTCGTAACAAACAGCGGCCCTAAATGTACAATCAGGATGACTTTGTTTGGATCCTTGAATATAGAGAGCAAAGGCCTTATCGGGATCTGTCTGAAGTCCCATAGCACCTGTACCGTAACAATTGGCCAAATAAAATTGAGCATCTGCATAACCCTGTTTACCCATTCCAGAATGCGCAGCCAGTTTTTTGCAGATTTTTTGTGCTTCCATCAACATGGCTTCACGTGCTCTCTTTGTACGTTTTGGATCTTGTTCATCAGGGCGTAATTGATTTGCTGCTTCGACCAAAAACTTTGCTAATTCTAGAGAGGCATGAGGATTATTTCCTTCCGCTTCTTTACGGTACATGGCTAGTGTCTCCTTGTTGGCAGGCGGGAAATGACTCCCCTTGGGTTTTTTACCAGCAGAATTTGCTACAGCAACTGAGCTATCAGCTAGATAAGATCCATCTTGGGATTGTACGATGGTAGCTGAAGAATTGTTATTGAATGTTGGAGGTATGATGGGTCTCATTTGAGGATTATAAGCATTATTATTATTTGGATAGTAATTATGAGTTGGTGGAGGGGGTGGACGCATATTATTTTGTTGCTGTTGAGGTGGAGATAATGATGGGCCTGACATCATGGGTTGTGGCGGTAACGGAGCACCCTGTCTATACTGAAACTGTTGAGAAGGAGGAGGAGGCCTATGATCAGCATAATAAGCAGTGGGTTGTCTACTTAGACCAGGATTGTACGGATAAGGTCTTTGATGAGGCATTCCATTTTGAAAAGGAGGAGGACGTTGGAAGGAAGGCGAATACTGAAGAGGTCTATGATTTTGAAAGGAGGGTGAATATTGAAGTGGCCTAGCATTTTGAAAAGAAGGTGAACGTTGTTGAGGTTGCACAATGAGGCGTGGAGAGTTTGTGCTTATTGTTGGAGAGCCACTGACCGAGGAATTTACAGATCCTGGTGACACGACGTCGTCAGGCTTTAAAACAATATTAGAGTTTGTGTATATTAATGGCTTTTGAGGCGTGACAGTGCTCGAAACATTCTCAGGGGTGTCGGTTGACTTTATGCTGAGCTTTTCGAATTCGACTTGAGATGATGTGTTAATGTCTGAATCAGGTTGAACAATGTCCGATTCATTTAATGTTAGGGTCATGTCGTCGTACTTTTAAGTTGTCGATTTTACTGGCTATTTGAACTGTGTATGCTTAGAAAATGAATTTTTTTTACTGTGTTTTATTTAAAAGGAGTGTAATAAGTTCAAAGGCCTAAGAAAAGAAAAAAAGAAGAATGATAATATTTAAAAAAAGAAAGATAAAAAAATGTAAATTTGCTGACCGTTTATCCTGTCATTTGTATCACCATTTCCTCATATTTCCCGAGCGTATCCTTTAGCTGTTTTTTCCGTCTTTTTTTAGATCTCGATATATTTATACATAAATGTACAAAAAAAAGAAAAAAAGGTTATTTTTGTTACTTGCAAGTATTTGTTACCTTGTTAGTTACAATTGCAATTTTCATGCACTTCATTTTTTCGAAATTAATCAAAACTGGATTTATTTAGTGTAACATGCACAAGATAGACAGTAACAAAACCTGTCTATCTATTTCCAATTAAACAGGAACACTTTTATCCTGTTTTTTACATGTAATCGTTGGATCAAGGCCACTTTTTGTGTCTGAAACTAGCTATTTCAGTGGCTACCAGCCAACTACATGGCGCTTTAGCACTCTACTTTTGAGAACAGAGTGTGTTACTGCATGAACAGCATCAACAAACTCTATTTTGTTGATGCTGTGACGTAGTTTTTTTTTTTTTTTTTTTTTTTTCTTGAACACTCAGCTCTCCTATTAATTTTTAATTTGTTTTTTTTTCTACAATTTCATAAGCTCATAATGGATTTGACATTGGAACAACATGAGGCACTCTTGAAAATGACAGAAGAAGAACAAAAAGCTATCCTTGATGCCACACCCAAAGCAGCTCTCGTCGAGGACTTTCAAGAGAATATACGATCAAGGAAACAAGGCAGGAGTATAAGGGCATTGACGACAGCTCTGTCCATGAGTAGAGCCGAACGCGAAGTAGCACTAAAACAAAAGAAGCAAGCCTTTAAAGAGAAAACAGAAAACGACGATGAATCCTTTGACCCGTTGATGGACTATATTGAATATGCAGAATGGCTAGTTGAAATGACGCCTGACGGTTATGGTAGTAATGACCTCGAGACACTTTTACACGACGCGACCAATCGTTTTGCAAAAGAACCACGTTACAAAAACGATGTTAGATATTTAAAGCTGTGCATTGAGTATTCAAAGTGGGTGGAGGAGCCGCTAGAGATCTTTTCTTTTCTTGTCAGGAATAAAATTGGGTGTGATTCAGGTGAGTTTTACCATGAATACGCATCACACCTAGAAAGTCTGGACAGGTAAAACTTGCTTTTAAAAAATAAGTATACACATACTTATGTATCCTTGTAGGCATGAAGACGCCATCAAGGTTTATCAATCAGGCATAGGAAGAAACGTGCGTGGTGCCAAAAAATTAAAAAAGAACCTCGAGAGTCTGATATTAAGAGTGGATCAGAGAATAGCGCGAGGAATAATTAGTAGAGAAAGTGATGCAAAGAAACAAATGAATTTGTTGAAGCAACAAGGTCGGTCAATGCTTGGACATAAATCTGACAGCCGTTCAAGGTATTCAGTGCCAGCCAACGTACGGGCAGGTATACAGGCTGCTCATGGATCACCTTCAACTACTCGAATGTCATTTGGAAATGATGGTCCTAGTACCTCAAAATCAGAGTCTTCATTTACAGTATTTAGGGATGAACCATCTAGTAGTTCATCACTAACTACACCACCACCACCATCTTTATCTAGAAATGATCCAACAGGTCATATATTTAAGCCAACTCGTTCAAAAATTGATAGGGCTGAGAATAGGCGTACAGCGGCAGACTTTGTAGGCGTCACTATACCACAGGCAGAGAGGAAAGAGCCAGTACATCAACCTTTTGTTATATTTAGAGATGATATGGAGCCGGAACCAAAAAAGAGACCCCCAAGGCAGCACTCTGGCATCAATCCGGATTCATCGTCAGACGATCTCACAATAATTGAAGGATCAGTATTAGCTCACGGTGTGAATTCTCAAACACGCTTAAATGTCGAGAAAGAACATCGAAAAAGACTGGAGAAGCATTTCAAACAAAACGAACAAATATATTTCGAATCACATAACACAAAAGGTCAAATGGAAATTATTGCGGTATCAAAAGCAACACATAGCCTAGCCTGTTTCGAGGAGGATAGGATACATTATCAGGGGATTAAATACGAGAAACCAAAGGATGTTCCAGGGGATGGTAATATATATATATACATAAAAACAGATGCTCAAGTTGGAAATTAAACACTTCTGTTTGCATAGGATTTGAATTGTTTAAGAAACAACGAAATTTCGAGATGCCAGATATAGGTTATACTACAGAAACAAGAAACGCCAGGGAACTTGTAAATCAACAGTTATTTGGGCAGAATCCAGGTTATCCCGATGATGAAGATGTGACATGGACAAGCCCGTTTGAACGTGTTCCTATTAAAAGAAAGCATACCATTAATGAGAACGAGTAAATTAGCAGTTGTGAAGTCCGCTAAATTCCACCCAGTTTAAAAAAAAAAAGGGGCGACTTGAATACCACGTTCCTATTTCCTTTTCCTTTCCTTGTTTCCAAAAATAAAATAAAAAGTAATTGAATGAAATCAACCAAGGCACAGAAATCAGCTACTCTTCCAAGAGTAGAAGACAAACGAATCGTCAGAGATGCCTTAACCTCTTCTGTATGTTTGTACCTGAATTCTTTTTCCTGATGACCGACTCACCTTCTTTTTTGTTGTCGTTGTAGAATATCTTCATAGCTGCCGTTGCTCGTCTATATATAGCTAATAATAACACATGGAAATACTCGGGGTTATGGGGTGCCGTAGCTTTTTGTAAAGATCGAAATAAGAATAACGCTCACTATATTCGACTGATTGACATGGAGGATGGTAAGGGTGTCATTTGGGAACAGGAGTTATATGAGGGTTTTCAGTACGTTAAGGACTGTGCTTACTTCCATACTTTTGAGACTGATGTAAGTAGTCAATATATGTTGCTTATATTTACTGACTTTCTCTCGTAGGATTGTCTTGCTGGTATCCTTTTCGTTCATGGAGGAGAGGCGGACTTATTTCATGAGAAACTGACTAGCAGGGAGGCCAAACACAAGAAGAGGTAAGAACGGGTTTCTTCCTCCATATTTAAATACTAATTATTCTATTTAGTAGCGATGTTGGACGTGTGAGCTATATACCAGGAAAGGGGTTTACCATTGATAATAATGATCCAGAGATACTTGCAATCCTGAAGGAACTAGAGAAATTAGATGATTTTTCAGCGGCTGACATTGATCAAAACCAAGATTTTATTCAAAGCTTTATTCAGCAGTACCGAAATAGTAAGAAGGAAGCATCCACTACGAATACCAATAGAAGAGCACCACCTCCACCACCACCACCTCCTTCTAGAAGATCAACTAGAAATAATATGCCTCCCCCACCTATACCACCTATGAAGAGCAGAAGTCCAGCTGGCCCACCTCCCCCACCTCTTCCCAATCGTGGTTTAAGACAAACCCCATCTATACCGTCATTTAATACTCACCCTTCAGCTCCTCCCCCTCCTCCCATGAAGAATAATTCCCCTCCGGCTCCACCCCCACCACCCATGATGAATGCTCCACCTCCACCACCGCCTCCACCCATGATGAATGCTCCTGCCCCTCCCCCTCCCCCTCCCCCTAATAGTAACGCTACCGCATCTCCAAAATCATCACCTATACCCAAACCCCCAGCAGCGCCGGGTGGTGGGCGTAGTGATCTTATGGCTGCTATTCGATCTACCGGTGGATTCGGATCTTTAAAGAAAGGTGGTACACTCAAATCCACACCCAGCAGTAGTAGCAGATCCCCAAGTGCCATGTCTAACAGTAGTAATACGAACGAAAGTATGGCCTCTAGTCTTGCTGCTGTGCTTCAACAAAGAAAAACCGCTATGCAAAGCGACGACGATGACGATGATGACGATGATGATTGGAAGTAAAGAAGTAAAAATAAAAAAAGTACATTATAGAGCTATACGAATCCTAGATCTTTTTATTATTATTATTATTATTATTATTATTCGTGTACTATCTGTTTTGAGATGATAGTACAATAATAACTAACAACTAAGAGTCCTTCTACTGCAGGATTATCTGCTTCCGCCTAATCTTTATGCTCATTGCCCAAATGTTTGTGACGCCTTTCTTATGAAAACTGATAATAAAAATAGTTCTTTAAATTACAAAGACGGGCAAGAAACACGTCAAAAATAAAGATGACATAGAGGAACATACCAGCGATGTTTATTGTTGAAAGCAGCACAAATTGTGACAACCGGGAAATGAGATATGCGCCGCAGTGTTTGTCGAAAAGAATTTAAAAGCCAGTGCTGCGCGACAAATTCATTTGAGTATAAAATGAATGTTTCCAACTTATTTTTTCTCTTGAACTGCTCAATTACATTATAACACATTAAATAAATGGTCAGTACCACGCCATTTAGTTCTGTCCTTCATCAGCTACTGGCAACGAGTAAGCCTAGCTCCAAGGGAAAAGGCAAAGCCAAATCTCAACCTACTGATTTCGTATCCTCCTCCACACCTGTAAATAGCAAGAATTGGAGTGAAACAGTAGAGGCTTTTGTCGATCTTGTCGAGAAATACGAAAAGAATCATGTTGCGACAGAAGGTAAAGTGGTATTGCAAATATGATAGACTTGGAGCTACAACTAATTCACTTGCATTAGGTGTCACCGAGATTACTTTTGGAAGTGACATTGAATTTCACGCCCCCGATAAACCATTTATCAATTTAGCAGAAGAAGAAGAAGAAGAAGAAGAAGAAGAAGAAATAGTTACGCCTGCCGTCCAAAAACAAGCAGTGGAAACTATAACTCACGCTAGTAAAAACAACGCAGCTGTATATGATCGTAATTGGCTTTTACAGTAAGAGATAGCAGTGATTATTTTTATAACAACCCATTGACCTTTTTATTAGACAAGCTAGTAAATATATTTCAGAAAACCCAGACTTGGGATTAAATGCACATCAATTGTGTGCAGATGTATTTACCGTAATTCGATCCGGAGACAGCGACGAAAGTATCCAAGCATCCCTCGTTGAACTGTTAGGATATCAAGCATTTGATTTCATATCCGACTTGATATTGAACCGTTCCACCATTGTACATAATATCATTCGAATGTCTGACTATGACGAACAGCAACCTAAAGGAAAAACCTCCGCTCCTATCGAACCCCGTCGTCCTGCCTATGGTCCTCAATTCACTGTTCAATCAGAAAAGGAAATACGAGAGGAAAAGAGACAGAGAAAAGAGCAAAAGAAAGCCTTGAAGGCTAATAACAGAGTTGAAGGTAGATTTGGGATGAAAATTTTTCTACATCTAGAACAGATATATTAAAAAATGAAATATTAGATGATGCGAACTCGGTCTCTATGAGTATTTTGGGATTTGATGGAGAGGCGTTGAGACAAGCCAGAGAGGATGCACTTATTAGCGCCAGTGAAACACCTTTATTCAGTTCCAACTACAAGACTAAAGCAGCTGTCAATTATCCCCATGTGTATCAAGCAAGTCAGCAAGGAGGCACTTTATCATTATTTGGCACACGTTACGCATTACCCGCTGGTACTGTACGCGAAGAATTCAACGATTATGAAGAAACCATCATTCCTGTACCTAAGAAAGCACCTATTCGTTTTGGCGAGAAACTCATTGACATCAATGAACTTGATAGTTTATCTAGAGGCGCATTTAAAGTTAGTCTATACACCTAAGAACTGACAAGGGTTCAAAAATTAATCTTTTTTTTTTTTTCGGTAGGCTTACGAAACTCTTAACAGAGTTCAATCCATTGTATATCCTGTAGCCTACGAAACGAACGAGAACATGCTTGTTTGTGCTCCCACTGGTGCGGTAAGACAATAAGAAACCATGATAGGAATGCTTTTTTCTAATACTTACAGATACTTCTTTTTTCTGCATAGGGTAAAACTGATGTTGCTATGTTAACTGTGCTTCGTTGTATTGCCCAGCATTGTTCCCCTCCCCCTAGAAAAGGCACTACAGAAATCGATTTCACCATTGCCAAAAACGATTTTAAAATCATTTACGTTGCTCCTATGAAAGCGCTTGCTGCTGAAATTGTTGAAAAGATGGGAAAGAGATTAAAGTTCTTAGGTGTCAGTGTGCGCGAATTAACGGGTGATATGCAATTGACGAAGGCCGAAATTAGCTCCACCCAATTTATTGTAACAACGCCCGAGAAGTGGGATGTAATCACTAGAAAAGGTACTGGTGATGTGGAGCTGACTCAGGTATTTTTTTAAATTCTTGTGTTTTTAAAGCAAGTGCATCTCAACATGATATCACTTTGTAGAAAGTCAAATTGTTGATTATTGATGAAGTTCATCTTTTACACGAAGATCGTGGTGCTGTCATCGAAAGTATCATTGCTCGAACACTTCGTCAAGTCGAATCCAGTCAATCTTTGATTCGTATTGTTGGTCTTTCCGCCACACTTCCTAATTATCTTGATGTCGCTGCCTTCTTAAGGGTGAATCCATATCAAGGTTTATTCTACTTTGATAACGGCTTCAGACCCGTTCCTTTAGAGCAGCATTTCTTGGGTATCAAGGGAAAACCAAATACGCTTCCATCTAACGAAAGAATGAACCGTGCTTGTTTCGACAAAGTTTCCGAGCTCGTGAAAGATGGCCATCAAGTCATGGTTTTTGTTCATGCACGAAAAGAAACTGTAAAAACTGCCCAAATGCTACGAGAGGAAGTAGCCACTGAATCCCTTGGAGGTAATCCTCTTTTTTTTTCTACCTGTACCTCATACATCTAAATAATGGTATTAATATTTTTTTTCTGCAAAGATTATTTCGACTGCTCAGAATCATCCAAGTATACTCAGTTTAAGAGAGATATAGCAAAGTCTCGAAACAAGGAAATGAAAGAACTATTTCAATATGGTTTTGGTATTCATCATGCTGGTATGCTTAGATCCGATCGTACCATGACCGAAAGGATGTTCCAAGAAGGTGCCCTTAAAGTTCTTTGCTGTACCGCAACACTTGCCTGGGGTGTTAATTTGCCTGCTTATGCCGTTGTTATCAAGGGTACTCAAGTGTATGATTCTACCAAGGGTAGCTATATCGATTTATCTATTCTGGATGTCCTCCAAATTTTCGGTCGTGCTGGTCGTCCTCAGTATGAAACGCATGGTGTAGGCTATATCTTGACTACACACGATCGATTGTCGCATTATATCTCAGCCATCACTCAACAACATCCTATCGAATCTAAATTTATTGAGAACATTGTCGATAACCTCAACGCCGAAATTTCTTTAGGTACGGTCACCAATGTGGATGAAGCGGTTACGTGGCTTAGTTACACTTACTTGTATGTGCGTATGAAGAAAAACCCCATGATTTATGGTATGGATAACAGTGAACCTCTTAATGATCCTTTACTGGGTCGTAAACGCCATGAAATTATCACGATGGCCGCTCGTAAATTAGCGAAATGTCAAATGATTGTTTTTGATGAAAATACGGGATATTTGATTCCCAAAGATCTCGGTCGTATCTCTTCCAACTTTTATATCAAGCATACCAGTATCGAAATTTTCAACACCATGATGAAACCTCGTATGACTGAAGCAGATGTTCTGTCCATGATGAGTATGAGTTCGGAATTTGATCAGATTAAATCTCGAGACACTGAACATCAAGAGTTGAAGAAACTTTTGGAAAACTCTTGTGCGTGTGATATCAGGGTAAATATAGGATTACAATTGCTATGAATGGATAACTTAACTTAAATATATAATAGGGTGGCACAGAAGATACTCACGGCAAGGTCAACATTTTACTGCAATCCTATGTCTCTAACGCATATATCGAAGATTTCGCACTTGTTTCCGATTGTGCGTATGTTGCTCAGAACTCGAGTCGTATTGCTCGTGCATTGTTTGAGATCGCCTTAAACAGAAACTGGGGTCCTACAGCCTCCGTATTGTTACAGATCAATAAGGCTGTTGATAAACGCATGTGGACTTTCCAACATCCTTTGCGTCAAATGGGATTACCTCATGATATCATTGGCAAAATTGAAAACCGTACACACGAAGTGTCTATTGAAGAAATGCGTGATATGGATCCGAATGAATTAGGCGAACTTGTCCACCATAAACGTATGGGAATGACTATTTCTAAATGTGTAGATGAGTTTCCTATGCTTATCCTGGATGCGCGCATCGCACCTATTACTCGTAACGTCTTAAATGTGGAGCTTACTATCACGCCCGATTTTGTTTGGAACGACCGTATTCATGGTAGTGTTGAACCTTGGTATATTTGGGCAGAAGACTCTGATAATGTCGAGATTTATTACACGGAATATTTCTTACTTTACAAGAAACAGTTTGGTGAACCAGTCAAGATTCAATTTACTGTCCCTTTGGTTGAACCTCTTCCTTCACAAATTTACGTTCGTGCTGTCTCGGATCGTTGGTTAGGCGCTGAGACTATCCTTCCCATCTCTTTCCAACATTTGATTTTACCCGAACTCTACCCTCCTCATACGGACTTACTTGATTTGCAACCACTTCCTATCACAGCTCTCAAGAATGAAGTACTGGAAAACATTTGCGCAAAGAGATTTACTCATTTCAATCCTGTACAAACTCAAATTTTCCACACCTTATATAACACTGATAGTAACGCTCTTGTGGGTGCTCCTACAGGTTCCGGTAAGACTGTAGCCGCTGAATTAGTTATGTGGGCTGCCTTCAGAGATCGTCCTGGATCCAAGGTAGTTTATATTGCTCCTATGAAGGCCCTTGTGAAAGAAAGAGTCGGTGATTGGGGTAAGCGTTTAACTGGTCCGATGAACAAGAAGCTTGTGGAATTAACAGGTGATGTGACCCCGGATCTCAAGACAATTGAAGCTGCCGATATTATTATCACTACACCTGAAAAATGGGATGGTATCAGTCGTAGTTGGCAAAAGCGTAGTTATGTCCGCAATGTATCTTGTGTTATTATCGATGAAATTCATTTGCTTGGTGGTGATCGTGGTCCCATTCTTGAAGTAATTGTTTCGCGTATGAACTACATTGGTTCTCAATTGGAGAAGAAGGTGCGTATTGTAGGCCTGTCTACTGCGCTTGCCAATGCCATCGATTTAGGAAACTGGCTGGGTATTGATAAGGTTGGACTTTTCAATTTCAGACATTCTGTTCGTCCTGTACCTTTGGAGATTTATATTGATGGCTTCCCTGGAAAACATTATTGCCCCCGTATGGCTACCATGAACAAACCTACTTATGCTGCTATTAAGACACATTCACCTACACAACCTGTGATTGTGTTTGTTTCTTCCCGTCGTCAGACACGTTTAACTGCTCAAGATTTGATTGCGTATTGTGGTATGGAAGACAACCCTCGTCAATGGCTTCATATGGATGATATGGAGATGGAAATGATTTTGGATAGCGTGCAGGATGAATCGCTCCGTATGTCACTGGCATTTGGTATTGGTCTTCATCATGCAGGTTTGAAGGAAAGTGATCGAAAAGTAGTTGAAGAACTCTTTTTGAACATGAAGATCCAAATCTTAATCGCTACTAGTACTTTGGCTTGGGGTGTCAATTTGCCTGCTCATTTGGTCGTTATTAAGGGTACCGAATTTTATAACTACAAGGAGCGTCGTTATGTGGATTTCCCCATCACGGATATTCTTCAAATGATGGGTCGTGCCGGTCGTCCTCAATTTGATAACACGGGTATCTCTCGTGTCTTTGTACAAGACAGTAAGAAGAACTTTTTCAAAAAGTTTTTGCACGAGCCTTTTCCTGTGGAGTCTAGTCTTCACAAGTTTTTGGATGATCATATCAACGCCGAAATTGTCGGTGGCACCATCAAGTCGAAGCAGGATGCACTTGATTATTTGACTTGGACTTACTTCTATAGACGTTTGCAACAAAATCCTACCTATTATGGATTGGATGATATGACACAAAAGGGTGTCGATACGTTTTTGTCAAACACGATTAATGATGTTACAGCGCGACTTGCCGATGCTGGGTGCGTGGAAGTTGTGGATGATTTTGAATTGGTTCCTTTGATTTCCGCTCGCATCGCTTCTTATTACTATCTTCATCCTCAAACCGTGCGTCATTTCAGAGATCATGTACACAAGGCTTCTGGTTTGGACGACATTCTTGATATCTTGGGTAATGTTCCTGAATACGAAGAACTTCCTGCTCGTTGTCAAGAAGATCTTTTGAATCAAGAAATTGAGAAATTTATTCCTTATGATGTCAAGGGCACCCCCAACTTTATCAGTCCTCATGTCAAGGCCTATGTTCTGGTCCAGGCTCACATCAGTCGTCTCGCATTACCTAGTTCTGATTATATCACGGATCAAATCACCGTTTTGGATTCGGCCATTCGTTTCTCACAAGCAATGATCGACGTGGCTGCAGATAGTGGCTTTTTAAACACGAGTTTGACCATCATGAATATGCTTCAATGTATCAAACAGGCGCGTTGGCACGATGAGTCTCCTCTTTTGACGTTGCCACATATTCAACAGAAAATGCTTCATCATATCCGTCACAAGGTAAAAAAAACCGCTTTTTATGTTTTTGTTTGTACGTAAAAAGTAACAATCATTGTCTTTTTTAGGGAAAACCCGTAAAGTCATTAGCTGAACTTACGAGGCTCTCGGATACCCAAATCAAGCAAATATTCTCTAACGTCAACGACTTAGACGAAAGGAATGTGGACGAGGTAATACAAAGTCTTATATTTATAAAGGGGGTGGGGCGGGGAAGGTATCACAAGTATAACTAACAAAGAGTCATATAATAGATTCGACGTGTGGTTAGTCGACTTCCCAATATCAATGTGAAAGCAGAAATTGAAACAAAAAAGACATATTTGATTCCAGAAACCACATATAAAATCTCGGTGCAATTGAACCGAATCACTCCCCGTGACAGCAAGAAAAAACCTCACGATGGAAGAATCTTTTCCCCTCGATTCCCCAAACCCCAATATGAATCTTGGTGGCTGGTTTTGGGTGACACGAATAATGATGAATTGTTAGGTTTGAAGCGTGTCAGTATGCGTAATGGTCCCAATGAAACTTTAGGACATAGAATTAGCTCAAGTATTTCTTTTGATACTCCTGCTCATATCGGCAAACATAGATATACTCTGTATCTTGTCAGCGATGGCTATCTTGGTTTGAACCAAGAAATTGAAATGCCATTCGAAACAAGAATGGATTTAGACTCCTAAGTCGTGTGCACCCACTTGTAAGTGCCTATTTAAATATTTAAATAAGCCTGAAGCTCGTTAAAATAGTAGAGTGCATATATATAATAAATTGTCACACATACGTGTATTAAATATGATTTTTGTTGCTGAAAACACGTTAAATTACCGCTTAGCTGATGTAAATTCCTGCTCTGGTTTGACGTGTTACGTGTTTTAAAAAAAACTTGTTTGCATTGTGTAAATATCAAGATAAAGTAATTGTATCATAAAATGTATCATGTTCGAAATTGTTCAAACTAGCCCAAAAAGACAACAATGAAACTGTATTATACCAACAGCTATTTTTCCAAGTTAATCCACAGATGGTACAAAATTATCAGGAGGTTGTGTAATAAATATATGCATATATCTATATAAAACTTCTCTTGAAACATGCATTTTGTTTCCATTATGAGTGATTAAGACCGTGACCTCAATCGTCAGTAGATGGTCCAATTAGCCGAAAAATTGGTGCTTTTAAAAGATCCAACAAATGATTTTTTAAAAATAGCTGCAAACATTTTGGTACATAACTAGTGTAGAATCGATAATATTACAACCGAATATATCAATTGGACTTGTCGGCACAAACAGTGAACAAAGAGTATAACAACATTGCAAACAAAGAAAGAATGGCATTGTGAGCTATAAATTTTTTTCGGGCACCCAAAGTGTGCCGGACAAGGCTGCAAATATTCATCGCAGAAAATCATGAATTGGCTGAAGAAAAACCTTTTGGGGTTGAATCTCCACAAATTTTGCGTAATGTGTAAAGACGGATCGTCTTTATGATATATTTACCAGCCGTAAGATTGAGGTCATCCAGCTTAGTGAATTTTCCCGGCTCATTGGATTATTCCAAAAGATTTGTATCTACACATTTTTAGTTGGCAGTTAAATGAATAAGACTAGCGTTGTTATAAGTAATTGCCGTTCTTGATTAGATATTATTTAAGACATTCTACGCAATATTTCAAATGCTGTAAGTATCAATATTTGAAACAGGTGCCTGATAATTATTGATATTCAGGTGAATTAGAGAGGTAACGATTTTGCTGGGGACTGAGGCGTCAATACCATAAATTCAACAGTAACTAATTTTTTTCTGTTATCAAAAAGGAAAAATAAATGCATACATACAGTAAAAATAAATATTAACGGCTTCAGAATCTCTTAAAATATCAAACGGGCGCATTGAACTTATGTCGATGCAACATTTTCAGATTGACATTATAAATCCTGTTCTCGAGGACAAGAGAGTTTCAGGCGAAGAATTTAGTAACAAGAAAAAACTCCCCGTTCCGAAAGTATATACTTTGGCATGTACTTTTGATCTCCCATAGCAACAATTGTTAGCAATATAGTATTGGCATTTATATCTGAAAATTAGATAATAAGGAAGTATACTAATTATTTCTGATTTGAATACTATTACCAACACTTTAACAATGTTAATGGAAGAATAGAAGTACAGCATCTATTCGGATAACCAGAAGATACTTTTGCACCATTTCAACGTCAAGTTCTCAAAAGGTGCCTCTTCTGGTTTTAAGTTAAAGGCTATAATTATTAATTCGCAAAAAGTAGTCCAAATTTTCCAGTTGTCAAAATATTTACGAAAACAACGAATACGTCGAATAGAAAGCCATTGAAACTTAGGGAGTGGTACAAGCACAGCCACATTTAATCAAATTTCAGGGCACTTGATATGGACAAGTTCTTTAAATATAAAGGGTCGGTATATTTATCAATAATTAACCAATTTACACTACAGTAAATACTGAGACATATATATGTATAATTGAGAACTTCTGATTAACTGCTAAGAATCTAATTCATCAGTGTTATAAATAATCGAATCTAAAAAACCTGAATTAACGATGCCAGCAAAGGTGTCGGTAGAAAGGCACTTTAGTATATTTTTCATCTTCTGTTTGAAAATTTATAAATATATTTCAATAAGAACTACTTATTAATGGGCTTTGGGTCAAGTCTTTTGTAGTTAATAAACTAAACAAAACGAATAGTCGGAAATTACAAATAGGGTAAATTTTGGCCTAAAGCTAAATTGGACAACGGAGATCAAAATGAATTTAGTTTAGGAACAATGGGAGTGGAATGAAGGTACTGTAGGTATTGTGCACAATTATTTCTGGATACGGAGGACAATGCTTTGTACCGTACCTTTTTATTGTGTCCAAAAAGCACAATTTACACGTGTTCGCACAAACTGTAAAGTCTTGTGTATGTGACACAGTTGCAAAACTTCCCGTTGTGATTCATATTTGACTCAGATCTATGTGATTATTCTAACATGTCTCACTTAAAAGTGTAATGGACACCAATTCTAACTAGTCAAGTAAGAATCTTTTTGTTTTCCGGCCCGTTTTCCTATAATTCACGAGAATATCCGACATTTCCGAAAACAGATTTACACAAGGACTCGACTTTGAACTACCAGGTCCTAGTAATAGAAAAGGATATTTTATAATTTACCGCAAAAACCATGACTTATACATGTGAAAACATCGCCTATCCCTCTTATTCGGAAGGCTCTTAACCGATAGAAAAGTTAAATGGAAAACTGGTGCTCAGACTGTTAAATTAAACCAAAAAACCTATTGTGCCAATTGAGCGTTGTAAATAATAATAAGAAATTTTAGAAAAAAAAACAAAGGATCTTTTTATTTTTAACTGTGACTGATATCAGTAATTTAATATCCTGATGTAAGTGTTACTGGAGGCCATATTTGACATGCTTCTGCTATTTGTAGATGGACATGCCCTAATTTGGAAATCTGTTATTATTTCGCTTTCTATAGAGCCGTAAAGCTCATCATGATCAGATCCTACGTTACACATATAAGAGACCGTTGAGGCCAATTATGACGAGCGATGCGAGTAGGTACATACATCATCGAAGAAACATAGATACTTAGAACATGTAGTAAATGCATGGCTCGATATGTATTATACTATCGTTCTTTTAGAACAAGTTTATTTTAAGCATAGAAAATTGGTTGTATCCGGCATGAATTTACGTTATTTTGTTGCTTTATCATTATTAGATGTAATGCCATTTTTTTTAATTACATACTCAAATGTGGCAACGATAGCTTTCTATATAGATGCATATTATTGTGAATCTCCTTGTGTTCATAATGTATTAATACTGACTAATTGGTCCACCAACATCTAATGCGATAAGATTATGTGAAGAAGTTAAAATAACGAATTTATAGACTAGATTATATTAATAGACGCAGTCATAGCAAGCAGCACCAGCCCAGTTGTGCGCACATGCTATTCCTTTGATCTAAAATGTTAATGATAACAGTGCGTTAATATCCAATTTTAGCCTTTTATTTTCATGGCGTCAAATTTGTAGAGTTATTGAATGCATAAAGGCGTTATTCTTCTTTATTCCAGAATTCTATTCCGCCTACGTAACATAAACTGACTAAAATTACTATTTAATATTATTACGGACTAAAGGAAACGACCATCGATTTATATGCACGGCCTCATTATTATGAGATGAAACATTGGCAGTGTTTATCTTAACGTACAATAGCAAATTTGGCTGGATATTAACCTCATATTCACAATTTGACCTTTGTGTTTACCATCACAACATTTTTTGTGACCATTTTCGCTGGTTTTCTGTGTATCTGAGCAGAATTGTACAACTATAGGAAACCAACTCTTTTTTTTTAAAAAAAAATACATACAATAATCATGTACACATTACTAAGCGGATTGTATCATTACGCGACCCAAAAAGAAGAATACTACGTTTTAATTATTGGACTCGACAATGCAGGAAAAACAGTAGGTTTCATCTATATTCTACCGTCATGTCTAGAACTATAATTTTTTTTTTTACATTGCTAGACGTTATTGGAACGCATAAAGTCAATATTCATGGGTGTAGCTGGTCTGGACCCCGATAAAATAGCACCAACTGTAGGCTTAAATAGTAAGTTTATACTTTAAAAGTCAAGTCGAGATGAAGACACTCATCACCTTATTTTTTTTTTTGCAGTCGGTAAAGTGGATATAAAATCATCGCGGATAAACTTTTGGGATTTAGGTGGACAGCGAGATTTGCAATCGATTTGGGAGAGATACTATACAGAATGTCACGCTATTGTTTTTGTCGTGGATTCAACAGATCCCGTTCGTTTGGAGGAGTGCAGAGATACTTTTGGTAATAAGAAAAAAAAAACGCGTTATGCAAGAAGGAGATTAACGGGATTTCAATAGAAAAAATGATTACAAATGATGCAGTGGAAGGGGTGCCCGTGTTAATGCTAGCAAATAAACAGGATGTTTCTGGTGCTTTAAGAGTTGAAGAAGTAAAGGAAGTGTTTAATAAGATTGCAGTTAAACTCGGAGCGCGTGATTCACGAGTGTTACCTGTCAGCGCATTAGAAGGGTAATATATGATTTACGATTTGTTTTTGCTGATATACATATTTATTATTTTGTTAGGAATGGGGTAGAGGATGCAATAGACTGGTTGGTATTACGGTTACAACGAAACAAGATTAACCGACCACCTGTGTTTCGTTGAAACGTATACAAATAGCTATGCTAGCAGATCATAAATATAAATAAAATATACTCATTATAAAATAGATGCATTGCATGTAAGGGCGTTTCATCTTTTTATTGTTGTTACATTTTATGATGACGATTAGTACTCCGCGTTATGTAACTGTTTATTTTTATCAAGAGAAATCAGGTTAGTTTATCATTCGATTGAATAAGGAAACACGTGTAATCATTATACAAGTAAAAAACCGCATGATCATTTACAAGCGAACTGGGGTTGTTTGTGTGGCGAAACACGTAACGTATTACAGTAATCGATGAGGACCCAGGACACTTTTTCTCGATTTGAAATTTTTCTTATAAATACCCTCCATTTCTTTGCAACTTTTTAGAACTTCATAACCAAACAAATTTTTTTTTTTTTTCTTGTTATCAAGAAAAAAATAACCCAAACAAGCAACTTATAAATCAATTTTTCCTTTTTTTTTTCTTTAACGACCCTTTCTTTTTTCTTTAACGAAAACCCATCTTTTTTTTCTTAAAAACACTTTTAACGAAAAAAATACCTTAACGACCAAAAAACATTCTTACGAACTCTTTACGACTCCAAAAAAAACTCTTTACCCCTTTTTTTTTTACTTACTCAAAACAAAACAAATTTTATTAAACATGCCTATCAACGCTGGTATTAACGGGTAAATATTATTTAATTAAAATGTAATTATGACAGCTTATTAATTCGTTACCATAGTTTCGGTCGCATTGGCCGCATTGTCTTACGTGCTTCTCTTGAAAACCCTCAAGTAAAGGTCGTTGCTATTAACGATCCCTTTATTGACCTTGACTACATGGTAAGTCCCTGTTGTATACATAAATTAAGGCATTTTTACTTACATATCATCACATAGGTCTACATGTTCAAGTATGATTCTACTCACGGCCGCTTCAAGGGCACTGTTGAGAAGAAAGACGGCAAGCTCGTCGTCAACGGTCATCCAATCTCAGTCTACACTGAACGTGATCCCTCCAAGATCCCTTGGGGTCAAGACGGTGCTGACTACGTGGTTGAATCCACTGGTGTGTTCACTACCAAGGACGCTGCCTCTGCTCATTTGAAGGGTGGCGCTAAAAAAGTTATCATCTCGGCTCCCTCTGCTGATGCGCCCATGTTCGTTGTCGGCGTCAATTTGGACAAGTATACCTCAGATCTCGAGGTTATTTCCAACGCCTCCTGTACTACCAATTGTCTAGCACCTTTGGCTAAGGTTATTCATGATAACTTTGGTATCCTAGAAGGTCTCATGACTACAGTTCATGCTACTACGGCGACTCAAAAAACAGTCGATGGTCCCTCTAACAAAGACTGGAGAGGTGGTCGTGGCGCAGGTGCAAATATTATTCCTTCATCAACTGGTGCTGCGAAAGCAGTAGGAAAGGTCATCCCTGAACTTAACGGAAGACTTACTGGTATGGCTTTCAGAGTCCCTACTCCGGATGTATCTGTAGTGGATTTGACTGTTCGACTAGAAAAGGTAAATTTATTTTCATTGTTCTAAATTTTTGTCACACCTTGTACTAATATCATTTACTCTTCTAATTTATAGCCAGCCTCCTATGATGAAATTAAAGCTGTTCTTAAGAAGGCGTCAGAAAGCGATTCCCTAAAGGGAATTTTGGGCTACATCGAGGATGAGGTCGTTAGTACTGATTTTATCAGTGATAGCCATGTTAGTATTATAAAGCGTTTAACTTTATAGCATCTTACTAATTCTTTACTTTTTTATAGTCGTCCATCTTTGATGCGAAAGCAGGTATTCAGCTATCTCCAACTTTTGTCAAACTCATCAGTTGGTATGATAATGAGTACGGTTACTCAACGAGAGTTATCGATTTGTTAGTGTACGTTGCTGGGAAGGATGGTGCTGTGTAAAGACTCCTGTATTTTATTTTATCACCTGTACTTTTATTTTTCTTTACCCCCAACAACCAACCAACCAACAAAACCAAAAAAACATTCAGAAAAACAACTTTCATACCCAAAAAAAACTCTTTTTTTGACCCCCACACTTTCTTTAACTTCTTTCATCCTCCCGAATCTCTCCCTCCCTACCTCTCATCTCACTTGAAATTTCATTATGAACCCCATCTGTATGTCGTATACCTCATCAAAACTCATGCCAACATTTTTTTTTTCTTTTCACCTATTTTATGTGATCTCCGTATTGTATATGCTTAATTTTTTTTATTTAGTTTTACAACTATAAAACTAATAATAATAAATTACATTTTCCTAAAAATAACTCGTTCTTATTGTTACATTATCATATTTTTGCTACGCAAGTCGCACTAAGACCCGGCTTTTTCTTTAAATATAAAACAATAAACATATTCGTGTGCCGGGAAACTTTATATTCATAATCATTTGTGATCAATAATCCAAAAAAATCTGTAAATCTTAATATCAAACATCCCACTCCATCATTCGACAAAATTCGTTTAAAACTTTTAACATATTCAAGCTACGAAAACAACGAATGATTTTAAGTAAATTGAAAGCTAATCTGTTTTATGTGACAACATTATTATTTAGCTACCGGGACCTCAATTTTCCGTCGACTCCCAAATATTTATGACCACTACCGAAACAGTCTTGCTTGTACTCACAATGTATTAACCTGTCACCCGGTTTTCATTGTTCATTATTACGTCTGCCTCTGTGTAACTGATAGTTTTGGAATGAATGAACCAATCATATCTTATTTCGAACCTTCGCCTCTTCTCGATAGAAAAAGCCTCATTAAATTTGTAATAGCAGCCCCATCAAACCTACTTGAACAACCCCAAATAAAAAATTGTAATACACTTAAGCTTTTGTTTTATCACCAGATAAAATATCGCGATCTAAAGTAAGAAGAATGCACGATATACTTGAATACCATTTTTTTTTCAACCATTATTGGTCAATGCTAAAGGTCAGGTTTACAAATTAGGACAAAGCAGTAATACGGCATCTTATCATATTTTTGAATCAACATACAAAATAACAGTAGCACGAAACTGTATTTATTTTTCTAACCAAAGTTTAAAAGTCATTAGGTGAAGAATAAAAATCCTTACTTTAACATGCTACCGTTTGCGTAATCATCATCTGTATCACTTATATTAGTAAAAGGTGATGTTTTTACCCATTACTCTGTCTGACAAGAAATTGTCTTATAAATTATTACTGTGCTTTATGTAATCCTAAATTTTCAAAAGATAACATGTTTATTTGGATGTATGCTTTATTATTAATAAGGTATTTAGATATGTCTATTTAATAATTGCTGAGAGACTTCATATAATTTTTTTGCCATTTGCTTGTTATTAGCTTGTTCATTCAGAAGATCAGTGTTGATAGCATTATTGCTATAAAAAGCACTTTTGACAATATCGGGAGAAACAGCACAGTATACATTTGTAGAAGCACCGACTTGGACATTTTTGTGGTTCGAGGCTTCTCTTAAAGCGGTCTTGTAATTTCTCATAGTAGAGAACATATTAAAGGTTGCAGAGATATCAAGATGACGTTTCAATTCAGTCTGAACACTTCCTGGATGAAGACTCACAACGGTAATATCTGAATTTTGGGAGTCGAATCTATCTTGAAGCTCCTTTGCATGTAAAATGTTTGCAAGCTTAGATTGACCATACATACCAAAGGGACTATACCCTTTTTCGCCATTTAAATTGTCAAAATCTATACCATCTTTAGATAAAAATTGACTGTTTCCACTAGATGAGACAATAACAACGCGAGAAGGTGTACTGGCCTTGAGTTTTGCTGTCAAAAGTTCCACGAGAAGAAAATGACCAAGATGATTAACTCCAAATTGTGTTTCAAATCCGTCCTTCGTCAATGATTTTGGACATGCCATAATACCTGCATTATTGATGAGAATGTTAAGAGGAATATTTAGGTCGAGAAATTCTTTGGCAAAAGTCTTGATAGAAGAAATGTCGGAAAGGTCTAGTTGCATGCCAACCAGATCAGCATCAGGAATAAGCGTCTTGATTGTTCTGATAGCACCTTCAGCTTTTTCGAGAGTTCGACAAGGTATGATGACTTTTGCCCCGACGGATGCCAAAACACGAGCAGTTTCTAAACCAATTCCAGTATTTGAACCAGTTATAATTACGACCTTGCCGTTTAAGTTGGTATTATAAAACTTGACAATATCTTCTGCAGTGGAGTTAGCTTTGATTTGTTCTATGTTGTTATTCATTTTTTAAATTGTATTGTTTGGAAAGAAAAAAATTGAAATGCTGTCTCTTTATTATATGAATTTGGCGAAAACCTATTCACCTATAATTGGAAGCATATTACGTATAATTGGAAAGTCTATTACATATAATTGGAAAGCCTATTACGTACATTAAAAAGCTGATACACTTGATTTCCTTTTTAGGACACTGCCACGTAATAAATTGGGAAATATTCGCTGCCAATTTTGTCACTTACGTATGCAGTAAACTTTTTCACGTGCAGTTTGGGCAGATTTTTCTTGTGTTAGAAAATAAGGGAATTGTTATTTTCACCCCTTATTCTCTTATTTTCACCCCCTCAATGTTTTTGGCCTATTATACACAAGAAATTTTGGGAAAATTGAGAACAGAAAATGTAAAAAAAGAGTAGAAATTAATCTTACGGGTATTTATAAATAGTGGTATATAAGGCTTTATCTTCATTGCTTATTTCAAATAGACAGATTCTTTTGTCTTTATTATTTATATACATAAAAAAAACGATTCATGTTTTACTGATTTACAATAAAGGGGCAGGCCGGCTTTCTGTTCTTAGAACTGCTTGTCACATCTTTGAAATACCTAAAGCCATTCCTTCAGAAGGAAGCTTTATGCAATAGCAGGTCTATGATACCCTTAGATGTTCTGGGACGCACTCGCGCTACACCGATGAAATTAGAGAGCTTATACCCTTGATCAGAAGGTCTGGGTTAACGTTTGAAGTTTTGTCGTATGTTTGCCTTCAAAGCATCAACATCCCCTAAAAGCTGACAATGTTGTCTGTACAGATGATGGATTGGCAGCAAGTCTTCACAGACCGCAACATACTGGCGAAATAGGGTAGCATATCTTGGCATAGTTATGGTACAAATTTTTATCATTGGATACAATCCATAATCAAGTAAACAAATAAAATAGACGATGGCTGTCAAACCTATACAGCAAGATTAGCCAAAAGTTCAGAAATCAGCTTTAGAAACAACTTCCCAACAACGTGAACACCAATAATCCCTTCGAAGTGATTAATGTCAATGGACTGCTTTAGAAACCACCCAATTCTGATGAGATCTAAAAGAGATGCGTGCATATCATCTTTGACATCGTCACCTGTTATTTTACCCACTTGCATTGGGCCGTTCCACACAACATTATGCAAGATCGTTCCTACAAAGTATGATCTTCTGACAGTGTTGTTAACTTTAACATCACACCTGTAAATAGCTTTCATTTATTAGCTCTTCGTATATCTAAGTTTCTTTAAGTAAAAGCTTACCAGGATAATTGCTTTCTTGAATCAGGACTTTCAAGCACATAAGCGGAAAGTGTGATTTTAAATGATAGATACAAATTTCTAACGCCAATCAATATGTCATCTACAGCGGTATTAACACTGTCTGAAGTCAGTAACATGATTGACTTGGACGCTTGTCTGGACATGATTTTTTTATCGCCATAATCCTACACAAGAGTCATAATTAGTATACTTATCCACTTATATATATCTGATGCTAATAAGCGTGTTATCATGACGAGGTAGTGTTATTAAATTTACTCTTGGTAACGCAACACATCTAGGGTGCTGATAAGAGAAAAATAAGGGGGGGGGGGGTTGCTACCCATCTCCCCCCTTATGGGTGAATAAAAACAATGCCAAGTTTTTGCTCGTTTGTGTATATCAAACCAGGCCAAAAAAGAAGACAATAACTATTTGGTTCAAACGCAATCGTTCAATTTTAAGTGCAAGCTCAAGCAGGTTGGTCTTTTGGATGAAGTAAGGCTTTAGAATAAGAGTTACATATGCATGCAATAGGGCACTTATCCGGATCCTTCAATAAGATGATAAATTTTCTATTGATACATTCTCCCCCTGCTTTAGCAGTATACCCATTTAATGATAGCAGATATATTTGATTTTTATGCGATTATTTATTCCGTCGCTGATTGAAATGTTTTCTAAGCGTGCACGAATAATTTTTAAAAATAGTGTATATCATCAATGTTTGACTGTAAACAATAATAAAAAGTTGAGCACAACAAACATGGTTATACTGTGCTACCTAAAAATTTCAATTGCATGTGTAATATGACATGTTTGTGAAACACATATTTACAGTTAATATACATATTGTATAAACAATTGTTATTCCGCTTGACGCACACTTCTCTAAATTTCTATATACCTTTACGGGCTGGGTGTTTAAGGTTGCAAATGTCATGATCATAAACCATCATGTACAAATATTGGACAAACTATTGATTAAAAGAGATTTTTAAAGTTGGTTGAGGTAAATACTTGTCATACCATTACAAAGTGTAAACAGATAAGAGCGTTTCTGTCCAAGCTGCACTGTTTGTTTATAGCGAAGCATTATGCTGTCCATTGTCCTTACTTTTTTACAATGTTTAAATGGAATATAGCCGACCTTTTAATGTGTTCTTTTACAAAACTTTACTTTATAAACATGATTAAGATATCATCTTTTCAATGGCCTTATCTATCAGTCTTCGTATTTAAAGTTTATCTACTGATAGATTGATCCCATTTATCGGCTCTCAAATGTATTGTGGCGGCTCTTTAGGGCATAGGATCTTTGGAGATTTTTTGTGAACAAATGATTACTGGCCTACAATTTCGTAGCCGGCGATTTTGATTTATTAGCACACCCTATCAATGTACGGTATAAGTATTGTACATACACAAGGCATTTGTTTGATGACTAACTAACCTTGTTTGTCCCACATACTAAAATATTTTCTCCTCAAAGAGGGATAAATATTTTCCGGGTTATTTTGTTTTGACTAAAGTCGATCTCTAAAAGCTAACTACCGTGTTTGGCAAAAGGTATTCGTTAATTAACAATTTATGTTCTATTTCGGATAAATGATCTACATATCATGCTGAAATAGATTATCTACATAATTCTGTACTCACACCACCGATAAAGTGGGTGGGAAAATTCAACATATTGGATAATGAGTAATATTTTATAATCTTATGTCAATCCGTCATATGCAAATATAATTAAAACTTTTTTAATTCCATTGTATTGATCGAACAATAGTATGCCATTGCGCAATTTAATACATCCTTGAACTCTTGCTTTCATTGGATTAAAGAAAAAAGATCATTTATTCTGTAAAGCTTGCGGGGTGACTGTCACACCCCAAACGGGGCTTTAATTATCTTAAAACTGGCATTTTCTTAAACTTTTTTTTTGTCTCCATCTTTTTTTTTTTTTTTATCTCGTCAATTTTCTTATCATGTCTCCTTCAACAGCGACTGAGACTTCGCCACTATTACAGAAATTCAATACACCGGACGATCAGGTCACCATTTTGGATGATGATATTAATGGAAATATCTCCGTTATTACAACCGAATGTTCTTCGTTGAAGGATGATGATACCGAGGCGGCTTTGTTAAAAAGAAGATTGAATGGCTCGCCTTTGATGGTTCTTTTGATTGGGTAAGAAAATTTAAGATTTCTGATGTATAGTATTTAACATATAATCTAGTTTATGGGTTGGTGTTGGATTATCATCTCTTGATGCCTCAATTGTTGCCACCATCTTTCCCCAAATCGGCACTGAGTTTAAAAGGTGAGAGGGGATTGTTTACCATTCATGGGTAGATCAAACTAACATAACTTAAATAGATCCAATGAGATTATCTGGATCGCTACTTCTTATATGCTCAGTTATACTGCCCTTCAACCTTTATGTAAGATATCTTTATAGTGCGTTGCTGATCTATTTTCATTTTTAACAATATTGTTTGTAATCTGCAGATGGACGTATTTCTGATGCATTTGGTAGAAAAACTGCATATTTAGGAGCAACTATTATTTTCTTTGTTGGTTCAGCTTTGTGTGGTGCATCCAACAGTTTATGGACGTTGGTTATTTCAAGAGCAATTGCAGGTATTGGTGGCGGAGGTATGAACACTATGTCAGCTGTTATCACAAGTGATTTTGTCTCATTGCGTCAAAGAGGAAAATTCCAGGGGTATGCAAATATTGCATACGGCGTACGTATATGTTTATTGGATTTATAAATATTGTATTAATTGATGGTAAAATGTAGCTTGGTTCTGTAATCGGTGCTCCCTTGGGTGGTATCATTACTGACAGTATTGGATGGCGTTTCTGTTTTTACATCAACTTACCTCTTTTGCTCGTTTCGCTTTACGTCGCATTTTTCATCATCACCAACTACAACTTAGAAGAACAAGAGGTACAAACAACTACACTTGAAAGATTTAAGCAAATCGATTACTTGGGTTCCGCCACTGTAGTTTCCTCTGTAATTTGTTTCTTGTTGGCTACATCAATGGGCGGTAACTCTCATGAATGGAGTGATCCTTTGATCAGTGGATTACTCGTTTCTTCTGTCATATTGGCCGTGGTGTTCTGCTATGTCGAGGCAAATATTGCTCTTAACCCTTTAATGCCTTGGGACATCATCTCGAGTCGTACCCCTTTCGCTTGTTCTTTGACCAATTTCTTTATTGTCATGTGCTCTTTTGCTCTTACATATACCACACCTATCTATTTCCAAGGTGTTCTGGGCTATAGCTCATCTCAATCCGGTTTGTTTTTCTTACCAAAGGTCTTTGCTATGTCTGTTGGTTCTCTTGCTGCTGGATTCTGGATGGCTAGAACTGGTGAATATACCAAGTTCATGACAGTCTCTAGTTTGATTGCGTTGGCTTCTATGATCGGAACAAGTTTGTGGACTACCGATACCTCGTTTACGTTCTTGATTATCTGTCTTGTGCTTGATGGTTATTCTGCTGGTTCAATTATTACCACCGCTCTTGTCTCCATGCTTTCCTGTGTCGGTAGCTCAGGTAATACAAAATACAGTGTAACATGAACTCAATTTTATTAATCAATGTTACAGAAATGGCGACCATTACTTCAATTTCATATCTCTTCCGCTCTGCAGGTGGTGTTATTGGTATTTCTGCCACATCTGCTATCTTCCAAGGTGTCGTAAAGAAAGTTTTGACAGAGAGGATTACAGGCCCTGATGCCGAAAGTGTAAATATAGAAAGAAAAGGATCTGTTCTACTCCCGGAGACTTTATTAACACTTGCTTTTTTTTTTTTTTACTATAGATTATCGAAATTGCGCGTAAATCGATGACAGAAGTCCGAACTCTTCTTCCTCCCGATGCACTCGCTATTGTGCTTGAGACCTATGAAATCGCTGTTCGTTATTCTTTCTACTATTGTATCTTCATTGCTACACTTTGTGTCTGTTCCACTTTGTTCATCCAACAATTTAACTTGCACACTAAAGTCAAGTAAACTTTTTGTTGCTTGCAAAAATTATTCAGCTGGACTCTTTAATAAATACTCCCTTGTGTACATTAATTACCTTTAAACAATAAAATATGAATACGAACTCTTGAATCGACTGATTGTAGCTAAAAGTCCTGTTCCGTCTAGGACCAGAATAGCCGGAATCACAATTGCCATGGATAGATGAAAATGATACTAATGGCTATAGCCGTTCCACAATCTCTAAAATGTGTGAAAAACTGACCCTCCTGTGAAGCTGCAGTGTCAAGTTTTATTCATGGTAGCCTTATCAACATTATTATTATGTAGTTTTCAATTCCTGTGATCTCACTGTAGTTTTTGTATGTCACTAGCAGATAAATTATGTAACCAGACCCTTTATCCCTTCTTGTAAGCTAGATAACACATTGTCTATTGCTAAGATTAGGAATTCTTCCATCTACTTCAATATGGATCATTACTTTAGGTAAGCCTCTTACCTAGCTTGAATCAAACAAGACTTGTTTTTTAAAAGAAAATGGGCATTGCTCAATTACGAGCACGAATCAGCTTCAGCATAAAATATGACGTAAAATTATAGTAGGTATAAATCCGTTAAACGGAATTAAGAATGGGAGTACTTGATCGGTTTAACATGTTTAAAAGATACTGAGGTTACACATCCTCTGAGATTGGACTTAAGGTTAGATCTCAGACTGAATGTTATGTACCTTTGCCGTCAAACTTTAAGACTATTATTAACAAAGGTCTTTATTGGAACATGGTTTAAAGTAGAAAAAGTTAAACAATCATAACATATATTCTATAGGAGTACACATAACAAAACTTTTACACTGTATGATTTAAATAGTCATAGTTGTAAGGCATGGAATTATGCACTCTTTTTATTTAGAAAACACTTAGACTTGATTGTAAGCCAGCACATTGTTATTGGGACTTGAGCTTTTTGATGATACGAAATGAACCGAATCTTTTGTTGCTATGGAGCGAATGTCATCGTATAATTCCTGAGCAGATGAGTAATAATTTTTACTCATCAAATTAGCAGCAATACCAGCAACGTGTGGACTGGCCATACTTGTACCGTCCATCGATTTTGATGAATCTATACCACCGATATAAGTGCTCACAATATTAGACCCTGGTGCATAAATATCAACACATGAGCCAACATTGGAGTAACCCGGAACCACATCATTTATATCGATAGCACCAACAGCAAAAACATTTTCATTTGATGAAGGAGAGTAGAAGCAGGCGTCTGTACCAGCATTACCTGCAGCAGCAAACACTGGAACATTATACTTGAGTACCAGAGAATCAATAGCATCGTCCAACAATCTTGATTTAGGGCCACTGAGAGATAAATTAACTAAACTCTTACCGGGAGTTGCTGTCTGAATGACATGCACAATACCCTTCAATAGGCCAGACGTCGAGCCATCACCCACTTTGTTGAGAATTTTAACGGATCGGATGTTTGCACCCTTTGCAACACCATATTCAGTACCAGCAATTTTTCCAGAGACATGTGTACCTAATTAAAAACATTAAGAAACTGCTTTAAACAGTAAGTAGTATCAATACTTACCATGTCCTCCCATGTCCATATTATCCTCGTTTGCGACCATATTAGCAGAATGCGAAGCACGCCCATCGAAATCTAAATGATCGGCATAAACGCCAGTGTCCAGCACAAAAACATCTACTCCAGCCCTAATTAGATAAAACCGTTAGATCATCAGTCGATGAGAGAAACAGCGTATGATTACCCAGCCATTGTATCGAAAGCGTATTCCTCCAAAATACCTCTTTCACGCCGATTGATTCTAGCTAGACCCCAATTGGCAGGTCTTGAAGTTCTCAAGGTTCCAATGCTTTCTTTTTGATAGACATTTTCTTCCTCTAGCTGAGGTCGAACGAGCGTGCTTTTGAATATTTGGTTTTCTTCAACATAGTCTACGGATGCCTGTCCATGCAAGTACTCTAAAAATGCATGATCAGAAAATACGCCAGCTACAGCTACAAAATCTGGTCCAATATCGATATGATCCAATGACATTTCTTTTTCTACTGCAGCAGCAGAAAACCAGTCATTCAGTTGAGATCCTTTACGAACTGAGCTTAGATAGTCTCGATGATGAGTTAAAAGCATGTTATTGGCTGTATCAAATGAAATTGGGGGTTGAAAGAATGATTATTTGTAAATTTTATTTTATCAGAAAAAAAAAAAAAGAAGTTGTACCTGCTGTCCGGTTGACTGACGTTTTAAATTTAATTATATGCGTAGGGTCATTATTCTCTAGCTGTCCGAATGCAAGTGCAATGAAAGCGGAAATGGCACCAAGCCGCAAGATAGTGTACATATTTCAAGATAAATAGTGCACTTTCATCAATTCGATTTTTGTTAATTATCGTTCATTATATATGAGAAGAGGATATTCCGATGTTTGTTTGTTCCCTGCTTGAATTCCTAGCGTAAATACTTTTTTTCTTGGGGCTTCTCGTTTGTTTGTGAGGTTCCACTCTATTTTAAGGGCCGATGTGATTATGTATGCAAACGAAACATGGGTTCATTTGCATTGTTGAGAAAGGGATGAAGGGTCCAATATGTTTAAATTTGGTCCAATCAGACACACCATTTGCTGTATTGTAGAAAACTGACATTCAATCCTTTTTTATTTATTTCTCTATATAAGTCGTATATTTACCTTTTTTTTTTTTTTCTAATTTTTTTATTTTTTTTTTTTAAAAAAAAATGATCGATAAAATAAACAAACAAATGAATTACTACTCTCCAAAAAGCCCACAAAATATATCAGACACAAATGAAGTTGACGAGCGTTGGGACGGAGATCTAGGCTACTTTCCGCATGATCAATCAATTAAAGACAACAAGCTGGAGTCCAGATTTCAAAATATGAATATATCAAGAGAGGTATGTCATTATCTTTCCTTTTTTTTTTTCTGTTTTTTTTGACACTAGGATGATTATTAACGTTTGTTAGATTTCACCTCCTCTCACTAGCACAAAAAAAGGCATTAACGAACTTGATTCTGGATTCTTCAAGGAAGATATGGAACAAAATAATTATTTCCCTTCATTTAAATCGCCAGTCATAGTGAATGATACACCACCTGATGAATGCGATTATTTAACTACTCGAGATGCCATTCATGATAATCCTAAACCCATCAGGAGACGAAACGCAGAAGATGAACAAGACTTTTCTATCACTTCACTTAAGGATCTATCATCGTCCGATTCGCTCCCGTTGGAAAACCAGAGTAAATATGATTATAGTCCTCCCCCTAGCCTTATGGCCTACCACTCAGGCCTTGTTCAACGTTATATAGAAAGTATTCTTCGACTGACTGATGAGCCAATTAAAATCAATGCGCTTCCAAAGGCTTACCAAACATACATAGACATCGTTAGAAAATCTTGCTATCCAAACTTACCAAATTCAATGTAATAATATACCCTAAATCCTATTAATAAATTAATATTTCGATAAATCTTTTTATGATATAATTTCAAATCAGTTTTTTTTTTTTATTGTCCTTTGTTCCTCGTTTTTGAATGAGTGTCAATCTTGACTAGTGCTCACTCAAAGTAGGACAGAAATGGTGGCTACAAAATGGCCATATAATGCAAATTTGTCCTGAGTGTCGTCAATGATACTAAAAACAGACATAATTGACAAGTGTAGACAAAGATTGATTTATATTAAGACCAACATCTTAAACCCAAAAATAGATACTTCTATTTTATTTTGAATGCAATGAATTAAGTTTATTTACAGAAACCAAATATAATAAGGGGAGCTAACACCAAGTATGTTTAATAATAACATATTTGCATAATTTCGTTACAAGTACTGCATACATTTGTATAATTTAAATTTGAAAGTTTGTCTAAAGCTTTAAAGCTTTAAAATATATAAACTAAATATACTATTTTATTATGTCTCCAGCCCAATCTAATTCAATAAAATAACGATAACAGAAGCTACATGATAGAAGACACATTGATTATACCATGGGCTGTTGTTCGGTTAATACTCTTATACAAATTCGACTACATAGGCCATTATGGCTAAATGTCATTTTAATATACCTCATTTCTTAGGCATTGTAAAACATTTCTGTTGGATCGTTAATTCCCGTCCTGTTATTGATTTTATATAGTCCATGGCTTAAAAAAACTAATGCCAAAGGTGTACATTGATAAAGACATTCTTTACACCGGCGTGTGGTCACTCCGTCCAAAATCCATTGGCCCAGACCTTGGGTTGACATGGCATTGGGCTTGTGTCAGTGAGTTTCGTTGTTTAAACTCACCTTTCCCCCATTAATAGCTCTGTTTTTTTCCAGAAAAAAAGTGTCCGTCAATAATCCAAAGAGAAGGTTATTGACTTACATTTAAGACTACTAATAAACATAAATGCCAATTTGGGATAAAAATGAGTATTAAATCTAGTGAGTCCATTTATTGTAAGCTTTCAAGTAATGGATCAGTAAATTTTTATGATGAGTAATAAGACCTAAACAGATTATTAAAATTTACTAGATTATTCGGTAGATGTTTTTCCAATAAAGTAACCAAAGACAATAACATTATTTTGGAAGCTGTGTCTTCTTGAACCATATTTGTAATATTAGTGTTTGACTAATTGCTATTGCTTGATTGGCGGGTGCACTGGATGAAACACTATTTATGAAACAAAAAACTTTAAGGATTTCGAACTTGACACTAATAAGCTTTTTATGGATCGCTCAACGGCCCTGTGTTTCTGCGCCTCTTTTGATGAGAAGATAACAAGGACATATTATCTCCTGTAAGGGACTCCATGCTTTGTACAAAAATAAAGCAAGGTAAGACAGGTAATCCCGACTATAACGTTTTTGTTGCATTCCACCAAAAATAAGCTTAGAACAGGACTTCTTAAGGGCAAGTAAGTACCTATGACTTATTTACCCCTCTACTTAAATTGATGATGGACTAAGACACTGTGTCTGGACTAAATTAAGCTGTACAATTAGATATTTTTTGCTTGGGGATAGAGGGCGCTTCTGTTTACACCGAGAGTTATGTGTAGTAGTACGCCGCCTTTTTATGCAGGTGTTGCCGGGAGGAGTCTCGTACAAGTACCTTCTATTTAAAATTAGTCTGTTGGAGATTCCCCGTTCAGAGAATAAAAAAAAAAAAAAGAGCCTTCGGTCCCCTTGTTATGATTATACGCGACCTTCTTTATATAAACAATTTAGTATTTCAACCGAATCAAAGGGAAAACTGTATGATGTCAGTATACTTTCTGTGCCTCCCCTCTCTAAGACAATACGTAAAAGATGACAGCCTTAAGAGAAAAGAAGAGAGTAAAGGAAGTTTTAGGATTCTGCGAGTTTTATAATCGAAACAAAATTAAGGGCGTTATTTTTTTCATCTAATTGTCGAGTTATTGAATGTTTGCAAACAGCATAATTAAACCACATCTTTGGTTATTAGATAATATATATCCTCCTACTTCTAAATTAAATTTCTGTTGCGAAAAACTATGCTGTACCACAATTAAACTATATGCAATCGTTCAAACCAACAACCAATGCAAATTGGACGTAATCAATGTCCTTTATGATTGGTCGGATTGAAACTCCCACATTCAATCAACTCACAATTATCCAAAACTCAATGTGATTGCGCAGCGAGTAACAGCACTTTTATCACTTGCAATTGAGCCATAATATAATTGTGCTGGACGTAAAGATGGAAAATACTTGGGAGTTTTTATCATTCGTGTGTGTATGTTAGGCAATCGATTCAAAACACCTAGATATAGCTTTGAATCCATAAACATGATTCTAGTACGACTGTGCTGAGAATAAAATAACAATCTGACATACAGTGTTTACACTTCAAATTCAGACAACATCAGTTTTTTTTCAGACAAATAAAAATTCACTTTCAAACATTTGCTTACCTTTTTCAGACGATATAAAAATGGAAATTCAGATTTAGTGTTAGACTTTTTTTTTTTTTTTTTTTTTTTTTTTTACCTGTAGGTATCTTTAAGCCATCGCCGGTGAGGGCGTGGCAACCACATTGTAGGTGGCGCTTTGTCTTTTAAAGACATCGGGTCGGCCATCACCTCTCCAAATTGAGGTGGCAATGGTGTACATGTTTTTCGTAGCCATAACGTCACGATTCCAACGAATATTACATTTTTTGCAGAAGAATATTTGATGGATTGATCGGTTGTCCGTTCCACATTTATACTTTAAGTTTTCTAGACTACTTTCTAGGCAGTTATTGCAGTTCTAAGAAAGAAATGACATTGTATTAGTAATTACATGTTATAGACACGTATATCTTTCACCTTTGATGTTTTATATTCATCTATGTCAAGTAGCAATAACTCTCCAAGTTTTTCCCGCAGCTTCAACTGTCTGTATATCATTTCAGAGACGCCATGCCTAATCCCACTGATCTTTACGTGACTTTTATTCTTCAGACCGTCCCCAAAAATTATCAATGGCATTTTACTTTTGTCACCCTCCTCAAATTTCTCTTTGTGGCTTCTTTTTTTTTTAAAAAAGAAAAAAAAATATTAGAAGAGGAACAACATCCATGGATATGTGAGTGATACCTGGATGCGCTTTTTCTTTGTCTTGATCCGGCTTGAGGGGTGTTGCTTTGATACTTTGCAGCTGTCTTGCTTCTTTTTCTCTTGTTTTTTCTTGTTTTCTTCCGTCGTCCTTTATTGTACTTCTTTGATCCGTTAATTAGGATATTTACAGCATCCTGGAGGGCACGCTGTTTTCCAATGTAATTACACCATTTGACTCTTGCTGTCTGAAAATTGTAAAAACTAAATAGTGTGTCCTATGTTGCATCATGTATTTCACATGCGTAATATATTTATCTGCAACTGCTGACTTTACAGAAGGTATGTTTGTCTCGATTGTTTGCACTCCTTGTTCTTTCTTCCTGTCTTGCTCCAACTTCATACGATTGGCACTTCCATTCATGTTGTAATATTCGGCAGATGAAAGCCGCCTAACATCCGTGTTACCATGAAATGACACAAAAGCATCTTTCCTGTTGGGATCTACTGTGCAAGGTCTAAAATAACGATCGATTTCTTCACTATTGAAATCTTGCAGCTCCAAAGCAGTTTCATTCACAGGAGATTCTGCGTATCTCTTTCGGCAAAAAGAAATCCTACAAGTGTACCCATCTGTGTACAGGCTATTAATAAACATCCTTCCTTTTCGTTGAGGTAAATTTTTTAATTTTTCAAAGCTATACAAGTTGAAAATTAGCAGGTTTATTTGTTGCTAAAAGCGTATGTACCTACGTATTTATGTTTATTTTAGCAAAATTAAAACGGGAAAAAAAATATCTTTGGGTGTATTCAAAAACTGTTTCTTCCTCTAACCGTTCCATTGAAGCCGTCGGAAACAGACCAGTCAAATTTTGGCTATCTATTTTAACGAAACGCCAATGCAAGCCAGGGTTCGGGAATAGACTGAAGAGACGAGGCGGCTGGAAATCTCTTTTTACGCCGTTGTTGTCGTTTCTGTTTTTTTTTACTTTCTTCTTTTTTCTTGGTCTTTTATTTACTTGATCGATCTCGTCTGATTGTTCTTGTGAGATGATTTCCAATTGAGAGACAGGAACAGGTAGCGGTGCTTCCACAATTAAGGACTCATATTTCTCCAGAATGTGCTTAAGTACTGGCATAATGCTGAATGGGGCATTATTTAGAGTTGCCTTTGTCACAGGAAATGCTGGTATACGATTCTTGATCTCCAATATCAATGGGTTTAAAAACGTACAAATGTTTTCTTGCTCTTCGCTGTTCAAAGAAGTGGAAATATTGTCAGAATTGATGGCTCCCAGTCCTGGAGAAAATAGTACATTGAGCACATGTTCGTATACTATATGTTTTACTATGGGCATTTTTATGTCCTTTTAAAAAAATAATAATTGATGTCAAGTTTTTAATATATATATTTAACAAGGCTTTACACTTACATGAAATGCTTGACGGATCATGTATATAAAGTAGTTTGCAATAATATTTTCAAAGTTCTCTATATAATAGTTGTTATAACAAGTAGCTATAGATTCACAAGCGGATGAAACCACTTGGCCGTAAAGAGTTAAATTTCCTTTATCAACTGTCAAGTTGACGCCTTCAACACCGTTAAGCTCATCCCATACTTCGGCGAGGTGGGGAATAAGTGGATATTGTGATTGAAAATTTTGAACTGATAAATTTTGGTACACCACTCTACATACGCTATACCAAAAGTTTTGTTTCAATAGTTCATTAGGCAAACTGTTTGGATGTTTCAAAATATAAAAGTTGACAAAAAGCTGAGCGTTGTAGGTAACTTTTCGCAAAAACATTGAAAGACTTTTGATTTTTTCAACCGCAGTGTTATTCGCATTCTCCTCTACTGAAGACATGAATGACTTGAGAGGTATGGAGACTGTATATCTTTGATTTTGAGAACCCAGATTTTGTTGAATCAATTCTTTTACTGTATAATTATAATTCAGGCATTCTCTGGACCTAGCAGATGCATGGCCATTTTGACCGCAGGACTTACATACTAGACTTGATGTATTTGGGACAACATTTCTAGCTCTTTTCGCATCACTTTTTGCCCTTTTCTCTTCTGGGGTATCTTTTCTTTTTACACCTTTGGGAAGATTTAGTTATTACAACACATTGAAGAAAGCTTTTATATTACCTTTCTTTCTTTTACTTGGTTTGTTAATGGTTTCACTAGCAGTTTCCTGTTGTTGGCTTTCATATTTTTTCAACTTTTTCGTCTGTATAAAAGCTTCAATTTCAGGATAAATTGGTGTACGCATCCCGTTTTAGATATTAGAAAGAAAAGGACATAATTGTTGTTTAAATCGACATCAGGCTGATATATATATATTGGATGTGACCGCTGCTTATTATTAATTTAGCAAAGTATTTGTACAAACCAAAGTTATTATTTTTTATATCAGATTGTATCTATATGCCATGAAGTGAGGTTATTTGTAGTAGGCTGGGTATGATAACTGTAGGCATGTAAATCACTTTATTCATTTATAATATAAGTCGTATTAAACAAACTTTGTTGAGTGAGTTTTGGCTGTCTCAAAGTTTGATTGAATAGATTATTATAATTACGCTTTTCTTTAGGACCGGCAAAGTGCGCGTAGTCATAATCTAGGATCACTTACCCGTTGTTTTTCACCGCCGTACGTTTTTCTATGTCATATTCTCTATCATTATCTTTTCCTCCGCTATGTCCTACCCAAATAACATCCCGCCTTTATCATTACATCACAGGTAGATCATGCCAATTATCTGCACAAGTGAAGGAACCTTTTTCTCACTTAAATCGTGAAGTGTTGGTTGAAAATAATTTGATGTCCTCTTTAAATTCTTTGTAACATTATCGACACAAAAGATTGTATTGACTGGGATGGATATCTTGTCTGATTATCTTTTACATGTGTCTGAAAATCTTTTTACGACTGTCCGAAATATATTTCTGTTTGTCTGACAACAATTATAAGCCTGTCTGAAAACAAATATAAGTTTGTCCAAAAATAATTTGCATTTGTCTGAATTTGAAGTAACACTGTAATCTATCATTTCAGCCCTCTTATTCTTTCGCGGTTTTTCTTTCTCTCTAACTACCAGGCTTCTTTAGGCTCGTCCTCTTTTTTTTCTTTTCGAGAAAAAAAAAAACCAAAACAAACAATGGACGCATCAGTAAGTCAAAATCCTCTCAAGTTTATTCTCTTTAATTTGAAAACGCTCATTAGCAGTTTTCTTTTTAGTGTTTTTTATTTTCCAGCAACAAACGTAGTAGATCCGAATCTTCTTGTAAATATCATTAGAGGAAGCATTTTTTTTTAAGAGACAAACACTGACTTTTGCACTTGTCAATTTTGTAGCTACTGTGTGGATCGATAAATACGAACCTAAATCAGAAGTAGATCGCTCTCTCTTTTGAATGACTGCGACAAAAGTAACTAAAGATTGATTTTAGGCTGACATTGGTGTTCGAAACGATAAAATTAAAGAAGTGAGGAAAGCCATTGAACAATCCGCCATTTATAACGACATGATTAAACTCTTGATCCTGACAGGACCAACTGGATCCGGAAAAAGTGCACTGATCAAGTTACTGAGTCGATCGTATGGATTTGAAATAACTGAATGGGAGACTCCATTGAGAAGCTGGTCAGCTAATTTCGGTAAAAAAAAAAAAAGGGGGGGGGGGGAGGGTGGTGGTAAGGGGGGCGGGGGAGTTTAGGATATTCATTATGCAATGTAGGTCATATGGAATCATTTCGACGATTTATGGATAAAGCCATTTCTTTTAATACACTTGAAAGCGTGGATCGACCTAACAACGGCAAGATCATTTTGATGGACGATATACCGGATTTAACCACCTTTAAAGTCAAGCAAGAATTTTATTCCATCATCCAAACCTGTCTGGACTCGAGTAAAAAGTTTTTGATGGTTATCATTGCCTCGGATTCCTATGCAAACTCAGATGACACCCACATGCAAAATCAAGCAAGAATCATTGCCCCTGATTCATTAAAAATTGATCCTCGCGTCGAATTCATTGAGTAAGACTTTTTTTTTTTTTTTGACCAACAGCTTCAATCATATATATAAAAAAAAAGGGAGGGTATTGATGGATAAAACACAGGTTTAGACCGATTATTAAAGCCAGCATGAAAAAGATATTGAAGAATATCTTACAATGCGAGAAATTGTGTGTGAGTGATAGGAAACTAGAAGAAATCATCGATGTCAGTAACGGTGATATTCGGTCTGCTATCAATTCTTTACAGTTCATGTCTTGTATACCCATCATGCCGCCGAAAAAGTTCAGACGTACCCAAGTTGTCGATTTTGACAACCATATTGGAAATCTTTCATTATTTCACGCCATTGGAAAAGTGATTTATGCAAAACATAACGAAGATGGCACCTTTGAATCCAAACCAGACGTAAAAAAAAAAAAAAAAAAAAAAAAAAAAAAAAAAAAAAAAAAAAAAAAAAAAAAAAAAAAAGAAAGCATGTAAATGTTAAACTTTTAACTCTTCTCTATGTAGCACATCATGAATAAATTGCCAATAGCCAACGATTATTTTGTGGATTACATCCATCAAAATAGTGCGGGATTTTATCACGACATTGATGATATTTCAAACGCGTTTGATGATCTTGCATTTGGTGATACACTACGTTATGACTCCGATTGGATCAACGAGCAAGCCAGCTACTATCGATGCATCATCTCCATCAATGGTATCATGAAGTACAGAAAAGGTGCTGTCAAGGGTGCTTTTAAAGAATTGGCGGGTACCATATTTGGAAAAATGGCCTATGAAAAGCGAAAGGAATCTCAAAAAGGTACTTGATATATATATATTTAAAACCTTTTTCATATGTTGAAAACGACACTCTATTGTTAGATCTCCACAAATTATGGATGGATTCGGTAGATTTGAGAAGATCTTATATGGTGGAGGAAGATATGGATGAGTCGGAGGAAGAGATGATGATCGAAAAGATGTTTATCGTACCAAGGAAACACGCCAAAGAGAAGAAGAAGGCTGTCAACCCACCCACCCTACCTAGTCATCCATGTAACGAGATTGATGAGGATGCAATGTATGATGACATGTTTGGCGACGGTTCTGAACTTGCTGAATTGGATATTTAAACATCCCTCCTTCTTTTTAATCAGTCTGTTGTTAGGATCAGTATGCCCTCACCCACGTGTAAATAGTAATAATAATAATAATAAAGTAAATGCGGTCTTATTGTACATAACGCTCATGCAATGTATTTCTCTGCTATTGCTTTCGATCTTTGACGTTGATACAATACAACTTTTTTCGTCATCTCATTAAAAAGAAAGATGAAGAAGTAAAAATTTTGTGTCATCATGATTGGATCTCAGACGCGTTTAGAGATACTTTGAGTAAATCCCATTTGACTAAATCGTTATCTCTTTCACTTTTGTTTTAGATACAGATAAAAAAAAAACACATCATGGGTAGACTTCAAGGAAAAACTGTCTTCATGTATATTTTTTGAGCAAAGAAAATAAAAGGAGTATTTGACATTAATCCCTTCTCTATTAGTACTGGCGCCTCTTCTGGTATTGGAGAAGCCAGTGCACGTCAATTTGCCGACGAAGGTTGCAACTTGGTAAATAAAATAACAACAAACAGCCTTTCAAACAGAAATACTAAAAAAAAAAATGTGTCTAGATTTTAACCGCTCGTCGTTTAGAAAAACTTGAACAAATCAAGTCTGAATTAGAAAAGGCGCATCCCAACATTTACGTTCATGCTGCTCAATTAGATGTTCGTCAAAAGAAAGAAATTGACAGTGTTATCTCTCAATTACCCACCCAAGTACAACAAGTCCATGTCTTGTTGAATAACGCTGGTATGGTGATCGGTACCGATCCTTTGGTCGAGGTGGAGGAGGACGTCATTGACCAAATGTTGGCTACCAACATTAAGGGTCTCGTTCTTTTGACTCAAGCTCTTGTGCCCGGCATGAAGGAACGTGGTGTGGGTCATGTCATTAACGTTGGCTCTGTTGCTGGTAAACAAGCTTATGGTGGTGGCAGTATCTACTGTGGTAAGTTATAACAATCTTCCCCCATTCTTTATTTTTTTTTCTCACGCTCATTTTTTTTGGGAAATAGCCACTAAATTCGCTGTGGATGCCATCACAAAGGCTTTAGCCATTGAATTAGTTGAAACACCTATTCGTGTCAGTCAAATCTGTCCTGGCTTGGTTAACACTGAATTCTCCACCATTCGTTTCCGTGGTGATAAGGAAAAGGCAGACAGTGTCTACAAGGGTTTACAACCACTTGTGGCTGATGATATTGGTAAAAATATAAGCTGATCTCCTCTCTCTCTCTCCCGACTAAATGTCTTTTTTCTTTTGTAGCCGAACTTATTGTTTTCACCGCAGGTCGCCCTGCTCACGTCAATATTGCCGATATGCTTGGTAAATAGTTTGGATTCTTTTCACTGTAAAATGACTTTATGACTTAATTTTTTCTTCTAGTTTTCCCTGTCAACCAAGCGGATGCCAAGACCGTTTATCGTCGTGCTGATTAAAGAATAAAAAGAAAGTATATTTTGTTATCTATTGTAACTTTATCCCAGATCATTTTGTAACCGTGTAGTGTGACGACAATAAAGCATCTCAATTTGTCTAGAGCTTGAAGGGGGGGGGGACGGAATCTTTTATATATATATATATATAAAGGAAGGATCTAGTCTTGGGAGTATCAGGGACAAAGACATCTCTTTATTCTCCTAATTACGTATAAATCGAAGCATCATTGACCATGTTTTTTTTTATGCTGCAAAACAAAAATAAAAAGCATCTATTTAAGTCCCCGCTGGGACAAGCAAAAAAAATATATATACAATAGATGAGCTAGGTAGCAGGGGGTTGTCAAGGGCTGGGATTTATTCTTTTTTTGGCCCTTTTTTTTTTTTTTTGGGAGAAACAACGATGGCTGATAAAGAAGAAACACCTGCAGTTTCCTTGAAGGAAATGAAAAAGTTTGAAAAATGGACAAAGTCTTTACAATATATCACTGGACTTGGAATGACGGAGGTCGAGAAACAAGATTTTAAAAAGCGTCTGGATGTTGATTTGGAAGAATACCAATGTAATCAATGTGAAGTGTGGAAAGATAATCTTCTCAAGAACAGTAAAGTTGCATAAAAAAGAGAGAGAGAGAGGGGTTTGTAACGCTTCTGTTTTTAGGTCCACCTGTGCGATTTATGATGGAACAATTGAAAAAGGTGGATAAACACATGTCAAAAGACGAATTTGTCTGCATGCCTTGCGATGAGACACGATCGGGTGGGTTTTCACCCGAGTTTGGTGTATTGTTATGTCAAAATCGATTAGGATCCAAGACACATCAAGAACACACCATGGTTCATGAAATGGTTCATATGTACGATCACCATAAATTTAACGTGGATTGGAATAATTTGAAACATCAAGCATGCAGTGAAGTAAAAAAAAAAAAAAAAAAAAGAAACTAGGTTACAGAAAATGGTGACATTTTTATTTATTTATTTTTGTCTAAATTAAGGTTAGAGCGGCCAGTTTAAGTGGAGATTGTCGTTGGACCAGAGAGATACAAAGAGGATTCTTTACTTTTACTAAACAACATCAAACCTGTGTTAAAAGAAGAGCTGTTCTTTCTGTCATGCAAAACCCTAATTGTAAAGATCAAGAAGATGCCGAGAGAGCTGTGGCGAGTGTATTCGATGCTTGTTTCGCCGATACAAGACCTTTTGATGAAATTTATTAAAATGCGCAGTGTTACACACATAGTGACGCGACTTTTTTTTTTTATTTCCCCCTTTTTTTTCCATATAAATAAGTATATATATTTAGATATCTCTTGGCCTTTTTTTTTTCTTCTTCTTCTTCTTTAAATAACAAAAAAATAAAGATATGACTACAGCTACTCCTTATAGCGTGGAAGGTATTCAAGCCAAGGTAAAGGAAGTGATTGCTCGTCTTGATGTTGAGTTATCTCAGTTCAAGTATGCCAATGAATTTGAGGCCAGAACCGGTGTTCCCAAGAGCTACGTTGCCCTTGGCGCTGGTGGTGTTGCATTTTTAATGATCTTTTTCAACTTGGCTGGTCAACTCTTGACCAACGGTATCTCCTGGCTTTATCCTGGTAAGTTGTTTACAAAAGAGTTTATTTTTTTTTGCAAAAAAAAAGAGTTATATTAATAAAAAAGGGTTGCATATCTATTAGCTTATGCTTCCTTCAAGGCGATTGAATCACCTGGTAAAGAAGACGATAAGCAATGGTTGACTTACTGGACCGTGATCGGTTTCGTTCAAATGGTCGAATACTTTTCAGACATCCTTCTCTATTGGTTCCCCTTTTACTATCTTTTCAAGACATTAGTCGTTCTCTATCTTGCTTTACCCCAGTTCAGAGTAAGTCTACCAAGTGAAAGGGAAAAAAAAAATCTTTTTTAGTTAATTATGTTATTAATTTTTTTTTTTTTTTTTTTAGGGTGCTGAAGTTGTCTATAACCGTTTCTTACGTGTCTATCTCCTTGGTGCACAAAACGATATCGATGCCCAAGCCAACAAGCTTAAGGCCAAGTTCCACAGTGCTCAAACTGATATCACTGCTGCTGCCACCTCTGCCACTCTCAAGACCGATTAAAATAATACCACCCCCTTTTTTTTTTCTTATATAAACACAAAAAAAAAATATTTATTTATCACTGATTTATCACATGGTGTCGCCTTTCCAAATGTTGCGCGCTTGCTTAAAACCTTATATGTGGCTTAAATGCGCCCTTGTTTTCATGTAGCGCACACATCTCGTTTTCTCTCTCTCTTTCTTTCTCTCTCTCTCTTTCTATCTCCACTCCTAGCGTACCTTTTTTTTTTTTTTAATTCACGCTTATCATGACACAAAGAAAAGAAGAAAAACCATCTGTGTAAGCGGACTCTTTTTTTTATATATATATACGCATAATACCAAGAAAGAATAAAATAAAAAATTAAACAATAAAAAGAGCAACACACTGTTGGTGGAATGAAGACATTCTTTCTAATCCAGATGCACCATCCTTTCGAGACTTTGTACTTATCAGCGAGTTTTCCGAGCTAGAAGGCCCATTACCTTTAGCCGTTGTCACAGACACTGCTTATATTGACCTCAAGTTTTACACAGAAACACCAAGTCCATCCTCACCTCATTTAAAAGACCTGAAAACGCTTGGTCTCGATACCTTTGACTTTAACGCGTTTGTCCTCCGTGTTGTCTCTGTCGATAGAAGTTCAGAATACGAGTGAGTTGGGAGGGTTGAACGTTTAAAAACTTAAAATATTCCCCACTTCTAAAAACCCTTTTTTTTTTCTCTGTGTATGTTATAGGCAAATGGACGAACCACTCACACCATCTTCTCTATTTGCTGATTCAGCAACCCCGTGTGCCTTCTCAATTCCAGATGATACGCAGGTCTATTTCACAGATTCCGAGCATAAGTTCTTTGCCTTTGTAAGTTTTTTTTTTGGGTTGAAAAATCCCCCCCTGACTACAAGCTCACTGACCTCTCTTTTTTTTTTTTTTGTTATTTGCAAAGTAGACCCATCATCTGACCTTATTTGATATCAACGCAAGAGGTTACGTTCATCCAGTCGCATTATCCTACATCACACGAGACCCGGATAAAATCGTCATCCGATTCAGGGAGCTCATGGAGAGATTTAACTTGGTCTCACTTAAAATGAAAAAGGGCAATTACTCCAATTTCACTCTAGATCTTCAATATCGTCTGTTAGATTTGGAATACACCGAACGTATCCAAACATCCGGTCTATCGCTTCACGCCATCAAGGGCGCCACCACCGCCACGAAACTCATGATCGATACGTTGGAATCCAGTTTGAGCCAGATGAACAACCATCATCATGGTAAAACCATCATGATGAAACCCGTGGTAGAACACACCACGACGGTGAAGGGGTATCAACCCAAATGTATCGAGACCCTTTACCCTGTACCGCATTTCGAGAGAAAATTACGATCCTTGGCTCAACTTTGTCAGGAACCCGCCGATGATGAGAAAATGAACCATGTGGTTCCACTCGTCTTTTCTATCCTGGAATCATCGTCTATCATCTCCGAAAAACCTGCGGTGGCTACCATGAACCATGATATGTATGCAGAAGCCATCGTCTCGATTCAGGAAATGACGGCGTATTTGGGGAAAAGTAGCGTTGTGTTGGATGTCAATGAAGAGGAGGACTTGTTTGTCCGGCCCGTTTCATCCGCTTTGACATTTGGTAGAACATTTATGCTCAATATGGAGAACCCGCAGCCACGAGAGTAAGTTTGTCTCTTTTTTTTTTTTTTTTTTTTTTTTTTTCTCACAGCAGTGTGTGTGAACACCCCCCCCCCGTTTTTATCTGTATCTTTTTACTCATTATGCTATAGAGAAGAAAAGGAAGAAACAAGTGTGGTATTAAAAGATGAATCAGACGTGTTATTGGATCATGCGGAAAAATTAAAAAGACCGGACAGTAGTAAACACTATTCATCTCAAGAAACAGACGATGAAGAAATTTACTACCCAGTTTTACAAGCGCCATCGCAACTCTGGCCCACGCCCCGATACCCGCCACGCCATCTCCTCGAGATACTCCGACAATACCAATCCCTCATTGTCGATGTCCTCTTTTCACTCTTGACGGGCAGAACCGTCCTGATTCGTGGTTGCGATGCCAACAAATCGCATGTGCAACAAGTTGTCCATGCCCTCTCCGTCTTTGTACCCGGTCAAAACAGAGAGCGTCATCAGATCATTCCTTGGTTTGATCAAAGTCGACTCACCGACTCACAAATTGCTAGCATCAAACTGGTCGGTATTGATAAGGAAAATATGGATGCCAGTATTCATATCGAGGGGAGTTGCGTGCTGGACGTTGATGTGAAACATGGATCACTTCATTCCAGTCCTGTCTATGTGGAGGGACAATGGATCAACCAATTACTCGATCGTCTCATGTTATTTACCGTGAGTTTTTTTTTTTTTTTTTTTTTTTTTTTTTTTTTTTTTTTTTTTTTTTTTTTTTTTCACTGAACACAACCACAAAAAAAAAACTCATCCTTTTTCTCTTTCTTTTTTTTTTCTTTTTATGATGATGATGATAGTCCGATGAGTCTTATTTGGCATATTTACACACCGTCTTCATGACAATGTCACTCAAGGCATTCGTGTACCACCATCTCTATCTATGCGATGAATTCAAACTCACAGAAGAGAGCATCCCATCCGACACTCAAAGTGTTCATAAAGGCTATACCTCCGAGACTTCCGAAAGTAGTACACTCAGTCGAAGATGGAGTGTGCGTCTCTTGAACTATCTTAAAAAGCATGAGGACCCTCCTGACGATGATTCTATTTCAAGACGTTCTTCTGTATCTACCACCGTATCTACCGTCCCCATAGCAACAACACCTGCTACTGCTGCTGCTGCTGCTGCACCACCACCAGCGGAACAAGAAACAACGGACAACGATGAGGATTATTCCGAGGAAAATCAAGCCACGGTAACACTTCAGAATTTGTTCAACAAGAAACAAGAACAACCCCGCACGGTATTAGGTTTATTTCCCAGCAGTCCTAGTGAGACGTTACTTGTGAATCAGGGTTACTGTTCCGGTGGTAGTAGTAGTGATAGTAGCTCACCTCATGCGAGTATCATGGATGAGTTTGACCTAGGACCGAATGAATCCCTGTTGAATTTTCGAGAAACAGTAATAGCGGAGGAGGAGGAGCTTGATTATTTCGGTCAGACGAGGTTACCTGATACAGATTACGATGAGGAGGTAAGTTCAAGTAGTGAAGAAGAAGAAGAGGAGGAAGAAAAGTCGAAACGGAGACCCAGTCGTCGTTATCGTCGTCGTCAGGTTAGGTCGCGTAAACCATCGGATGTAGGTCCTGATGGTGTTTCTTATACTGAAAGAAGAGGTAGACGTTACTTGCAAGAGAAAATGAAGGTCTATGGAGATGATCAAACCATTGTTGTTGTAAGTGTGTGTGTGTGTGTATTGTCTATCCACTCACTAGGTTTTTTTTTTTTTTTTTTTTGCTTTAGTACTTGGCTACGTGTGTCTTGTAGATTTAGTAAACCCCTTCCCATTTTTTAGTATAAAAAAAAAAACTTGGACAAAAGGGAGGTTATGCTCCTTTTATAAGTTGTGTAAATCCATATATTCATTTTTTTTTCTTTTGTCAGGTTATGAAATCCATCCTCTTTTCTTTTTTCTTTTTTTTTAAATTACAAGAAAGGGCTCAACGGGGAGGGGGGGGGGGGATAAATTTTATTGTATTTTTTTTTTTTTTTAATTGTCTGATCTCAGATACCGCCTCTTTCCCCCCCTGAAAAGGATAGGTGAAATAAGAGCCTTATTTAATAATTGAAAAAAAGCGCGCGTTCGTGTGTGAATGAAATGGGCGTTTTTTTCTCTCCCTCTTGTTATTTTTGGGGGAAAGGGCGTAAAAATCATGATTTTAGACATCCATGTTTTATCATGATGATGTTGTCAAAAAAAGAGATGTGTTGATCTCCCCCCGGGGGGGATAGACCTAATCAAGACTAAATCTCCCAGAGTTTTTTATATGATGTTGATAAATAGACAAAAAAAGAGTCAATCTAGTAGAGATCAAGTGCATTGGAACTAAGGAGCCAATTTGGATTTTTGATAAAAAAAAAAAAAGCTAAAGAAACGATTTAAGAGGATGATGGCGAAATATGCGGTAAATATTAAAATGATGCACAAAAGAAAAGACTGTAAAAGAGAGAGAGAGAGAGTATTTTTTTTTAATAGTGCATTTATCTATGATCTGTATACATTTTAGTATACTTTTTTTTTTCGCTCTTTTCATTTTTTTTGTAAAAAAAAAAAAGGATGTATGTGGACAATCATCTTGGGGAGCAGATCTTTTTTTCCTCCTCCCCTTACTCCCCCCTCTTCAATTACAATAATAGACATTTTATCCTTATCCGTGTTTTAGATATACCAAAGAGAGCAATTATGATGTCCCTCCCCCTTTTTTTTTTTTGAGTCTGATAGAATACATGTAGGATGCAAGGAATTATTTCATCTGCTCGTTGCTTTTAAAATACATGTAAAAAAAACTGAAACTATTACATACATCCCCCCCCTTGTGATTTATACAAGATACAAGTTTTTTTTTTTTTTTTTTTTTTAAAATGAAAAAAAGTTAATTATTTTTTTTTACCAAAGGATTTTCCCCTCAGACAACGTTTCCTCCCCGAAGGTCGATTGATGGAAAAGTGATTGTCATGTTGTTTTCAACTTTTTTTTTTTGCAAGAAAAAAAAAAAAAAAAGGGAAACCTTTCTCTCTATCGTGCATTATTTATTTTTTTTAAAATGAAAAAAAAAAAAAAAATCATGGCTCCATGACAACAGTGGCGGCGCTAAAAAGAAGGTGTCATCCTTCCATGATACAAAAAAAAGTGCTTCGCGTGTCATAAGTCTTGCAAATAATAAAAAAAAAAAAACTTGGGGGAGAGGGTGCACTGACCTATTTAGCTCTCCCCCTCAGACCCTTAAGATTCCCGTAGAGCGTTGGATACACAAAAAAAAAAAAAGAAAGAAACTATATTTTTTTGTTTTGTTTGTGATTTTTTTTTTTTTTACGCTGTCATGAAATCATATTGTTTATCTTATATGAAAAGAATGTTATCCATAAAAGAAGCTATAAATACAATTGGGGCTAAAAATAAAAAAAAAGAGAGAGAAAGATCAAAAAAGGGTATATGAAAAAAAAGTAAAATGCTTTTATTATTATGAAGGGGGGGGGATATATAGTATGTATAAAATGGCAAAAATGATTTATAGGATTTCTGGGTGAATCCAACCATTGGTTTTAGTAACCCAATCGGATTCCATCTCATACTTGTTGAGACATTGAAGTAACTCCTCCATGTAGGATTCTAAATTATCTCCTACTGCCAAAGCGTGGGTCAGCAAAACAAAACAAAAAAAAAAAAAAATCCTAATTCATCTTTTACCTTGTCCTACTTGGATGAAATTAATTCGAATCTTGGGTTGAACGGAATTCATCATTTTTGTCATATGGCATAGAAATGAAAGTGGGCGTTCATTTTTGGTCATGGAACCACACCACACGATCTTTTCATGAGGATACATGCGACCTGTTAATTTACCATGGTAACACTATTCATTATAAAAAAAAAAAAAAATCTCTGTTTTTTAGTAAAACAAAAAAGTAAACAACTTTTTTTGTTGTTTTTACCTCTTCTAGCACTTGATGCAATTTACCCGCTGTTTCACATTCATGTTTGGATAGGCATTCAATGGTAATGATCTATTTGGGAAACACCGGGTGAGATTTTTTTTGATATTTGATATATATATCATTTTTTTTTTCTTTTATACCTTTTGAGGCGCCTTTTGTGTGAAATAGTTACATGTCTTATCCAACCAATTCAATCGAACAGGATCTTTTGAACACAGCCACCATGCACTCCTTCTTGTCTCGGGCATTGAAATACAAGTGTCTACTGGTTTTGTCATGATGAATACATCGGCTGCATCCGCTTTCGACCCTCGCGCTTCTTCGGTCTGGGCCAGCGCTCCATCATCATGGATCCAATACCGTGCGTTCAAGACCAGACTCTTGTCACTCCCCATCGTTGACCGATGGTTGACGAGCTCCTTGGCCTGAGCTTGGGGTTGAGGCACAGAATGAAACGAATCACCGTTGGGGTCCATCCATCGATCCCATGGCATCTTCTTTTTAAAATCCACCATATTGACCGTAGACGCACTGTCCATTCGGTGCGCAAACGTTGTCGTTGTTGACTTGGGTGTAGGTGGTAACTCCAATGTACGACAACAAGACATGGTATCCACCGAAGATGATTCATAGGGTGTTGAGAGTAAATAAGATTCCACATCATCTGTTGCACGAAGTGAAGACCGAAGAGGAGGGGTCATTAATACATCATCTGCTATGACAGAAGATCTCCGCAGTGGCAAACTAACTGAAGAACCTGATTTGGTGGGGGGGGGGTTCTGTTTAGATTTTTTTTTTTTTAAAAGTATAGATTTTTTTAAATAAAAAAAAAAAAGAGTACATACTGTTATGGTCAGCTGGTTGTTGTTCAAGTCTCATAGATCTTTCTTGTAATAGTTTGCATGTCAACTTTTGTACATTACATCTACAATATAAACAAATAATGAATATAAACAAAAAAAAAAGCTTCTTTATCTATTTAATGAATGGGGGCATTTACCCTGGTTTAGTCAAGGAGACAAGAATTTCATCCTCGGATTTCTCACGCCAAAGTACTTTGAGTGTCTCCCATATTCTACCATCCAAATCTAAAGAGGATTGAATCATGGGTAGCTGTAATTCTGGATCTGAGACAGGATTAAATTCTAAAGAAGGCTGTTGAAAGAATCGTAATTCAGTACCCAAAAAGGATTTGTTGGTCAACCAAGGATGTTGAAGAATCTCTGCCATCTTTTTTTTTTGTTTGAATGGGTTAAGTATCTTTTTTATGGGGACTTTTAGATATTTTAACTTACTGTCATTCGTTTGAGTGGATCAACAACCAGCATACGCTTAATCAAATCTCTTGCATCGGGTGAGAGGTAGTCGGGTAAAGGACGGTATCGACCTGTTTTAATTTTCGCTAAAAGTCTACCCATGTGTTCATCATCAAAAGGTAAATGACCCGTCACGATAGCATAGAGAATGGCTCCACAGGACCATACATCTGTCGCAGTACCATCGTATCTTTTTCCCTATAATTGGAAATATGTGTCAATACACGCTTTTTTTTTTTTTTTATTATTTTTTCTTTTGTATCAATCATTAGGGAATGTTGTTGTTTATTACACTTACTCTCACAATTTCAGGACTTGCATAATGCGGAGAACTAAATAAAAAAAGTTATTTTTGGGTTTGCCCATAATAATAATAATAAAAAAAAAAAAAAATTTACCCGCAACTTGTTCTTAAAAGAGCATTTATTGGTTGCATTGCTGCCATACCAAAATCAGCAATTTTAAGATTCTTCTTTTCCTTGTCCAGCAAGATATTTTCAGGTTTAAGATCACGATGAGTGATATGGTGAGCATGACACCAGGCCAAGGCAGTAATTAATTGTAAAAATAAATGTCGACCTTCAGACTCTGGTAATCGACCTCGCTCTGCCAATACATGAAATAATTCACCCCCTTCTAGGTACTCCATGACGAAATACACATATTGCGTGTCCTGAAGTACTTGTCGTAAATCAATCAGGTGAGGATGATGAAGTAATTGGAGTACGGCTAGTTCACGTTGGACACTTTTAGCTGTGCTACTGGATGCAGTCAATTGGCTTCTACTAATCATCTTGATCGCCACCTTTTCACCTGTGATCTTGTGGATACCGAGCTTGACACGACCTACAGTACGAATTAAATAAAAAAAAGAAGAAATATATATATATATATATATATAAAGGGGAGGAGGAGGAGGAGGAGGAAAGAGAGAGAGAGAGAGAGGAAGGAAGGGAGGGAGGGGGTTAGGTTAGTCATCTTTTTAGAGAATAGAGTGTTGGCCTCTTTTTTTTAATTTATTGTGTGCTGCTACGTTACCCGAAGCACCACGACCAATGGTTCTACACAGGACATAATCTCCAATTTCCTTCTTTTTTTTATTAACGGTGGGTAAAGTAAGTGATCGTTTATTTGTATGTTTAATCTGCTCTGTGTCGTGATGGTGACGTGCTAAATAAGTCATGAATGCCATCTTGTTATAATAAGCTGCCGGCACTTGTTTTAATATATAGGTGGTAAAGAAGAAGAAGAAAAAAGATTAGAGAGAAAAATAAAAAAAAATAAAGGAGAGAGAGAGAGAGAGAGAAAAAAATAAATAATCATCAAAATAAAAAAAAACAAAAAACTTATATATGTATATTTTTGGGGGGGGGGGGTGAGAGAAGGACATATGTAGAGCGCCACTTCTCAATATGCAAGATGACTGAGGGCTAAAAGAGAGGAAAAAAAAGGGGGGGGGGGGAGAAAGGGAGAGTAGGAGAAGGAAAATTAAAGGAGGCGCTGTGTATATCTTTTTGGAAAATCAACCATTTTTAGTTTTTAAAAAAAGGTCAGGGTTTTTGACATGTATAAATTTAGAAAATTTACTTTTTTATATAAATTGTATATATTTGGGTACAAATAATGATAAAATAGTGTTGGGGATTTTTTTTTTTTTTATTATTTTTTACTATTAGCTATACTTGCGTATATAAGTAAGAAAAAAAAAAAAAAAGGCGTATGATGCAAGAATATGTACGATGGATGCAAATAATTACATGGAGTGGAGTAATGAAGATAAACCAACCAAAAAAATCCCAATAAAGAAAAAAAGTGGTACACATCGATGAGTTGCATCTGCCCTAATGGCTTGAGGGAGCATGCTCTGTTATTAAAAAAAAAAAAAAGATCGCATCAGTAACTAACCATTATTATTATTTCGTTTCTTATTTAGTACCTGGATGGCTATTAAACACATCATGCCACTCACGACACCAAATATCATGCCAAATAACAATTGTTCCTCCGCCACTTCCACATTACGAATCACACACAGCCCCAAAATAGCTCCCAACGGCTGTGACATCCCTCCCAAAAAGGACGCATACCCAAAAGCTGAGAGTCTACTGTCCGTTGCGTAATAAAGTGGTAAAGCAATCAAGAAGCCTTCAATAAAATTATGGATGATAATCGCTGCTGCCACATTTAACCCTAATTCACTGGAAGATTGATTTGATACAAACATAATTAATCCCTCTTTTTCCTACAGGTTAATAATCGTTTTCTCTCTCTCTCTCTCGCTCTCGCTCTCTCTCTCTTTTTATCCGTTCATATCACAAGACCGATGATCTAACCTGGGAACTTGTGAATACAAATAGCAATGGCCGTCTGTATGCCAATCAGGAAATAATCGTTCCTATCCGTGACTTGCTGATTGTTGTTGGGGAGGGTGCCGTATTCGATGGAATGATGCGTGTGTGGTTTTGAATGATGAGGATGTAAATGTTGAGCGACACTTCCGATGGGATCACAGGTATGTAGAGCACGAGGTGTGCATGATTGGATAGCCAAGGTTAAGATAAATGTAAATACGACGCCGACAAAAAAGCAGAGATAAGTAAAGAAATTAGAGTTTAACTTTTGTTGGGATGCCGGTAACAATGTGTAAAGTGAGTTAAATAGTAAGACGCCTCCACCCAATGCCATTGAGGCCGAAAGAAATCCCTGACTCGAAATCCACTTTTTGTTTCCCAGTAAAACTACCATACTTGCCCCTAAAACACACGAAAACGATGAAATTGAAACCATCATCCATCCTGTCAGAGTTCCTTCCACCATCATCATACTTTGTACTTTCTTTAAAAGAAAGAAAAAAAAAAAAAAAAGAAAAAGACAAAAAAATAAAAATAAGCCAAAAAAAAATAAAAAAATAATAAACATTGCTTCCTCATTGGGTGGTGGGAAAAGGGCTCTACTAGTTGTGACACATTTTTTTTTTTTATATATATTTTTGGGCTTAATCGTCTTGCACTAAAAAAAAAAAAAGCCCCCAACCTCCTTTTTTTTGTTTTTCTTTCTTTCTTTATATTCCATATAACACAAAAGAAAACATGGCACTTTTTATTGGAAGAATCCCACGAGAGATGAACAATGTAAAAAAAAGAAAGAGAGAGAAAGAGAGAGAGAGATGATGGAATATAATCTAATCCATCTACTTTTTTTTTATTAGCGTGATCTTGAAGACACTTTCTCCAAGTACGGCAAGATTACTCGTTTGGATGTGAAGAAAGGTAAATGAGGGCTCGCTTTTATACCGTTCTAATCTTGTAACTCATCTCTAAAGAAGGATTTGGTTTCGTCGAATACGATGATAAGCGTGATGCTGAAGATGCCATCAAGGGTATTAACGAACAGGGTGTACGTTTATATATGGATTTTTATGGTTAAATTAAAAAAAAAAAAATTAAAAAAATTAAAAAATTATCTTTTATAGGACCTTGTTGTTGAATGGGCCAAAAATGGTGGTAAAAGACCTGGCGAGAATGAATGTTTCCACTGTGGAGCTGAAGGTTCGGAGTAGTTTTTTATATGTGTGTTATACAGAATTTAACCTCTCTTTTTTATAGGTCACTGGGCTAGAGATTGTCAAGAGGGTGGCCGTGATGGTGGCCGTGGAGGTGGCAGAGGTGGTGGAGGACGTGGAGGTTACAGTAGTGGAGGACGTGATCGATCTCCTAGACGCGATGGTGGACGTGGTAGTGACCGCGACAGAAGGTATAACCTCTTTTTTCCCTCTCTTCAGAATAGAAACCAGATTTACCGTGTCCCTGTGGTGTGAAAAAAAAAAAAAAACTTTTCTTTTTTTTTGTTATCCGCACTGCGCTTTCAAAAAAAAAAAAAAAAAAAAAATGATTATCATTTCACCACAGCTCTCTCGCGCTTCTCTCTCTCTATTTTCTTTATTCTTTAAATCATTGCTGTGATCTGACCTCAATCCCGTTGGAATTTTTTTTTTTTTTTTTTTGTATTGCTCTTCTTGGTCTCACGTTGCTATCTCTACTTTTTATTACTCTTTAAATTAACTTGTAAGTCGAAAAAAAACCTCCTATTTTACAGCCTACTGACAATTTCATCAAAAAAAGACTTTGCAGAGATACAAGAGACTTTGACCGTCGTCGTGATGACCGTGGTGGCCGTGACAGATCTCCTCGCCGCAACGATTTCAGAGAAAGCAGAGGTTATGATGGTCGTGGTGATAGTCGTGGTGGCGATAGACGTGATGGCGATAGACGTGATGGACGTGGTGATAGACGTGAATATGCTCCTAGAGAAGACCGTCGTCGTGATGATGATCGTATGCCTATGCCTGATCGTATGTCTGATCGTATGCCTGAACGTATGCCTGAGCGTATGCCTGAACGTATGCCTGAGCGTATGCCTGAACGTATGTCAGACCGTATGCCTGACCGTATGTCCGATCGTATGCCTGATAGAGACCAACTTGATTAAAAATATATATTTCAAAGACACACACACACAAAAAAAAAAAAAAAAAGCTTGCAATCATTCCAAAATCAACAATCCCAAACAACACTTTCACATTTTTTCTTTTTTTTTAAATATATTTAATTATCCATTGCAAAAAAGGTTTGTTCAACCGATAGAGGAAGAGAGACACAGAATGAGATAGACTTCATTTTATCATGCATTAGCCTTTCTTGTTCGTCTTGTCCCGAGATTTGAATGACTTTTTTTTCATGCAGGTACATAAATAGTCTTTTTCTACCCGGAATGTCATGATTTCACTACACCTTTTTTTTTTTAAACTTATCCGGGTATTAAAAATAGCTGCAACCATGTATATTATTCACACACGTAAAGGAGCAGAAATGACAATTGCATTTGGGCGGATGAATGACATATATACAAAATGTCATGGCTACTATTTTTTTTTTGCATAGATACACCTCATCTATTTATATCATGATCATCCCCCCACTCCGCTTTTTTTTTTTTTTAAAATGAAGTTATTTAGAATGTGGCCATCTCATTATTGGGGGGAGGGGATGACCTGTTTCTCGGGTAGATAAAAACAAATACTTTGGTTGTGATATGGATTTCGTTTGATTAGATTTTCAATAGTTATGAGTCGTGCATATATGAAATCACAATTTTTTTTTTAGTGACTGTGTCAATAAACACAAAGGCAAGATGATCTAACTGCCCTTTTTTCATCATTCATCATTACGTGCGAACCAACCAGACTACGGGACTGCATAAATACTGTCAATTACTTCATCGAATAAGGTGTTTGGTCAAAGAAACGGTATCATTGTTTCGGTGGTCCCCCCCCCCGACCATTTCATTTCCCCTACGAGACTAGTAACTTAACCTGCATTTGTATTTTGTCACAATGATGTCAGTTGCATGATATCCAATGATATAATTACATGGCGTATTTACTCTTTTTTTTTTAGTCGGACAGAGAAAAAAAACAACAAGTCATCGTGTGATTGTATCATTTATCCCTTTATTTTTTTTTTTTTAAAAAAACACGATAAAATTTTTTTTTTACTTCTTTTTTCTTTTTTTCATACAAACAAAAGTGTTGTAACGTATTCTTCACATCTGTGAACGTATTCTCTACGTCTCTGAACGTATTCTCTACGTCTCTGAACGTATTCTCTATGTCTGTGAACGTATTCTCTATGTCTGTGAACGTATTCTTCACGTCTGTGATGGTATCATGTCTCTATTTTATCATGGTGCTGTTAGAATAACACACGAGAGAGATGAACGTAACCACATCTCTGGAAATCGCCTCCCCCCCCAGTCAAGCATCCGTGTTAGTTTAAGCGGGGTTTTCATATAATTATTAATTGAACTACTTCAAAATCATGCACGTCAGATCATGGAAAGTATCAGGCTTGTTTCAAGCATTGCTGGTTGAGTATAAACCAATCTCTCCTACCTTTGCACGTCAATTGTTGTTCGTACTCATAAGTGCGAAAATGTTGTTAACTCTGACTTGTCAAGAACACTCGTGATGAAAGAAGGTGTTGAGGTAAATGTTTTATTCAAGACATATGTGACATATATTCCTTTTAACAGTTTTTAATATGAACATCTTGTACATAGCAATCGAGGTTTTTTATATTGTACTCATGCTGATGATGATGTATTGAAGGACAAAACCAATGCAATAAATCAAAATACAGTACATCCAGCCACTTTTCCATTATCCAATTAAATATCAAGTTTAAAAGTGACCCCACAATCATCTTCATCGTCAAGTACATCAGCAGTAACAGCATTCACAACATCAAATATATCATCAACATCCACAACACCCACAACATTAAATATATCATCAACATCCACAACACCCACAACATCAAATATATCATCAACACCAAAGAGAGTCGATAACAATAATCCACCTCCCTCATCTCAAAACAAATGAAGAAAGCATTTAAGTCTAAGCTACGTCAAAGGGTTAATCTTTGGTGAAAAGCTACTATGTTTAGCTGATTCTTGGTAAGTTTAATTACTAAAAAATTCCTGGCTTGAATTGCTGTTATATGTTAACACATTTCTCCTCATTTTCTCTACTAGTGGTAATGATAATACGTTGGACCTTATTTCCCCCGGTGCCATTCCTGCTCGTTTTAAAAGTACCATTAAGCAGATTTCTGTTGATTTAAAAATACCACTATCGCTAAAGTACACTCGAAGCGAAAGGTTAATACTTGTCAAGGTCATTAAAGCTACATCATTACATGATGTAGAAGTGATTGTCAAAGTTATCCCACTGGTTCCTCGCGTTGGACTGCAGTCATATATTTACATTGCACTATCAAAACTATAGGTTAACTTGTTTATATTCTGCTTGGTGAACATTAATTGTAATAATTGTTTATTATCAAGCTATTACTTTATCAATCCAATCAACTATGAGATACTACACATGAAGAAGGGTGGTACCAAGGACATTTGTATGCTGATGGTTTTGATGCTATTTGCCTGTTTGATCCTTATTATGTTACAAAGAGGTATTAACCCCCCCAACTATGTAAGAAGAAGAACTAACATGCTATCGAATTCATTTTGGTAAGACTGAATGTCATGCGACAACTATCAAATACCTAAAAAGATGACATGGATTACTAGTGATGAAAAGGACTTCAAAGTAGATCTGATATTATATGTAATGATCAATTGGGTGATATCTTTTCGTGTGAGGACAAACCAGGTGAAGCAACAGAAGCATATGTTGAGGTAGATATCAAGGAAGTCAAGCACCGTTTCGCCAGAAGTGTCTCCTATATGTCAAGAACCGTTTCGCCAGAAGCGTCTCCTATATTTCAAGCACCGTTTCGCCAGAAGCGTCTCCTATACGTCAAGCACCGTTTTGCCAGAAGCGTCTCCTATATATCAAGTCCATTCTTCATCATCCATCACTGTTATATACCGTTGAGGTTATGAGTGCGCAATTTCATGGTTTAACTCTTACTATATATGGCTCAAGAATGACCGAATCAGGCACTATTGTACATTATAAAAAAGGCGTAGCAAGTCTTCCTGCTGTATTTAGCATGCCAGAAGTAGCCCACTTTCTTCTCACAGTTGTCTTTGCAAGTAATGTTACTTTCATTATTTTCATTTATAATTGCCACTAATACTTTTTTATAGCGAGCTATTCTATTGGATTTAAGGAAGCTTACAGCGATATACCAATTAGGCCCTTAAGACTCGATCATCTTCTTAGCATCTAGTAATAGTGACATATTTTATTTGGCTGACTCCCCCATTTCATATGATACTTCGGACACCTCCACTGATAGCAATATGATGGAAGCTAGTCGTTGACAAGGTTAGTGCACTTGATCTCGATGACGGTCTGTTAAGCTGTGGAGACTAGAAAGATCCCCTGGTGCTTGGTGAAAATGATTGTTAAATTTACTTATCGTCCCCCTCTTTCTCACTGTTTCTTTGCAGTTTTATTTATACTTATTTTTATTTATAAACATCGTTACATCGTTTTAATCTTTAAAGTATATATGTGGATGTTGTATGAATAAATTATTTGATATCGAGGAGTAATTGAAACTTGCACAATCAGGAGAGAATGTCTACATCTACGTCTTTTTTTATTTTTTTCTACGTAATTTTTGAAATCGAACCGCCACGTGCCAAAAAAAATTTCGATGACCCAGCATGAGCACTCGCAAATGTTTCTACTTGTGGCTCACCCACAATTGCCAATCCAATTGTTGGTAAATGTTTTATCCTCTCATATATTTCTAACGAAACGTATGCATACTTTATTTGATCCTCGTTGAGGGGCACTTTCTACCAATTTCCAGACCGAATACAATTATCCTTGCTCAATTTTCGACTGAGAACAGCCTCGCAAACATCGGCTAGACTTAGATTGGCCCGGCTTACAACATCCTTGTCTTTGTATAGAGTGCTAATTTACAAAGAGCCAAGACAAACAAAATCACCATGAAAATCTCGTTGGGTCTTTTTGAAGTTACCGCCGATTGATTTTCCGATTTTTGTTATGGACCTTGTCAAAAAGAGAGTTTTCAAATCTGCAGGAAGAATTTCTAAATTAGAAGTAGGGTCGACATCGATTTTTTTGTATAAATAATGAAAACCTTTTTCTGATAGGCAATTTGTACATATAATAGCAATTTCTTCTCGATAAGACGGTCTGATAGTATAAAACCACTCGCAATCAAAATTAACATTCACTCTAGTTCCTCTATTATTATTGTCATACAAAATCGTTTGGATTTAAAGTAATCGATAGAATCAATACTATTCAAACATTCAACTGCAACATCCAAAAGGATTTTATTAGCAGGAAATTCGGGCTCTTGGTGGCTTACTTCGGCTGTTACATCATCAACATGCTTGACATCAACTAGCAAGGAAGAGAAGATATTTTCAAAAAGTTTTTGATCGCCTATGACATTATCTGTGAAAACTATCTTTGGCATGGTATGACCGTATAGTTCGTATGATCTTTTAAGAGCGCTCAATAGCGGTTTAACATGTACGTGACCTTTTGTTAGTACAAAAACCATTGCACGTACTTCTTCATACTCGTTGTAAACGGCATACAATGCTTGGAAAACGGGCTTACCACCAACTTTGGCCATCTTTTTTGATAGTTTTGAAAGAATGATCTACCTCAAGAATCTCACCATCCTTTACCATAGTTTCACGTTCCATCTTTGAGAGCAGCAAATTAATAAATGCTGTTTATATGTATGGCTGATATACTTGGAGCTGGGACATACGCCACCATATCTCATTTATCGTTGTATGCGGAGAACTTTTTGACTGCTGAGGAACCAAAAAAATCCATGAATAGTGCTGTTATTAAAAAGTTTAACGGCGTCCAAGTACTGTAACTCCAAGGTGTCGTGTTCGAGATGATACAGCTCTTCTAAAATCTTACTCATACGATGGGTCCAATGGAATTTTGCTCATGAATTTTATGAGAGCACTTTTTCATCTTTGAAATGCCTGATTTATGGGTAATAAATGCGGAAAAATTAGCTTGGCATCTCAAAGGTAATTTTCTTACAATTGAGTCGTCGTAGCCGTTAAAAGTATGCTTTGGAGATCCAGGTGGTGCACTACAGACATATCGTTTTGACATAAAATAATATGAACTAAAAATGAAATTCAATTAAAGCATTTTCTCCTCATAATTACTACTAGATCACTTACTTTTCGAAATCAACTATTTTTTGGGCGCGAGTCTTGGTGTTAGTACCATTCGGTTTGATTTCACAATTGCATTTTGGGCATTTCAATTTTTCTTGGGTATTCATAAAATCTTCAGGAAGCCATAAGAAAACCCGAGGGATGTACAAATTGTTAACATCCGAACTTTCTTTAAGTGAGAAATACAGCATGGGTTGGTAAACCCAGAAGGTTTTGATTTGATAAGGTAGTTGTGGGTTCTCAATTGTACATCTTTTGTAATCTTCTTGAAGCTTTCTTAAGTATTTGGTAATGACGCTTTCTTCATTTGATTCATGAGTATCATCACTGTTATTATTGTTATCAAAAACATTATTATCATTGTTATCATCCTCATTATGGTCATTATTATCGTATTCGTTTTCGTTTTCGCTATCAGCATCAAACAAATCATCATTCATTTCTTCGTCAACAAAAATTAGATAAATCCAATTCTATTAATCCCAAAAAGCTTTTATTACCTTATTTTATCTTGTTGAGCTTGGTCAACCAGATAATTGGTGGAATTATCATATCATTATTTTGATCTATAATTATCTCGGGTGAACAATGCATATTTGACATTACTGATCCAATCCCTATTTGCTCATTGTTCACGGTGGCCGACTAAATGTGGTAAAAACCCGCAACATGTGGTAAAACCTCGCAACCTTAGGTGATAAAAACGTCCATTAGGGACGCTCCAATAAAATCAAGCTTCCGGCTTCCAGCTTCCAGCAAATTTGTTTCTTTGTCCGATGTCCAATTAAGATTTAAAAAACTATAGACTTGAATGATATTTGTTTGTGTCCAGCTTTTAGACTCCAGGCTTTTACTCAGAATAAGATTTATGATTGGAGGAGGCCCTGAACATGATGTAATAAATCAATGAGGAACGTATGGTTACAGATTTAGTAGAAAAAGATGTACTAGAAGAGGCCTTATGTCATTACAAAATATAATTTTTGACCCCGGATATGATGATGAGTGTTATATAAAAGAAACGTAGCATATTGTTCTTCTTTTCACATAAAATTATATCATGCTTTGATATACTCACATCACTTAAAGAAATACCAAAATGTTATTGGATCAAAAAAAAAAAAAGCTGGAACAAATTTTTATCTTCTGGAGCACTTTTTGCTCCAGCAAATTTAAAACGTCTGGTCGATTGTTAGTTCTTACTTGTTCCTTATCGTCTCTACGTGACTCGTACTACCATATCACAAAGCCTTCAAGCGGAATAACAAACTAACTAACAACAGGCCAATGAGAATTTCTACTTATGCTCAAATTCAGCCAATAGAATGCTCTAACTAGGGTCTATCCCAGAGTTTTGATTGGACACACTCATGGACAATGAGGAAAGTCACGTGAATAGACGTCATTTTTTTTTTTTAGACGTATGTGTAAATCTTGCCTTTTTTTTTTTTAGACTTTGCCTTTTTTTTTTTTTTCTTGCATTTTCCATCCTTACTCTCTCTGGTAAGCAATTAAGGAACTGCTGTACATCAGGGTTATTCGATGAGCATGGGTGTATCTTTACGACTAGATCGTATCGCTCTCCTCCTGTTCGTTTGCTCTATAAAGACCTAATGGGCGGTCAGAAACTCTTTGTATGATAAAGTAACACCCCTTGCTTTTTGCTCTGCAAAGACTTGATGGCTGGATCAGATAAATTCTTTATATGATTGAGTAACGCCCCTGCCGTTATGCACAAGTGTATCTTTACGACTTGATCGTATCGCTCTCCTTGGGTACATTCCTACTAAATGCCGAATAAGCTGGTGTATGAAAATTGTTTTGTGCATCTGACGATAACCCGTTTAGTAGAGGCTGCCTGATGTATTGCACACTATATTTTATGCCGATTTTAAAATATCACATTACTAACTAGTTCATCATCGTCGTCTTTTTTTTTTTTTTTACTTTCGTGACTATTGAGAATTTGGAAGTATTATATTAGAAACACACAGCAAGACAATATCTCGCAACATTCACTGAAAACTGATACCAACAAGTGTTTACGGCAGTTACTACTTGGCAACTTATAAGCAACATGTCAAGGACAAGCATTTCTTTATTGTGTGAAGCAAGTAAGTCTACAACCAAACAATCCAATTGACTTCTAATATTTTCTTTTCCAAAGGTGAAGATGAGATTTCCACATTTTATGAAAACATGACTACCACGGTGTGTCAAAATTACTCATTATCGGCAAGGAAGAAGGCACAAACCAGTCAGAAAAGCGCATGATATGAGGCGTATTGGACGACACGTTGGCGCTCAAAGTACGCCGAGTTTAGCTTACCCCAGCATTCTTTACCACTCAAAAAGTAATACTTCTTCTCATTCATAACATGGCATAACAAAACCACAAGGAATTGGGGCATGCAATCTCAAAAGATAGTAGAGGATACAAATGTACAAGACGTCAAAAGCGGGTTTCAGGGAGGGACAGTCAGTAGACTCGTTTTATAGCAATGTCATGATTGTAAATCGTGTTATTGCAGCTTTCACTCACTCGTCGATTTTGGATAGCAAGGATAGTACGCCGGGGTTGATTGTTTAAGTGGTTCAAGATCCTGAAGAGAGAAACGAGCAAGTTTGATCTGATTGTTTTCCCAAAAAATAAATCACCTCCAATTCTAAGACGAAGCTTATATCCTCTTGGATTGCATAGTAATCAATAATCGCATATGACTAGAAATTATGTTTTGTAGGGTTATTTGATGATATGAGGAGTGATGAAAAATATGCTTCGATTGATAAGCTAGAATGATATATTACATTAGCTTCACGCTCTTACCCATCAGACAAATAATTTTTATTTGCTTGTCTAATACTTTTATTTTTGTATATAACTCTTTGACGTACCATGGTGTCGAATTGGTCACCATTTTTTTTTTTTTTTTTTTTTTTTTTTTTTTTTGGATCTTAGATTTTTTGAAAAATGATGGTGTTTTTTAAGTTAAATAAGTTATTAGTAAAAGATCATCGTAATATTGTCAATATTTGGCCAGTGCAAGTTTAATATGTGAAATTTATTAGCAAATGGTTTTTTTCGTTTAAAGCAGAGCTACCCACGTTATGTTCAAACTGCCAAAATTAATACTTTGTGTTATAACTTTTCGCTTCTATCACCGCCTTACACTGGGAGTTCATATTTCCGACCAATTTCTCTAAAAAAGTCTTGAGTATATCATACCACTCATCACGGCGAGCTGCTTCTGACTGATTGATATTTTCTATCTGATATCTACGACCGTGTATGCGTCTCTCCAAGTAAGCCCAGACAGCCTTGACAATTAGATAGGAACTTGTATTTGGACTTGTTAGCGGAATAACCAATTTTGGGAAGCTCTACCACAGGCAAAGAGGCAAGTTCTGTCATCCGAACTTTAGTTATTTTAACTTCTTTGGAGTAAGAGATTCGGTAGGCCTAATTCCAATTGAGTTGCCAAATGTTCTGGGTGTATCGACGACACCAAAAGTTTCGTTGGTCTGTTCAAAATTCAAGTAAATCACGTTCACAGGTATAATTCATAACTTTATCGTGACCTACTTTAGTTCTCAATACATTTATGGCTAATACAAACCAAGGACTATAATGGCCTTGATGCTTTTTATCGAATCTGTTAATTAATAATTTATAACTTTTTATTTAGATATGATTTTTTTTAAACATTTATTACTTACATTGAGATCATATTATAACCGGTAATCGGCTAAAATTGAGTCGGTCAATCCGAATGATGCGTTGTGAGAAGAAAATCTTCGAGCTTGTTCCTCTCGGGCATTTATATGTCATAAGATTGTTTTTGTCCAAGCCTTTTTCGGTATATAATGGCGGTCCATTAACAACGTCTGAGACATGCCCTTGATTCACCGAATCCAAAACATGCAGGAACATGGCAACAGCTGCGTTATTAAAGACCTCAAGGCCGGAATTCTCACGCCTAAGAGAACCGTAACTTTCAAAAAGGAACTTCAAGGCGGGGTATATTTCTTCGACTGAGGGTATATGTCTTACACGTTCAAATATCCAAGCAGGGTTTACCAATACATATCCGTGTCTTTCAGTCCGTACCAATGTTTTCATGATGGATTTCTACATAATCTTTATCGTCTCGGTCACATACATACAGAATATCACTGAAACGACGCATGAAGTCTTTTTGCATTTCATGAGACTTGTTAATTTTGATCATGTCCATTATATGAACTCCATCCTTTAAAACCCGAGAGTTGACAGAATGCTTGTTGGTATTAATTGATGAAGAAGTGATATCTCTGTTAATGGGTGGTATTTGTATAATTGGGACATCAGAAGTATCAGAAACTATAATTATGTACTCTTTCTGAAGCTGTAAACAGATATTTGCATTTGATATAAACATTTAAGGATAGATTATGGAAATCACCTAAGGTCAGACCCTCATTGTAACACTCCAAAGGATACATATCTAGGAATAGTTATCTTCACAACTTTTGCAATAAGTGCACTGCTATAATGAAGTGCTTCATGGGTTTTATTTGTAGGAGGGGTATCATCATTGTATATATAGCCGTAACCAGCAACAGAGGACGAGGCATATTTGTCTAAATGAATTGCAATAAAAGAACCGGCTGCTGTATTGACAGATACTTTTTGATGAACTCTGGGCATATTTTATATCTGGTATAAATTTCGTACGACACCCAAGCATCCAAAGCTGCATAATTAATTTGCTCTTCTGTAAGAATTGGAGCTTCCCAATTACCACAACAAACAACATTTGCCTTGGTAACTGCACCTTCAAAACAAACCCACACATATCGGCAAAAAATGTGTTTCTCCTCTTTAATAAGATTTTTATCCTTGCAAAAAGTGCGAAGTTCCAGTTGACAAGGGCATTGTAGGAGACCAAAATAGCAGAATCCTGTTATATTACCACCGACGTTTTTTCCGATTTTGGCTATGTCAGTGTCAGTGAGGATCTTGATCAAATTCTCAGGGAGATTGTCCGAGGCAAATGAGTGTATCTCATCAAGTAGACAGAATTACCATAAGCAATTCGCACCAAAGCAACAAGAACGAACTTCAAACCAGACTGCTCATTTATGGAAACTGCTGATCTTTTACCTTAGAGCTCATTCACAGTCAAATCCAAAGGCAATTGTGACCCGCTGTAAACATTCATCATGAATTTTTTGGCATGATTGATTGATGTCGATAGTAGTATTCAAAATTGATACCGTTATGATGTCTGGATATCTGGTTATGGGGTAATTTTTGAAAGGGCCATTTAAATCGACTTGTTCTGTCAAAGTTGGATTTCTGTGAATAACATCTTTAAAAAGAGAAAGTATTGACGATTCCAAGAACAACCGATCGCCAAGAACATTGTCCGTATAGAAAAGCTCTGGCATTTTAAAGCCATACTTTCTATAACTCTCCATTATGTTATTGAAAGAAGGAGCCAAGTGTTTCAATGATTTAGTAGGCGCAAGTACTTGAAGAAATTTTTTTTTTCATATTCGTTCAAAAAGATAAACAGACATGAATAAGTCGACACCCCATTGATTTTGGCCACATGTTTGATAATTTGATAATCCCAAAAAAAGTTAATTGCTGGCGTGCACCATGGCAGAAAATTTAGTAACAATTTGTTTAAATTTGGTGACAAAACGTACAATTTTTACAGCTGTTTGAAGCATTGACACAACTTTCTGGATGGGGAGATAATTAAAAAACATCTCAACAGCATTTTTAAGCCAAATAATCATTATTTGAGCCATGCCGGATTTATCCCAAGAAAAGCTGCATGTATGAAATCGTATAGCGCAATTTCTATGGAAAGAACAATTGGAAAATATTCGAGATTGATCAAAAGCAAAGTACACGCAGGAAAAAATACTGGAAATATTGTTGAAAGACTCTCTATTTGTGGATATATCAATTTAGCATTGGGCACAGCCAGTTTGTTGGAAACAATCACACCAACAAAAACATCACTAGATGATTTCATATAGCTGCCGCTTACAGCAATCCACGACCAAAATCATCAGCTATAGAGTCTGTTCACTGTCTTTTCCAATGACATGGTTGAATAGGTTACCCGTTCATACGTTTTTTTGAGAGCTTAAAGTATATTACAGTCGCACAACAACATCGCTGTCGTCTACACGTCTAAAATTGAGCGATTTCAAAAATTTATTGGGTAGTTTTTGATTTCAATCTGGACGTTTTATATGTATATATTTTGGACAGTTTCAAAAATTAAATTAGAAACTTTAACTTTCTCAAATTAGACAGAATCAATTACTTTCTGTAGGAAAATTTATTGCTTTGCTCTTATTTAAGGTTCATTTCTTTGTTCATGCATCTATCCCAATACGTTTCGGCGTGTTTAATCCGTCCCTTGCAGCTCTCAGCACTTACAGATTGGGATGCTTCAACAATCCTTGACGTGTGTTTTGAGTCCGTGTCTAAAGGATTGTGTTTGATGTTACTTCTAATTTTAGCCCAGCATTCTTCAATTGGATTTAAAAATGGAGAATACAGAGGCATAAAAAGAGGATTATATCCACGACAAACGTAGAATGATGAATTATACAGTTGTCCATAACGATAAATACTCCATTTTTGTTGTGTTTATCAAGAACATCGATGTCAGCTTCGATAAATTTAACAATATGGTACGTGATTGTGCCTTTTGAAAGGTTTTGACTTGGAGGTTTAAATTTGGAGGTTTCCAAAACATTAGTCTTTCTCCTCTTAGTTGTAAGGTCCTTCAATACCTTCTGGAGCTTCTCCATATCTGATTGCCTCATTGGCTCAACTTTAGAAAAGTTGATGGTCCCAAAAGGAGATATACAGCCGATAATCGTAAAATTTGCTTCACATCTGCTGTGGACCTGTACAATAGCAGGTTCAACATGCGCGACTTCTCATCATTTGAGGGTGAAACCCCGCCTAATCGATAAAACCACAGTTCTTTTTATATCTAGTCAACACCACTTTCTTGAGAAAATAAATGGGCACCTTCCGTCTCAGGAACAGAACAATTGATGATCAAATTTGAAAAATTTGAATGCAATCCTTGTTTTGCATGATTCAATTACTCCTTGATATTAAATAATTTATTCATATAACAGAGACATATACTTTAATAATTAAAGCAAAGAAAACAGAGGAAAAGGAGTCGACAAACAATTTTAACCATCATTTTTATCAATCACTAGGAGATCTTCCCAGTCTTCACAGCTTAAAAGATCGTCATCAAGTTCAATTGCACTAACCTTGTCAACGGCTAGCTTCAATATTCTATGTAGTCTTTCTGTTTCCATCATATCGCTATCAGCGGAGGTGTCCGAAGTACCATCTGAAATAGGTGAGTCAGCCCGATAAAATATGTCGCTATTGTTAGATGCTAAGAAGCTGATAGAGTCTTCAAGGCCTACTTGGTATATTGCTGTAAGCTTCCTTAAATCCAATACAATAGCTCGCTATAAAAAAGTATTAATGCCGATTATAAATGAAAATAATGAAAGTAACATTACTTGCAAAGACATAACTGTGAGAAGAAAGTGGGCTACTTCTGGCATACTAAATACAGCAGGAAGACTTGCTACGCCTTTTTTATAATGTACAATAATGCCTGATTCGGTCATTCTTGAGCCATATATGGTAAGAGTTAAACCATGGAATTGTGCACTCATGACCTCAACGGTATTTATTAGCGATGGGTGGGGAAGAATAGACTTAATGTACACCAAACGCTTCTCCCGAAGGTCCTTAGCTTTTTTTAAATCGATCTCCACATCTGCTTCTGTAGCATCCGCAGGTTTGTCCTCACACGAAAAGATATCACCTAGTTGTTCATTAAATAATATCAGATCTACTTTGATATCCTTTTCATCTTTAGCAATCTGTTTGATCTTTTTAAGGTATTTTATTGTTGTCGCATGGCATTCAGTCCTACCAAAATAAATCCGATGGCATGTTAGCTCTTCCTCTTACATATTAGAAGATTTTAATACCTCTTTGTAACATAAAAGGGATCAAAAAGGAAAACAGCATCGAAAACATCAGCATATAAATGCCCTTGGTACCAGCCTTCCTTGTGGGTGTTGTCACGCAGTTGATTACATTGATAAAGTAATAGCCTGATAATAAACAATTATTACAATTGACGTTCATCAAGTAGAATATAAACAAGTTAACCTACAGTTTTGATAATGCAATGTAAATATATGATTGCAGTCCAACACGAGGAACCAGTGGGATATCCTTGACAATAACTTCTACATCATGTAACGATGTAGCTTTGATGACCTTGACGAGTATTGCCCTTTCGCTTCTAGTGTACTTAAGCGATAGTGGTATTTGTAAATCAACAGAAATCCGCTTAATAATACTTTTAAAGCGAGCAGGAATAGTACCGGGGGATACGAGGTCCAACGTATTATCATTACCACTAGAGAAAATGAGGAAAAATGTGTTAACATATATCAGCAATTGAATCCAGGGATTTTAGTAATTAAACTTACTAAGAATCAGCTAAACATTGTAACTTTTCACCTAAGCTTAACCCTTTGACAAAGCTTGCACTTAAACGCTTTCTTCTTTTGTTTTGAGATGAAGGTGGTGGATTATTGTTGTTGACTCTCTTTGGTGTTGATGATATATTTGATGTTGTAGATGTTGTTACTGCTACTGTACTTGATTGTGGGGTCACTTCTAAACTTGATATTTGATTGGGTAATGGAGAAGTGGCTGGATGTACTATATTTTGATTTATTGCACTGGTCTTGTCCTTCAATACATCGTCAGCAACATGAGTACAATATAAAAGCCTTGATTGCTATGTCCAAGATGTGCATATTAAAATTTTTTAGAGGAATATATGTAACATATATATAAAATGAAACATTTACCTCAACACGTTCTTTCATCACGAGTGTTCTTGCCAAGTTAGAGTTAATGACATTTTCGCACTTATTCAGCAAGTTTTTCATGTTATGCTGTAGCTTGACATTGCTGGAAGTATAATTTAACGCAAATTTCTTAAAAGTACGAACAAAAATCGACGTGCAATCGTATGAGATTGGTTTATACTCAACCAGCAATGCTTGAAACAAGTCTAATACTTTCCAATATCTGACGTGCGTGATTTCGAAGTACTTTTTATAAAATGTAAACAGCTCATCTTCACCTTTGGAAAAGAAAATATTAGAAGTAAATTGGATTTTTTGGTTGTAGACTTACTTGCTTCACACAATAAAGAAATGCTTGTGCTTGACATGTTGCTTATAAGTTGCCAAGTAGGAACTGCCACGAAAGTAAAAAAAGGTGAATTTTTTGAGAACGTCTTTTTTGTTTTTATGCATTCTCTATCTACGTGGTCTTTTAAATTACGTGTTTTGACGGTACGCTTATAGTCGGGCCAAATCTAGCCAATAAAAGTGCTAGGAATAGTGTAAGGAGCCAATAACATTGCTCGAAATAGTGTAAGGAGCCAATAAATGTGCGCGAAATAGTGTAACTGGGTTTGAAAGTTTTTTTTTTTTCTTTTTTCTATGTGCCTTTTGTTTGTCCCCTCGTGAATTTTGACACTTATAAATTGATCAAATTTCCACATAAAACACCGTTTCTTCTCTTTGTTTAACTATCTGTTTTTTAAAATAAGCATCTAATCTGTACCAGAATACATACATCATATAATTTAAGTAAGGAATATCTATTGATTAATTGATTGTCGTTCAATAGACACATTGCTTTCAAATAGTCTTAACTCCAAAATAGATGTCAAATATTTCTCTCAAAAAAAAAGGGCGTCCATCCGGCTCTAAAAGTAAACCTGGATCTAAAGCACCTGGTCCTAAACCGGCTCATTTAGTCAATCAATCCCGTTTAAGCTTTTCAAATGTTATTGCAACACAAGCGGAGAGCAGTAATTCTGAATTAGAAAATTTATCAATTTTACAAGATACATTGGTGATTCAACAATCTCAAGCAACTAATGATGATATTGCAGAAAACAATGAAGAGGTAAAAAAATTAACATAAACAATGCTGTAATTTTTGCGACTTACACGTATCCTTGAATAAGCATATTAGTACAGCATCATCCCAAAGCATTGCCACGAGTGAAGATAACAGAAACATTGGCTCAAATATTGCTGACGAGGTATTACCAGATCAATGATTTTTAAAATATTTAGCATACTGATTTTATACGTAACTTAGAACATTAATCAAGCTGCTGGTGTGGATCTTGATGTCGATTATGCCGAAGATAGTGACGATATTGATGAAACTCAACTTCTTGACGAGCTCACAGAGGAGCAATTTAATGCTCTTGAAAACAGTATTTCCAATATTCCTGAAAATGGATGTCTTGATAATTATCTTGGAGGCATACAGGACAATCTCAAAGGTGGAAATGTACCAAGTCAATATATCAATGGCACATTTTGGATCAACCCTCCAAGCGTTTCTTTTTCTTTAAAGCAAAAAATCAATCCCGAGCTGCTTTACCGCCCAAGAGTATTTGTATGGCTCCCTCAGTTTTTGACAAAGACTCCTTTGCACTGTCCAACATGCGCAAAACCACTGCTAGCAAAAGAGTGGGTCCAAAAAACAAAGGCTCGAAGAATAATTGATCTGGATGAGTAAGTTACATAATTGGTTTGAGACTATAGAATGCATACTAACTATAAACATTTCAGCTGTTTCTATCTTTTGAGTGTTCGACTTAAATGTACAAATAAATCAACCGTTCATACATTTATGGGATATGCATCTTCAATTATTAGACAATTACCACCAAGGGTTCAGGCTGATTTCCCTGCTGTGCTTACCCATCGTTCTGGTTTTTCAAAGCAATTAGTAAGGCTCCTACGCACACAATTTCAAAATGCTGCCGGCCCTCATAGAATGCACCAAATTTTACGAACAAATCATACAGAAAAATTCGATTCCATTCAATTCCAGTACTATGATGCTTTAAAAGATAAGCTTGATGAACAAAAGATGGCTAAGAAGCTGGTAGGAAATGTTTCTACGGCTACAACATACCCAGAGTTCTCGACGTTTAATGATAGAAACGGGTACAACGGATATGTACCTTCAGCCAATTACATAAGTTATGTTTATTGCTCAATCATAGATGAACTCAGGCCTTATATGAATCATCACACGTCACTTTTGGATGGAATTGTTTTAAAAGGAGACCATTCTTTTAAGGTATGCACACATCAGAATTCATATCCAAACAACACAGACCAGCAATTAATTTTTTTTTAGATTATAAAACATATGGCCAAAATCAATGGGGTGTCAACATTTTCATGTCTGTATACCCTCTTGAACGAATACGAAGAAATTCGCCTACAAGTACTTGCGCCTACAAAGTCATTGGAACACTTGGCTCCATCTTTTAATAACATGATGGAGAGCTATAAAAAGTATGGCTTTAAAATGCCAGAGCTTTTCTACACGGACAATGTTCTTGGTGATCGGTTGTTCTTGGAATCGACAATACCTTCTCTCCTGAAAGACGTTATTCATAAAAATCCAACTATAACAGAACAAGTCGATTTGAACAGCCCATTCAAAAATTACCCCGTAGCCAGATTGCCAGATAACATAACGGTATCAATTTTAAGTACTACTATCGACATTAATCAATCATGCCAAAAACTTCTTGACGAATGTTTACAGCAGGGTACAATTGCCATTGGATTTGACTGCGAATGGGCTGTAAGAGGTAAAAGATCAGCAATTTCCATCAGTGAGCAGTCTGGTTTGAAGTTCGTTCCTGTTGCTTTGGTGCAAATCGCTTACGGTAATTCTGTCTACTTGATGAGAATACACTCATTCGCCTCAGACAATCTACCTGAAAATTTAATCAAGATCCTCACTGATACTAAAATAGCCAAAATCGGAAAAAACGTCAGCGGTGATCTTACAAGATTTCGATATTTTGGTCTCCAACAATGCCCTGGTCAACTGGAACTTGGTACCTTTTGCAAAGATAAGGATCTCATTGAAAGAAGAAATACATCTTTGGCCGATATATGTGGGCTTGTTCTGAAGGTGCAGTTACCCAAGACAAATTTTGTTCGTTGTGGCAATTGGGAAGCCCCAATCCTTTCAGAAGAGCAAATAAATTATGCAGCTTTGGACGCTTGGGTGTCATACGAAATTTATACCAGATACAAACATATGCCCACAGTTCATCAGAAAGTAACTGTCAACACAACAGCCGGTTCTTTTATTGCAATTCATTTGGACAAATCTGCCTCGTCCTCTGTTGCTGGATACGGCTATATATGCAATGATGATACCCCTCCTACAAATAATACCCATGAAGCACTTCATACCAACAGTGCACTTATTGTAAAAGTTGTGAAAATAACTATTCCTGGATACCCTTTGGAGTGTTACAATGAGGGTCTGACCTTAGGTGATTTCCATAATATACCCTTCACTGTTTATATCAAATGCAAATATCTGTTTACAGCTTCAGAAAGAGTACATAATGTAGTTTTTGATACTTCTAATACCCCAATCATACAAATACCACCCATTAGCAGCGATACCACTTATTCACCAATCAATACCAATAAGAATTCTGTCGACTCCCGTGTTTTAAAAGATGGATTTCATATTATGGACATGATCAAAATTAATAAGTCTCATGGAATGCAAAAAGACTTCATGCGTCGTTTCCGTGACATCATGTATGTATGTGACCAAGAGGATAAAGCTTTAGTAGAAAGTTATCTTGAAAGTATTGGTACGGACTGGAAGACACGGATGTTGGTAAACCCTGCTTGGATATTCGAACGTGTAAGAAGGCATATACCCCCAGCCGAAGAATTATACCCCGCCTTGAAATTCCTTTTTGAAAGCTACGGTCCTCTCAGGTGTGAGCATTCCGGCCTTAAACTCTTCAATGACGCAGCTGTTGCCATGTCCCTGCATGTTTTGGATTCGGTGAAGCAAGGGCATGTCTCAGACGTTGTTAATGGGCCTCCATTATATACCGAAAAAGGCTTGGACAAAAACAATCTCATGACATATAAATGCTCCAGAGGAACAAGCTCGGTTGAAGGAGCATGCCATATGAACATTGTTCGAAGGTTTGCTTCTTACAATGCATCAGTTAGATTGACCGACTCAATTTTAGCCGACTACCGGTTATATCATAACCTCAATGTAAGTAATAAATGATTTAAAAAATATTTCATAAACTGAAAGTTATACATCATCATAGGTTGGATCAATTAACAGATACGGTAAAAAGCATCAAGGCCATTATAGTCCTTGGCTTGTACTGGCTATAAATTTATTAAGAGCTGAAGTAGGTCACGATACCGTTATGAATTATACCTGTGAACGCTATGGGAGTTACTTGAATTTTGAACAGACCAATGAAACTTTTGGTGTCGTCGATATACCCAGAACATTTGGCAACTCAATTGGAATTAGGCCTACTGAATCTCTTGCTCCAAAAAAAGTTAAAATAACAAAAGGTCGGATGACAGAACTTGCTTCTTTGCCTGTGGTAGAGCTTCCGAAAATTGGTTATTCCGCTAACAAGTTCAAATACAAATATCTATCGAATTGTCAAGGCACCTTGTATGCTGTAACTGCTGTTCATACAAAGGAAGAAGTATGTCTTTTTGAAACTCTAATTAATACCCAAGGCCAAGAGAGTACATCTATATACCAACCTTTTGATTCGGAAAAACCAAATTTCGAGCTTTTCGCTTTAACATGGAACTCTAAACATTGCCAACATGATACCAATATTTATTACAAGACACCAGGGCATTTAAAATCATATTTTAACATTTTAGAAGACAGGAAAAAATACGGAAATACTGTTCTCAAAAATATTGAAATATCACAAAGTGTTCGAGTACTTGCTGAATCCCCATCCAGGTTTATAAGATCAATACCTGCATTACCCAAACCAATACCCCCTATAGAGCAACATTTTCCACTTGGTACAATCAACCCACCATCACCTCAATTACAGATGATACGCCCTGCATATCGCTCCAGACATATCCCGGGTGCCACCCCTCTTACAATACCACTTTCACGCCACGTTACAGCTGAAGTAATCAATCTATCAAATAACAGAAAACGGAAAAGAGTATGTGTGGTATGCATGGTAGATAACTGTCCTGGAAGTTCCAAAGGTTCTCTGTGCAGTAACAAATGCGGACGATGCAGACAAGAAAGCTGTACAGGTAGACACGTTAAACAACCAAAAACTGGGAAGAAAGATTTTGTACAGCCTTTGCCTTGTTTAAATTTA